GTCGAGCGACTTCCTTCATCAGAGACACGTTCCTTGAAGCGCCCGGTGCCAAGCAAAGCCCAAGGCCTCGTCGGACGCGTCCGCAGCCTTACACATGTGCCAGACGACGCGCCTCAAACCTTGCGAGTGTTCCCACGTGGCCGTCGTGTCTCCTGTCTTTCTCGGGTCCTTCCTCGCGGAAATTGGTGCGGACGAGGGCACGGGGCACAGCGCAGGCCTCGGGTGACAGGATCAGAGGGGGAAAACGCCGAACTGGGGCCACACCCCTCCCACCGCCCGCCACGCATCGCCGACCTGCCGGAGCAAGTGTCCAGGACCCCAGCTCTCCATGTCCATAACCCATCTTGCCGTCTTCCCCAAAAACGGGAAGTCTGCGTCCCGAAACGGGGCGCCGTGGTTGGCACCACGCCTGGTTTCGTGTGACGTGTGCCAGCCTGTCCGTACGCAAAGGGAAGACAAGGCTTGGATCGCGGCAAATCTGACACTTCGCCCTAGCGCCTGTCTAAGATTGCCTTGCTGACGATGATGTTGGGCAGCGGATGCCACGTCGAAGAGCTGGGACCAGCAGAACTGCCAGGGCACCCTGGCCGGGACGCAAGGTTGGGCTTCAAGTGCTGGGATGCGAAGGCCCTGCTGCTCACAGCCGACTTGCCAATCAAGCTTGGCGCAGAACAATTGGTCGCGCGGCGCAGATGCGAGGCTGTGGCAACCTGCCCACGCAAACGCCGCGCGGCTCGATGAATGGATGTCATGACCGCAGCGGTGGGAAGTGCTGGTGAACTGAGCGTTGCTGGCAGTGTAAGAGTACAGACAGTACGTTAGTCTCGCGGGCACTGCCTGATTTAGGCACTTGGTGCTACGGGCACAGACGAAGTATGCCGGTTGAACGGCCGCCCGCTACGTGCGCATTGTGTGGTAACCGATCACGAGTGGTTGTTAGGCGAAACACCTCGCTGGTAAACAAGATCGTGCCTCTCGCTTCGTGCGGTCACGGAGTTATGTTGACGACTACATTGGCGCGAAGGCGCGGCCGGGACAGAACCCATACAGCACGGAGCCGACGACAGAGATCAGACTTAGAGCCGGTCGGCGTGCGGGGACCTGGTTAGCGCTGGCGTCAGCTCCATCAACGCGGGCTCTTGTAGATTCCAGTTCCAGGCCTGCTGTGGTACGGCGTACCCATAGTCCCATACCCTACACCGGCGGCTGCCCGTTACCCGCCTCCTGGCTTGCAGCAAAACGCTGCTTGTTGGCACGTCGAGCCTGCAGCATAACCCAATAGGGAAATGATTCGGCGACTAGAGCCGCCTGAACTCTATCGAGAGACGAAAAGGAGCCGGCTGTGCTCGAATCAACCCTCAGCCCGATGAGTCGCTCAGTGTGGTTACCGCATGCGCACCACGACCTTTACGGACGGGACGGGACGGCAGACTTTCCGCGCCGTCAGCTTAAACCAAATGCGGCCTAGGAAGAGTCGGATGGGCTTGGCTGTGCTGCGGTCTATCACGTTGCACTGTTCGTCTGCTTCGTGTATCGGCTTGATCGGGTCTGGACAAGCCAAGTGCTACCGTATCTGCATTCGTAGCCTGCAAGGTCGTCGGTAGGTCTGGGTGTTCGGCTTGACCGGCAGCGGCATCTGCACCAAGACCTCGCCAGAGACAACAGTAAGGCGCGGAGCTGTTTGTCGAGGTTGCGCGGTCGCCGTAGAAAGATGCTGCCCCACCGAGTCAAAGGCTCGCTGCAGTCATCGCACCCATCGCCACGGGACGCCGTCAGAGGCAAGCATGGCGGGCTTTCGTGGGCCTGGTCTGAGACGCCGTGCTACCACGCCACACAAGTAGGACGCGGCCAAGGGTCCGACTCCTCGGAACCACGATAGGTGGTAAGACCTCTCCTCGCCGGCAACCACCGGGTTCGCGGCGAACGTGACGCTGAAACCAAGAGCCACAGCCTGGAGCGTGAACCCAGAGCCCCCCTGGTTCGATACACAGGCCGCCGGGGATCTTTGGCTGTGGCAGAAGGTGGCGCTGCTGAAGCCACGGGCAACCATCGCTGTATGCCGTGACACTCGGCGCGAGTCGTTCGACAGAACTATTGAAACGATGCTCGGCTCGAGCCGAGCGAGTCGAAGGCGTGAGAGGCTGTTTCGCCTAACAGGCTGGCGCTGCCAATCATGCCTTTACGCCGCCGCACTCTTTGCTTGTCCCGCCCTACCATTGGATCTCCTACCATGCGGCCAGATCGGATATCACAGCGCCGCTAATCGTTACTGATCCGGCCGATGCATGGACCACGCGCAGCAGACAGCTGTCGACACGATCAGCATGGCAAGCCGAGATGCCCTTGTCGACGACGGGGCGCAGCTTGTCGGCACCAGAGACGGAATGGAGAGCGTCGGGAATCGGGATGTGGGCGAACGAGTCTGCGGCACCGACATGACAATACGCTGCCGTGACTGCACATGCGGGATTTGGCAACATGGCTTTCGGTCGCCGCTGAGCGGTTGGTGTCCCTCAAGCGACTGTGAGCCTACCGGGCGGCGAGCATGCGAGAGGGGGTCCCGAGGGGACGGGCGAGGCCCTAGCAGGGCCTGCCCTGTATGTACGGAGTATGCGGTGTGGCAGACCCTGGCGAGTTCGTAGAGTTCGCAGATAGCCGTTGTGAGTCGTGAGCGTCTGGCCGTTTCGTCCGGAGCGGTGGATGGCGGCGGGTGTCCGATCCTGGATTGCACGGGCAGTATGAACTCGGAATGTGCCTGTGTGACCTGGTCAGGTGCCCAGAGTGTTACTGTGCCATGCAGCCATTCAGACGAGGGGGCGCCTTCTTCTCGCGGCAAAAGAGAGCCTTCTGCCTTTCAAACACATCCCCCGTGATTGGTAAGTGCAGGGCATGCGCTAGCCAATTCATGGCGATTGCTTCTTCTGAGCTTTGGGCGTCGAACTAGCACATCCCATCCCCAATAAGTTCAGGCCGCCAAGGTGCCCACAGTACGGGTACCTTAAGCGATGTGGCTCGGTGGGGACTCCCGTTGAAAGGAAGGTACGAGGTGGCTATCAGGCACGTTCACTTGAGAAAACGTCGTCGTAAAGCGTATCGCACCTTCCTTGCCATGGAGCGTCGGGAGTGCTGGGGCAGGGACATTCTACATACACGTCAAGAGCGCTCCTGCCGTCCATCGATCACATCTCCCACCCTTGCTCTGGGCTTCCACCCTCAGATTCCATCGCATGGAGAGATCACGTCGCAGCCACTCCAAGCCTCTGGCCGTTCCCGCCAAGCGAGCAGCTCGGGGGCGCGACAAGCCATCCGCCAGGCTCGGAGATGTTCCTCCGCCCCCGAGGGCGATGCGAGCAGTCACATCTGTACCTGCAGAGACGCCAGACACTCCTCATATCAGCTAACCAGCTAACGAACGCACTCAGACACTCGCGCCGCCCTGCATGCGACGCATCGTCGACGTCGCTTGAGAGATTGCCCTCTCCCCAGTTTGCGGCTAAGCGCGGGCCGAGTCACACGAGCTTCGATGCCTCCGTGTGGGCAACGAATGATCTCCCAGGGGGTTGCCTTCCGCCTGCGACCCTGCATCGTGCCTCTTGATGATGCCAGATGGGCCGATACGACCCCTGTTCCCCGGATGGCCCAGCGGAATCGTGCTGTGCACCCCAGGTTGTACAAGTGCCGAGCTGGCGACGAGGCCCGGCGGCCAGTGTGCGGCGGGTGTCCAGCCGGACTTGAGTGGTGCTCGTGCTTGCTGGGCGTCCCTGGTCGTCCCCGTGTTCACCCGCTGAACGGAACGCAATCCTACCAACCGCTAGGCCTGTGTTCATCCCTGGCGCTGATCCGTCCTCGACCGACCTGACCAAGCTGGCGGACTGGATGGCTGGCAGGGGATGCATGCCCTGCCCAGCTCCGCCAGGATCGCAACGCGCGGTTCCACTCGACTTGTGCCCAATTGAGACGGCTTTCAATGGGCGCTAGCTAAGAAAGGCTTACAAGGCTTTGATATGGCTGGCAATCGGGCGAGCATCAGCGTACCAGACGTCCAGAGCACTACAGGACTCGGCGCTGGGTGCCGTTCGATGCTGCACCAGGCCGCTCCCTCGCACCTTGCGCAGCTGAAGCTGGCCGACACCACAACGGCCCGGTGCGCGTGCTCCCACCCCTCGCGCAACTGCAAGGCCCGGCTTTGTCGCGTCCTCGCCCCCATTTGGACATTGTGCAGCAAAGCGTGTTACCCGGTCATCCTGATTGGACTCGGCAAACGCCTGTGTGCACCACAATGAGTTCATGCTCCAGAGACGGACAAGCAGCCATCTAGCCGCACCTGGTCAACGCCAACGGCCCGGCAGGGTCGCTTAACTCGGTGCCATGGGCCCACGCCCAGTCCAGGAACGACAAATCCATTTAGCCAGGCACCGGCGTTCAGGTGCTTGCGGCCGTCATATCCAGGGCGTTTGGACGATTGGCGTGGACTGTAACGCGCGAGGCAGAGCATGGCAGGGCAGACAACAACAATCTTGCGCCTCTGGCACACTGTACAACGCAGGACAGTGGACGCGAACCTCGCCGCAAGACAATACTTAAACCTCTAGCATTTGCTGCAGATTCCGAAGGAACGATGATTCAAGTCGACCCCATTCGCACCCATCGCTACCAGCGACAGCATCTCGACATCGTCCACAGCCCAGCGCCAACCGTCTCCCTTGGTTCGTCTAGACCCAAACTCGGCCGACCACAACGACGAGGCTGCCTGTGACCCACGACGGCATAGCGCGAGATCACCGACATACATACGTCCTGCTACTACTGCAGGCTTGCGCGAGCCCTTGTCCTAGTACTTTTTACTTTTCTTTCCTCGTTGGTTGTCAAAGCGGAACGTTTTTGGGCTCCAGTCCACGCTACCACCATTCGGGATCCGCCCGGAAGACAATAGCGTGGGCTCGAGAGCGGCTCGCGGCAAGACAGTTGCCAAACAAGCAAAAACAAGGTGAAACAGGTCGATGGTTTGCGTTTGCCCGGATCCAACATTGACAGCTGCGGCTCCCAGGCACTTGCTCGGCTCGCGCCTTGTTTGCGAGACCGGACCCGGGAACCACTCCCGGCGGCGATTACACAATTACTACATCGGTGAGAGACTCCTTTCCTACGATATTTTTCCAACAACGTCGGCATCGCAATCTGCATCCTGCGATCGCGCTCTCCCTTGCGTTCTTGCCGCCTCCTCCCTTGCATCGATCTCAAAGCTCCGAGCATGCACGTGCGGCCACGGGTCAGGAAGTATCCTGGAAATTCTCCGTCTCCTTGAAAAGGTGGCTTGTCGCGCACGTGCTAGTACTGGCTGGAGGCGTGTGCTATGGTTGTCCTGTTCCCCGTCCTGGCTCTGGGGATTGTCGGACGCCAAACGGCCCCCCCTGCCCTGCACCGCATACCGTGGTCGAGCTAGCGCAACAGCCCTGAGTTCGCGGCTGGTTTAAGCGTTGAAAAGAGTGCTCATCACCATCTTGCGACTGCCGGCCGCTCGCGCCAAATACATGCAGACACCAGAGTCATTTCCCACGTTGTATCACACATTTGCGGTGACGCAAGATTGCCAGACAAGGGCCTATCTGCCCGCAACCTGTCTTGTCTCTGGGCTGTTCCCGCCTTTCTTCGCTGCGGGGTTTGAGACAAGGGTACGGCCGGCTCAACGAGTTGCGGCGGGAGTACCGGCGGCCCGGATGGGCTGCGAACCGATGGCCAAGTGGTGTCACCAGCTTTCCTGGCTGTCATGAAGACATTCCGGTACGGGGTCACGAGCTTCGCGTCCGGGAGCACATCGCCGGCGCCTTTTCAATCCGTCACCACCCTGAGCTCGTCACATGCCGCGTTAGTAGGTGGCGGCCGACCGATGGGACAGGAGGGGGCAAAGGTGCCGGCGGGCATGCTTGGGGAAGAAAAAAGCAACAGTCTGGCTGACTGGAATGAGCTTGGGAGGGCAGCCAGCGGACGAAACGGCGGCCGACGGAGCTTTTTGGCGCCTGCATTGGTCTGCTGATCCGACCAGATCTACGGCCGCTGCTTGTGCAGCAGCACCCTGCCTGCCGAACCCGTTGGGACTCCGGGCGCTGACCAGAGGACCCTCGTCCCCAGGACTTGAGTTCTTGGATCGGAAACTGCCAACGGCAGATCACGTACGTCTTGGCCTGCGTCTCCTTGCACACAAGTCCGTTCTCGCCGGTTCGGCGGAGATGACAGCCGTGGCGCTCCTGGTTTGCTGCGCCAGTGGCAAGGGCCCTTTCCGTTGTGGCGCGGTGGCATTGGCAGGCCAAAGATGACGGTGGACGGAGCGGGACGGACGGATGGACGGATGCCCTGGCGGGCTGGCACCGCTCCTCGGCCCTGAACCCACCAATGGCCCAAGCCTTAGCTCTGGGACAGCGGCCAGCAGGGGCACGAGGAGCGGCGGCGACAGCTGGGGCTCCGACCGACGACCGTCGAGGAGGACACCTGAAGCTCTTGCGGGAGGTTTGAGGCGGTTTCCATGCTGAGCGGTCAGTGGAGCTGCCGCTGCCGTCTGGTCAGGCTTGGCTGATCTCCTGATGGGGGATACGGTGCATGAGATGGCTTCCTCTCACGCTCTGGCAACAGCTGTGGCACGGTCCACTGCCGGTGGCCCCGCCGCCAACAGCCGGGTTCTGACCTCCCTCCCCGCTGACTGCCCAAAGAGGCCCATGACACCCCCGTCCACTGGGGGGCAGGCGACGATGGGACGGGGATGGGAAGGGTTGGGATGGGTTGGGATGGGATCAAGCTCCACCGCATAACCCTGGCCCCCGGCACCCGCACCTTTCGGTGGATTGCCAGCCCCGCCACGGCGCTGCACCCCGGGGGCCCAATCATGAGGTGGACTTCACGCAACTGACTGACTGCCGCAGGCGTACACCCCATGGGGTTGGGCTACCGGCCTCAGGATCGCGGCCTGTTGTGCTGTGCTTGTGCTTGACGGACGAACGCCGGAGGCTCGCGTTGATTGGGAATCTCCCAGCCTCAGCGCGGCGTGCATTCGCTGGCCGCCGTGCTTGATCAGTCTGTACGTATTCTTTTCTCCGGCGTCATCAGTGTCCAGTCGGTCGCGCACATCACTCTCGTTTCGTTCGCCTCTGCCCCGTGTTGGGTCAGTCGTCGACGCATAGACAAGCAGGCAAGCATCGACAACACGGCCAGGCGCCTCGTGTCTGAGATTGTCCGTCGCCATCGGCGAACCTGCACAGAGGATCGGGAGCGTCGGGCGCTGGACACAACCACATCGGCGGCTTGACACCCATCTCGTCCGCTTCAGGCGTCCTCTTTCCGTATCGCAGATGCGACGTCTGGTACAGAGCGGCCGGCAGCCACTGTTTCCTCTCCACACGCACGCCAGGCCCGTCTGCCGGCCGCACGTCCTCACACGCCCCCCATCATCCCCCGTCCTCCCCACCCAGCGAGCGAGCGCTTGTCACTCCTTACCCTTGCAAGTGTCCTCCAAGACATTTGAGAATCTCGCAGGTCAACGGCCTGGACGGCGGTGCCCTCTCCGTCCGCACCCACTGCCCCCTGGTCTCTCCAGATGCCCGTTCGCCGCCACTTTAGCGTTTGGTCGCCGTCCACGACCCCCGCGGCCGAGCCGCCGCCACGACCTTTGCCCATGCCCCAGGAAAGCTTCTCGAGCCGCTGGGATGCTGCCGATGCGCCTTTGCATCCAGTGGGGGTTCCAGGGTCCTGGTCGGTCTGGCTTGGCGACTGGGCCCTACCACGGACTGGGTACTTGTCTGAAAAGCAATGTTCATCTGCCGCAGCCCGTGCATCTTACCTCCCCCCGGCCTTGCTTGATCTTCCGGTGACGTGCTCTGCGGGTAGGGAGGATGCTTTTCAAGATATCATGACCGCACCTCTTTCCCCCTTCTGCCCGGGCTGTATCTTCCACTTCAACTGCTCTGCACATCTCCTTCTTGGTCAAAACCCCTTTCCCCGCGTACGTTCTCCCTGGCCTGGACCACTTTTGCTCCGTGCAACCTCGTCCTCTTTGGACAAGCTCGTACGTGTTGGCTCCGCAAGTCTAGAGCTAGACGCAGGGCAAGAAGACACTTGCATGAGCCGTGCCAGTCCCCAAAAGAAATGCACCCGTCCTGTTTCTCATCCCTCTCGCGCATCTGACACACACCCCTCCCCAAAGAGAACCGAGACGTGAGCTTTTCCCAATCTCACCAACGTCTGAATCAAGACAGCTCGCCCTTGACCTGATCGTGTGGCAGCCTCCGCGCTATCCCGCCACCTTCTATCGGCCGTCTTCCAGACCAACCTCTACAACGGCCTGGCTCTGCTCTTCCAACAAACGCCTCGCGCAGCGTGTGTCGACTGTCATTTCCCTCCCTGCGAACGGCTCAGGTACCTGCAGAACGGCACATCGCATCTCCACCGCTCAAGGGACGACGTCCGTTTCTCACCGTTTTTGGACCGATCACTGCAGGCCAAGCTTGCCATGTAAGTCTGCCTAGTCACTGTACTCTAATTTCGATCTTCCCGAGGGCTTCTTGCGATGCCCCACGCTCTTGGGTAGCTCGAGTTCGAGCGAGGAGGCAACTCTTGAGACTCCGGGCTTGCCACGCGGGATGGAAGAGAATGCTGACCGCGACCAGTGAAAGACGCCCCCAAGCAACCTACACGCCCACGCCCAAAAAGAGGCAAACGACAGCGCGTTCCTCCGCGGGCTGAGCTCTGCACACCGTTGCTTCAGGAATTCATGCTTGTTCATCGCTGCCGCCCGGCCCAATAAGGCGGCACTTTTATCGGTCCTCTTCCGTGTCCTTCAAGCCTTCTTAGCTTGCTGCCTCGCACGTTCGAGAGAGGCTGCACGACAAGGGCAAAGCATTCTGCTCTCTTTGGGAATGTAACTGTCTCTGCCGAAGATCGGGGTCATTCTCCGCCACTCCAAGGATCTCTCGCCGCGCCAGTAAGATCACCCCAAGGCCCATCAGCTGTCTCACCCAAGCCCCCCTCCCCTGCCTTGAGGGGAAAGAAGCAACACCTTGGGGGCGTTACTGACGGGTCTCCGCAGCATAACAAAAGCATCTCACCTTCACCTTAGTCTCTGCCATCGTTGCAGCATATCAAATCTCCGAGAGGATCTAGTGCTTCCGACCGAAGGGAGCACTCTCACCTCCACAGTGGTTCTCGCTGAATAAGACCTCGACGAGACCTGGTTTAACTACCGCTGCGACCACCTCCCTCAGCCAAGACAAGTGGTTGGCATTCTTCACCTCTTTCCCTTCCCAAACTTGCGTCCTGTGGACTGTCTTCAACCATCTCGTGACAGCTTCATGTCTGCTGCCAAGTTCCAGTCTCCATCGTACAAGCTTTTCGAGGTGAGTCGACTCGCCCTGGATTTTGCCCTAGATGACTACGCGCGAAGGAAAAGGCGAGGAGCCACATCTGTGCTGTCTATGCTTCGCTTCGGTGTTGACCGCTCGCTGTCTCCTGCGCACTAAACGCGTCGGGGAGATCACCAACTGGACGCATCCGGACTGACAAGGCATAGCCAGACATTCACTCCGAGAAGCCGATAATCGTTGGCGTGGACGAAAGGCTCGAGTCGCCCGACACGCTTACTCTCAAGTACGAAGAAGCTGCACGAGCAGCCTGTGGGACGGAATCACGCAGGGACTCTCACGCCTCAGTCTTGGAAATGGCAACCTACAGCAAAGCGCAGTTGCCGTCGATGCACGGTTAGTACCCTCGCGGACGCGGATCAAGGTGCCCCAAAGACCTCTCGACAGCGCCTTTTGAATGTTTTCATGGACCTGCTTGTCAGAGGCGCTTGGATGCACCAGGATCGTGGCATCCTAGACCCGCCAGGTGGAGCGAAAATCAATATGCTAATCAGGATCCGCCGTTTGATCTCGCAGGCTACGATGCCAGTCGCTACCAGGATGCATCATATGAGCAATACCCGACGCAGTCCTTTTCTGCGCAGCAGACAGACAAATTTGCTCAACTCAACCAGCAGTCTTTTGCCTCGAATGGCGCGGTGGCACAGTACATCCCGACAGGCCCGACGGTCCTGTCTTGTCAGCCGACAACAGGCATGTTCGGCACCAAGGTCTTCTTGAAAATCTCCTCGCAGTACGACATGTTCGCCATGTCTCCGATGCCGTACTTTTGTCTTTACTTCGGGTCTGAAAAATGTCCCGTCCAGGATTTGGCGAGGGACTCTCAGGACAGCACAGGCTTTGTATACTCGTGCAGCGCTGATGCGCCACAAATGGTGGTCACGGGCTGTTCCGGCAATAACGTGCCACTGTCACTGGTGACTGAGGGCCCGTCGGGCGAAGAGATCTCGCGGACAGTGGCCGGGTCGTTTCAGTATCTCGAAGGGTCTGGGGACGACATCACGCGGACAGCCAAAATCCCCAAGCATGACTCCACGGCACCTGGACCCCAATCTGATCAGCCGAGTGCATCACCCAAAACTGTCGAAACTCACCTTTCGACAGATGCGGCTACAAATAGTTATGACTACCCGCCACAGCAAGGTCAATATGCGAACGACTTCTCGCAGGGCAACGGCGACATGATCTCTACGTACAGGACCACCAGCTTCACAGATCCTCACTACCATCGACGGTCGGCGCCGGGATGGAGCGGCTTCGGCGGGACTCTGGGTAGCACGGGGAGGTCGCACATGCTGGATCATGCTGGGCTGGGGACAGGGCGACCAAGCTTGACGCCACTGCCGATGCCGTCGACGACAAGCAGCGGGACCCCACAGCTGATCCGCACCAGCACCATCGCCAACGGGGCTGGCGGGAACGGGCCGTACCATCCCATTTCTCTCTACTCGAGCAAGGCCGTCCTCAAGATTAATGGCAAGCTCGATACGATGGCCGAGAACTGGACACAAGAGGAGTGGGACAACAGAAGGCGCATCGTCATGTTCCGCAAGAGTCAGACCGGCTCGACCCTCTCGGCCAGCTTTCGGGCTGTCCCCGTCAACGAGCGGCCCCCAAACAGCATCTGCATCTCGTGCATCTGGTGGACGGAGAAGGGCGAGTGCTACGTCACATCAGTTGACACCATTCACCTCTTGGAACAACTCGTTGCGGCCCCGAACCGATTCAGCGTCGAGGAGAAGAACCGCATCCGTCGAAACCTGGAAGGGTTCCATCCCCTCACGGTCTCGAAGGCGAAACCGGAGAGCGAAGAGTTCTTCAAGATCATCATGGGCTTTCCGAACCCCAAGCCCCGCAACATCGAGAAGGACGTCAAGGTGTTTCCTTGGAAGATCCTCGAGCCCGCGCTCAAGAAGATCATTGGCAAATACAGCGCCAGCCCTAGCAGCACCCTGCCTCCGGCCACGATGATCCCGGCCAGCGCACCTTATGCCACACTACCGACTCCGCCGGGGCAAGGCATGTCATCGCAACAGAGCCTTCCCTCGCAGCACGGCGACCCCCAGAGCCAGTACTCTGTCCACGGTAGCCACCACGACTCGATCCCGTCGCCGCGGTCTCTCTCCGGCTCGCAGGCATCGTGGACGCCATACACGACGGCCCCGGCGTATCCGGCCGCTGCGGCTCGCACGCTGAGCCCCAACATCCGACATGCAAGCCCGCAGCAGCATCAACCGCCACCTATGCGCATCAATACCACTCCACTCCCCGCGGTGACGACGTACGACACGCGGACAGTGTCCACGGGAGGGTACAGCTCAACGGGCTTGCACACGCCCATCAGTCACCACCCGTCCACAGCCACCCCTCCGCGATGGGACACGCCCTCGGCCAGCTACACAGACAGCTACTCCAGCTTAGCCGCACACCACCCTCAGCCTAGCCACTCGGTTTACAACACGGCCGGGTACGGGGATGGCGCACCACGCGCATGAACACGGCCATCAAGAGGGTCGGCGCCACAAGCAGGTGGGCGTCTTGCTGCAAGGACGCCGGACCTCTATCCCGGCTTTCTGTCTCGTATTCATGCAGTGGGTGCTTTGACTTTCGGGCAATCCAAGTTTAAGCAGTCTGAGAGACGAGATATCATGCCTCGTGAACATGGCGGAGGTGTGTCGCGGCAGAGTCAGGTGTTGTGGCGCAGGCCAATGGGGGCGGCAGCCCGCCCTCCATGAGGCGGTTGGCCTCCATCCCGAGTCCTGACTGGGATGTGCCGGCGTCACGTAACCGCAGCATGGTGCCGCACCCTGCATGGCGTCGCTGAGACTGCCGCTAGGCATGGCCCGATGGTGGTCGGTCCATGACTGGATGGCAGGTCTTCGGTCTTGGCAAGCTCTGTCGATGATACCCCATGCCACCATGACACGCGTCGAACTCTGCTCTGTGGCAATATCTCTCCATCGCTCAGCCTCGTTATAACGGATGCGATGTCACCGACTTTCGCACGACCATCCATGAGGAGGGCTCGGTGCGCTAGCGTATAGCGCAACTCAGTGTCGCTTGGGCGGCAAGGGGCCAAAGGGCCAACAGCATCATCGCATGGCTTCATGGGAACGGGCATGTCTGCGACATCCTGTGGCAACGAACGCTAGCTTTACTTGTAAAGCGGACGGGTTGGCATGCTCGGCCATTACACCGCAGCGAACGGCCCCTTAGCATGGCTCTCATATTATACGACTCTCCTTTCCGGCGCCGGAGTTGCTGTTTTCCATGACCTCATGTCATTTCCGTCTCTCGAAACCCTTTTGCGTCGGGCAAACTATAGACGAAGGATCATAGTTGAATGCTTTTTTTTTTTTTTGGCGACTTGGCCAGCTCGGTATCCTGTCGCACATTTCCTACTTGTACGCGGTCGGGGGGCTTCACCAGGGATGGACCGGACAGGGCGATGGGGAGTAGGGGCCCTCTCTGTTTACATAGGCATCTTATACCCTTTTGTGTGTGTGTTTGGGCGGAATTTACTAGATATCACCACGGAGAGCTGCCATTCGCACGAGCTACTATTCTGCTTGCCACTGGCCAAGGATGGGATGGCCAAAGGACTCACCGTGGAGGACGGGCGTGGGACATCAAGGGCGAGACGAGACGACTGGGCGCAGGACTTGATATTGAACATAGAAGCCAAATCCGTAATTACTAATTCCGATTCATGATGACAAGTTGCTTCGTAATGACGGGACATTGTGATTGACGTGGTGATGCTACAGTTTTTTCATGGCAAGATGGGGAAGGACCTGCCACACCATTGCGGCCATGATCAGACGGTATCACGGAACTACACTGCATCGTGTCGCAGATGTCATCTAGGGCCTTCGCAGTGCGAATCTTCGATAACAATGCCAAGCTCATTCATGTATTTCTTGTGAAACAGCATCAATCTGAACGCGGCCATCTGAGCCGCCACGCTTCGATATCCACCATTACAGGTAGAGAGGCAGGGGCAGGGTACGTGGAACCGCCCGGCGGGCAGAACACAACCATCTAGATACATGATTTCAGCGCTGGAGCTGAGAGACTTTGTCGCAGAACCCCGTGACGACGGCGACATCTGTCGGTGCATGTACATGTACTCTACGACATACACGGTAAGCCCATCCGCGCAGCACAGTCCTGCGTTGTGTACAGCACAGCACAGCACGGCACACTCAGAAGGGGGGCGGGCTCTTATCGGATGCCTGGGCCGGCGGCGCGGCAAGTCGACAAGGCGACCTGGACAAAAGAAGGAAAACTTGGAAACATCCCAACGTTAAGGGAGCAGCAGCAGTTGACACTACGTTGAGGAATACGAGGATCCTACCGTTTTACAATGGGCGGTGAATGAACATGAAGCGCCTGGCCGCCCCAGCCGTGTTGACATGGAGAGAAAGAGAAAGTCGTCGGCGTTAACGTGCGCTGATTCTGATTCACTCCCCCAACAGCTCGTGCCAGGTGAGACCCTTCAACTGAATCATGACAAGGAACACTTTTCTTTGCATCAGGTACGCTTGCAGCAAGCCATCGGGAAGAAAGCAGGGAGGGGGGGCGTGTGCCTTCTTGTTCACGAGTACATGCCTAACATGCTCAACTCAACTCAACTCCCTCTGATCGGTCAGTCAGACACATCAGCGAAGCCCGGCCAAGCCAGCTCGTCGTCGTGTCATCATCAATGGTTGGCACCCCCGTCAGTCAGCCAGTCAACCAGTCAGTCCGTCCTCGTGGAACTCGTAGAAGCCAGACCCAACTTCCTTGACCTTGCCGCTCCGGGGCAGCCTCACCCTCGCGCGCGCGTTCGGCGGCACCCAGACCTGCATTTCGAAGCGTCCGCCGGCGGCCATGTTCCACTTGACGCGCAGCTCGCCGTAGCCGCTCACGAAGCGCGTGTCGGCGCTGGTGATGCCTCCGCCGGGGACGGGCTCGACGGCCGCGACCCTCCAGCCCGGCTCCGCGGGCGCCAGGCCCCCGACCGTGGCGTGCACCCAGTCGGCCACGGCGCCGAAGGCGTAGTGGTTGAAGCTCGTCATGGAGCCCGGGTTGACGTGGCCGTCGGGCAGCAGGCTGTCCCAGCGCTCCCACGTCGTGGTCCCGTTCTGCACCACCTGGTATAGCCACGACGGCACGCGCGTCTGCAGAAGCATCTTGTAGAAGTCGGCGGTTGCGTTGGCGGCGTCGCGCAGCGCGGGACCTAGCGCAGGCGTGCCCGCGAAGCCTGTTCCCACGAGGTACTCGTTCTTGGCCACGATGTCCCTGAGCGTGGCCACGGCCGCGGCGCGCTGCGTCGTGTTGGTGTACAGGCCGAAGTCGAGGGCCAGCGCGTACGCCGTCTGCGTGCGGTTCGCCATCTGCCCGTCGGTGCCCGTCATCCACGCCCCCTGGAACTTGGCCCGCAGGTCGTCGTGCTGCGCCGTGTACTTGTCCGCGCTCGCGGCGTCGCCCACCGCGCGCGCCATATCGGCGAGAACCTCAGTCATGCGCACCAGGTACGCGTCCGCGACGAGGTACTTTGCCGTCGTGGCCGCGCCCGCGTCCTCCGGCGGCGCCTTGGGGTCGAGCCAGTCGCCGAACTGCGGCCCGCTGCGATCCCACAGCCCGTCGGCCTGCCGCGGGATGCCCTTGTCGATCCAGCCCCGGGACTGCGGGTACTGCTCCTTGAGCATGCCGACGTCGCCGTACGCGCGGAACAGGTCCCACGGCCCGGCGACCGAGACGTCGCCCCAGACGGCGGCGGGGGAGTCGTTGCTGTCCGGCGGCACCGTGGGCACGAAGAAGGGCACGCGCATCGAGTCGTTGCGCTGCATCTCCGAGTACATGTCGCGGTGCCACCCGCGCCAGAAGCCCGCCGTGTCGTAGAGGAAGTTGGCCGTCGGGCCGAAGGCGTGCGCGTCGCCCGTCCAGCCGAGCCGCTCGTCGCGCTGCGGGCAGTCGGTCGAGATGCTCAGGAAGTTGCCCTTCATCGACCACCGCACGTTGGAGTGGAACTGGTTCAGCAGCGCGTGCGAGCACTGGAACCATCCCGTCTGCTCGAGGTCGCTGTGTACGACGATGCCCGTCACCGAGTCGGCCGTCAGGGGCGTGTCCTCGGGCCAGCCGTCAATCTGCGCGAACCGGAAGCCGTGGAACGTAAAGTGCGGCTCCCACGTCTGCGAGCCGTTGCCGTGTAGGATGAGGGTGTCTGTTGCTTTGGCGCTGCGTAGGGGCCGGAGGGCTAGTTCACCGTTGTCGATAACCTCGGCGTGGTGGAGAGTGATGTTGGTGCCGCTGGGTCCCTTGACGTTGTTCAGGCGCAGCCATCCGACCATGTTTTGTCCGAGATCGATGAGCGTCTTGCCAGACGCTGACTTGAAGATGCGCTCCGGCTTGCGTTCCTCCAGCCTCCGCACGGGAGGCCCATCTGCAGGAACGAGCTTGCCCTTGAGCGGAGACAGCTTCTTGACTGCAAGCCAGTCCTTGTCGTCGAACGAGCCCAAAGACCATCCCTTGAGGTCGGCCTCGAGTCTCGAATCGTAAGACTCTCCGTCGTATATCTCTGAAGAGGTGATGGGGCCGGTGCTGGCTTTCCAGGACTCGTCGGTGGGTACTTTCTTGGTTGTGCCGTTCTTGTAAGTGACTGTCAAGAGAGACTGGACGCCAAGCGTGTCTCCCCAAAAGTTGCGGTGGTCGGAAAACGCGAGCCTCCCGGCGAACCATCCCTCTCCGACGGCAACGCCAATCGCATTGTCGCCAGCTTTAATGAGGTCCGTGACGTCGTAGGTGTCATAGACGTGGCGGTAGTTGAACGACTGCCATCCCGGCGCGAGGACGGCATCACCAACCCGCTTGCCATTGATCTCGGCTTCATAAAGCCCCAGGGCCGTGATATACAGTCGCGCAGACTCGACATCCTTGCCGGTGAGAAAGCCCTTGCGGAAGTAAAGGGGACGCTTCGGCCCACTGACTTCCGTCTCGCGATCCGCCGCAATGGGCACCGCGCCAGCCCAGTCCTCTGCAGTCAGGAGGCCGGTCTCGACGGCAACCCAGTCGGACCACGGCGTCGACGACTGCCCGCGCTTACCGTGTGCTCTGGCACGAACTTTTGCGCGCTCGGCACTCTTGAGTGGCGCGCCGGGCCAAGGGACGTACCGAGACTCGGACGATACCTTTGAGTAGGAGGACGTCGCATCGTGATGCTGCGGTGACTTGCCGCCGCGGACGACCTGTATGTCGTACGACGACTGCTCCCAGTTTTGCGCGTGACCGCCGAAGCGCCACGAGATGCGAGGCTGCGTCTCCGCAATGCCGAGGGCGACGCGGTGGTGCTCGAACGCGAGCTGCGAGATGGAGACGGCCATTGTACAGGCTTGTACCCTCCGTAGAGGGCTGACTATATCTTATGCTTCTCTCTGCCGCTCGTGATGGCTCCACATTGGCTTCTACATATGCCAGTCAACTCCAATATATAGTCAAAACCACAGTTGTCGCGTCTTCGGTCCGTACGCGACGTCACCACTTACAAGCAGTAGATTGATCCAGGGCGTTCGGCTCGACTTGTCCCGTAAACGCGAGGCGCGGGGACGGGGGATGCTTCTCCGCAAACCTGGGGATGAGCCTAGCAGGAGGGGTTGAGGACGGCAGTGTCGATCCCTTCGCCGTGAGATTGGGCCGAGGAGTCGAGGGCATACTAGCCCATTGCCGGGCTCGGCTCATCGCATTGTCAGCATGGCGAGCGGCCCGTTTGCGGAGCCGATGCACCACTTGTCATCGTTTCGTATACGAGAGCATGACCGGGACGGGTTATGCACAAGGCGCGAGGTTGCATCCTTGACCTGTGTGACGAAGGAATGGCGGGGTAAGGAGTTCTGGATCGAGCGAGACTAGCGAGCGGGAATGACCGCATAAGGGCGCAGCTTTGTTGTCTGTGTAAGCGCGCACCTAGGCTGTGTACGAAGTAGTTCCGTCGGTTGCAAGGCCTGTTGTTGGTCGCATCGGCAGATATCGAGTGCCGCGTGGGGGCCATGACAGCTGGGCGGTTTGTTGTTGCACATGGCGAAAACAGCTGTCGTGCAAAGCTGAAAGGGTGAATCTGTCGCGCACAGCTCTCGCCAAAGGCGAGCAGGTCAGAGTCGAGCTTGCGTATTGGTCTTCGTGTTCAACTGGGACACCCAATCGGAACATTTCAACTTTCTTCGGCATGAACTTCTCCTCTTTCTCGTTGGGCGACTGTGCTTCAACCACATGAGGGACTTGCTGGCGGTGGATAAGGGGAGAATACGAAGTGCTTCGACTTGCATTGAGAGGGGCGAGGCGCAACTGTCCCGACCGGAGCCTTTTTCATGCAGTTTTGAGGGGCGATCGAAGGCAGCACAGCTTGTAGCACCCCACGAGCGTATGCAAGGCTTGTCCGACCATGCAAGTCTGACGTCGGCTAGATGCGGTGGTGCTCCACGGCTGGAACCTCAGCTACATGAACACGGTGACATTGAGGGGGATAAGCGGAAGCAGGTGCGTTGCAATTGCTTCGTATCCACGGGTGTCATTAAGGGGCAGAGAAACACCGGTGGGACAGCATGAGTGGCAGGCAAATCAACGTGCAACGGCCTGCCCTGTGCCAGCCGACGCGAACGACGCGCGCCGACAGCCCGACGGGGTTACTTCGTCATAGGAGCGACATTATTCTTCGTGATATAGCACTTTTTATACGGTTGGCGAAATTATGCCCGAGGCGGGACCCCCGGTCAGCGTATCATCCGATGCGAGGTCGGCTACGATGCCCTCGCCTCTTTTGCATGAACTCGCCTCCATAACGCCACACGCGCGGCAACTAGTATGTACATCATCTGATTGACAGCGGGACTTTGAGTTTTCGCAAGTAAGTCAGCGGCACTTTCGCTTCGGAACTCGGCACTTATGCTGTGTGTCCCTTCATGCGATGCGCTGCCGCCTGTGCTGTGCTGTCCGATGCGTTGAAGCCTTGGGGCGAGGGTCGAGACGGCTGAGGCGCGGCCCCAGATATTATGTGGGCACCAACGGGACTTTGAACGGCGGTATGCCGTGTCACAGATCAATGAGCGGGGGAAGTCGAGAAAGGGGGGCTGTCGGCGTTGTGGCATCATTGCAGGTTGTATGCGGTGTGTTCCCTGTCCGTGAATATAAAAGACGAGCGTGTCTCTGTTCTGAACGATTCTTCTCTTCTCCTTCTTCATCAAACACACAATCCTCCAGACAGCACAGCCCATCAAGACACACGAACACCACGCCAAAAAGTCATCATGAAGTTCTTTGCGACCCTCTTGCTCACTGCCGCCGCGGGCACTGCGATGGCTGCAGAGGACCAGTGCGCGACTGTCGGTGAGAGGTGCAACCTCAGCATCCACCCTCCAGTCCGGTGCTGCCCGTTCATGACCTGCGCGGGAGTCACTCGTCCCGGCGAATGGGGATGGGTAAGTTTTGTCCTTCAATTGCTATGAAGGCAGGTGTCAAGTGCCGTGAAACTGATTCGTGTCGGGGACAGTGCCGCAAGGATTAGACGGATACAAGCAGCGAGTCAGTACCCTACCACATTGGTGGACTGGTGGACAGAGGTGCACGTCACTGTTCGGGACGAGATGGGAGCTGGATTGTCTCGTCGAAGGGCTTCGGGATGAGCTTCCTCCTGGCTGCTAGTTTGTGTAGTTCAATGGGTGTTCGCTGTCCCGATTTGCAATTAGATGCCGCAAAGGATGCGTCTTGGCAGTCTGATTCACAGCACAGTACTATCACAAAGGAGGCAATGAAAGGCGACATGACTCGTAAATGTCGTGTTCAAGGGTCAGTCTTGGTTCTACCGCGCGTTTGCTGCATGCCGTTTTGTTTGCCGTAGAGAAGCAGCTGTGTTACTGTTACACGATCACCGACGTTGTCAGTCAGGAATGTGTCTGCAGGATTACTCCATGCCCCAATCTGAGGTCGCAAGCATGGCGGTACAGCCAGCCACGGGCTGCACCCTGGCGTAATACGCATATACAGGTGTAACTGTCTTTCTTCGTAATCTCAGGAGTTTGAAGACGAGTAATACAGGCAGAAAATGGCCCAACGTGGCACGGCAGAGTGACAGGCGAGCCGATATCGGGATAACACAGGAAGGATTTCGGTCCCCCCACGTACACTCCCAAAAGGTATAAAGAGAGGCGGACAAGACTCGGGAGTGAACATTGGCATTGATCAAATCACCGATACATTGTGACCAACACAACGATACACTCGCCATGAAGTTTGCCGTGTCTCTCCTCGCAGTAGCTGCGGCCAGTGCCCTGCCCTCGAAAGAGCAAATCTTCGAGAGAGCGCCAAAGTGCAGCCTCGCCGGGCAGGAGTGTTACCCGGATTCCTCGCCCGCTGTCCTCTGTTGCCCGAATATGAACCTCTTCTGCGATAGGCCGTCGAATGTTCCGCCCCGCGTGCCAGGATTCGTACGTCCTGCTCCTGCACGTCTTCCGACTGAATGAGGCTGATGTGTTTGAACAGTGTCAGAGTACTGTCCCGACGGTTTAGATGACGCAAGGGAAAGAAAGCATGAGAGATTTGACTTGCACGTCAGCTTGTATCCCGTTGTGTTGTTCGTATACATCTACGTACATGACTGCGTACATAGGGGGAGAGACTCCTTGCTCTAGCGCTGGTCACGCAGCACTAGATTCGTGTCGCTCGATGTCAAGAGAACGGTCACCTAGTTGAAGAGTGGATTGAAACATGGGAGTTTCGAGTTGACGAGTTGACGAGAGTGAGAGGACATGGTTCCTCCTGTTGTGTTGTGCCTGATCAGGCTGCAATGTCTTTAGCGCGAGGCATCAAGAACACTTGACCTACACAGCCTCCTTTGCAGCGTCAAATGCTGAGAGGTCTTTCCCCGTTGTGATACATTGGGGAGAAATAATTCATTTTCGGTCATCGAACCGAAATATGCCGGCGTTTGACTTGCCGTTTTTGACCTCTTCTTCCATCCTCACGGCAACGACTACACGAGCCAGCCGTCGGCGATGGTTGGCAATACCATCGTCCGCCGCGGGGCGGCCCAGACCTGCGGCTTCGTGACGACGATGCCCCAACGTGTCAGCCGTCGCGCGCATTGCGACCTGCCCGAAGTACGACGATGCTCGTGGCTCATGACAGCACCGTCTCCAAGCCGCCGCTGCTACAGCTCCGCGTCCGGACCCTCCTCGGCGCGGCACGTCAATCCTTGCTTGGGAGAGTCGCTTAGCCTTACCGACGGACGCACGCTCGGTTATCATCTTTACGGTGCCCCGGATGGCATTCCCGTCTTGTACATCCACGGCGTCGCCGACAGCGGCATCACGCTGGAGGGCAAGGAGGACCAGCTGGCCAAAGACATGGGCATCCGGTGGATCGCGCCCGATCGCCCTGGCGTGGGCAAAAGCACCCGCCAGCCCGGTCGGTCCATCCTCAGTTACACCGACGATATACGCCAGCTGGCCCAGCACCTGGGCCTGAAACGGTACTACATGTTTGGCGTCAGCGGCGGCTCGGCTTACACGCTCGCCTGCGCCAAGATGCTGCCCCGCGAGCAGGTGCGCGGCGTGGGCGTCTGCGCGGGTGTCGCGCCGTGGCACGCCGGACGTCGCGGCCAGACGCTCAAGATCATGTATCAGATGTACATGATGAAGTACTGGCCGACACGGCTGCTGGGGAAAACGCGCGACGTCTACGTGCCGCTGGCGCGCGATCCGGACCCGACGGCCATGGCGAACCGCTTCCGCGAGGACCTGCTTCCGTACATGGACGCGGCTCAGGCGGACGCCTACATGGAGACGGATCCCATGCAGAGTGCCGTGCGCGTCTTCAGGCAGTGCTACGCCCAGGGCATCGAGGGGCACGTCGACGACATGCGGGTTCTGACGCGGCCGTGGGGATTTCGCATCGAGGACGTCGGGTATGAGGGCGTCAAGCTGTGGTATGGCGGCGCCGACGTCAACACGCCGCCGGGCATGGGCTTGCACCTCGCTCGCCGATTGCCAAAGAGCGTCTATAAGGAGTATCAAGGGGAGACGCATTCGTCGCTGCTGGGCGGAGGGTGTCTGCGTGGGAAGCTGCGCGAGCTGATTGCAGATGCATAACGGATCCAGGGGCAGAATGGGGGCTGGCGAAGCTCTCTCCTATAGTGTTGCCGATGTTCGATAGCCACGTGTGTAAGAAGGTATGGTTGACGTGAGCTTCGGGGATGATGACGAAGCCTCGGAGGGTCCTCGATATGGAACAGAATTATTGAACTGGTTGAGATCGCCCCACCGGTTGCTCAGATGCAGGTTCACACGACCCGGACAGCTGGTTCGAGCTCCGCCAGGCGGCGGTTCCCACCGCCCTAACGCGGAGGGGCCCTCCACTGTAAGCGCCCCGGCAGAGGACGACGGCGCCCCAACAAATCACTTATCACTGGCCCCGCGACATCCACTGGGACCAGACAGTTGGGCGGCCCGGCCCCCCCGCTGTCTGGTGCGCCAGCGCTCCAGCGGGCTTGTCGAATTGGCGAGTGACGGTTGAGCAACTGCCCTGGCCGACTGCCCCGACGTTGCACGGGCGGGCGGCAGGTCGCGAATCTGTGACTCCAGCTGCCGCATCTCTCCGTGCGTCTGCCGCCGCCTCGTTTCGATATATCACGCACACCTTCTCCCCCCCGCCAATTCAACTCCTCTCCTCCTCCCCTCTCCTCCCCATGCAGCCAATTCGCCTCTCTGCCCGCCCCCTGCTGCGCTCCGTCGCTGCCGCCTCTCGCCCGTCGCACGCCGCAAGAGCCATCGTCCCCTCCGCGATCGCCTCAACGACTGCCGCTACCACCACCGCCGCAAACCGCCCTCGCTTCGGAAGCAGCTGCTGCTCCTCCCCTCCCACGCCCCCCGGCACGATCCCGAGCAGCGCCCGCAAAATGTCCGACAACACCGGCAGCAGCGGCACGAACCCGCTCAAGCGACCGGCGTCGCCCGCCGAGGTCTCGCAGTACCTCCAGGAGACGCACGACCGCCTCTTCGACAACAACCGCGCCTGGGCCGCCGACAAGGCGCAAAAGGACCCCGGGTACTTTGCCCGCCTCTCGGCCGGCCAGTCGCCCGAGTACCTCTGGATCGGCTGCTCCGACTCGCGCATCCCCGCCGAGCAGATCACGGGCCTCGAGCCCGGCGAGGCCTTCATCCACCGCAACATCGCCAACCTCGTCTGCAACACGGACCTCAACGTCATGAGCGTCATCAACTACGCCGTCCGCCACCTCGGCGTCAAGCACATCATCGTGTGCGGCCACTACGGCTGCGGCGGCGTCAAGGCCGCCATGACCCCCAAGGACCTCGGCCTGCTCAACCCCTGGCTGCGAAACATCCGCGACGTCTACCGCCTGCACGAGAAGGAGCTCGACGCTATCCCCGACGAGGAGGCCCGCTACAACCGCCTCGTCGAGCTCAACGTCGAGGAGCAGTGCCGCAACATTGTCAAGACGGCCGCCGTCCAGCAGTCGTACGCCAAGAACCAGTACCCCGTCGTCCACGGCTGGGTCTTTGGCTTCCACGACGGCCTGCTCAAGGACCTCAAGATTGACTTCCAGGCCATGCTCAAGAATGTGCAAAAGATTTACAACCTGACCGACTAAACTAAGCCCGGTCGTTTTATCGTTGGCCGGGGGCGTTTATCGTGGAGAGTGGGCATTCGGTTGAGCACACCGTTTTGTCTCGATTGAAGCATTGGGGCGGATAGGCGTTGATTGGAGGGGATTTGGGTGGCGCAGATGTTATGGAAAAGTGCGGTGAGCGTTGATGATGACGGATGAGCTGACGCCAGACAGCACTGTTGGATACCATGAGATGTACGGAATGCACTCTTCGAATACGAGACTGTATTTCTCCCATGATGCTAGCTTGCGCACACCACAGTTATCTGCGTACAATGCGGTGTGACACTTGGCTGCCCGTGCAGCGAACCTGGCCCCGGCCACCGACGGCATTTGCGTTGGAGCGATCCGGTTCTGTCCCGGTTTCCGGCGAAGCTTCCTCACGTCGCAACAGTTTTATGAAACACGGCCGCTCGGCATGTCACTGATGACGAATTCAGAACGATGCCAGGTCTAGAATAAATGGTGGTATTTTTGCACCCAGTATGAGGGGCAACTATGCAGTTTCAACTAAAAGCGAATATCCTGTAAAGCATGCCATCACAAATGGCTCTACTTTCCTCCCCCTTCTCCTCCACCACAACTCTGCAAACGCTCTACTGCAGCCTCTATGCACATGACGATGCAAATATACAACAATTATACCTCGCCGGCGGCGTTCAGCGTGGTGCCGCGCGAGAGGGTGCGCTTGGACGTCGAGTCGCCGGTGTCCTTGCGCGAAAACGAGGCCCACGTCTTGAAGCTCGACATGGACAGCGTCTTGCGGAACTTGGGGCCCTGGTCGTCGGGCCCGCCCTGGCCCCAGACGCCGCGCTGGACGGCGCGGTCCTCGAGCAGGCGGAAGTGGCGCTTGCACATCTTCCACAGCTCGATGCCGGCGACGAAGACGATGGTGAAGCCGACGGACAGCGCCCACTCCCAGCTGATGCCCTTGTGCTTGAAGAACTTTGTGTTGAGGAAGGGGATGTAGACGACGGGGAAGACGGACAGGGCGCCGATGATGACGGACCAGAAGAGGAAGCGGTTGGCGTACAGGTCCTTGAAGAGCGGGAAGCGGCTGTCGTCGTCGGGGTTGAGGCGGAACATGGACCGGCGCAGGCTCTTGAACTCCCACGCCGAGATGAGGATCAGCCAGGTCAGCTCGGCGAAGGTGGCGGCGCGGGCGCGGAAGACGGGGTTGCAGGCCTCGCTCCAGTTGGTGTTGCAGTCGACGCCCAGGTTGCCGTCGTTGGCGCCGTAGATGATGATGCAGAAGGTGCACATGGTGCAGGCGCCCATGATGACGCCGTAGACAATCATGTCGACGATGATCTGGTTGGTGAAGACGCCGCGCTTCTTGTCCTGGGGCGGCTTGCGCATCACGTCCGAGGCGGCCTGCTCGCGGCCGAGCCCAAACGCCGGGAACGACGACGTCACCATGTTGATCCAGATGATCTGCAGCGGCGAGACGGGGAACACGGAGAAGCCCGTCTCGTCGACGAAGCCCAGGCCGGCGATGAGCAGAATCACCTCGCCGACGTTGGACGTCAGCAGGTGCAGCACAAACTTTTGGATGTTGTCGAACATGCGGCGGCCCTCGCGGATGGCGGCGACAATCGAGTTGAACTTGTCGTCGGTCAGGACGATCTTGGCGGCCGACTTGGCCACGTCGGAGCCGGAGCCCATGGCGATGCCCACGTCGGCGCGCGACAGCGAGGGCGCGTCGTTGACGCCGTCGCCCGTCATGGCCATGAAGGCGCCGCGCCGGCGCAGCGCCTCGATCATGCGCGTCTTGGTGTCGGGCGCGCACCGCGCAATCACCAGCGGCAGCTCCTCGAGCGCGTCGATCTCGTCGTCCGTCATCTTGTCGAAGTCGGTCGCCTTCTGCACAATGGACTCGGCCACGTGCTCGGGCAGCACGCCCAGGTTCCTGGGGATGATGCCCACCTCCTTGGCGATGGCCTTGGCCGTCTCCGGGTGGTCGCCCGTCAGCATGTGCACCTTGATGCCCGCCTGCGAGCACTCGCCGATGGACGGCTTCGTCTCGCGCCGCGGCGGGTCGTAGATGCCGGCCAGGCCGAGCAGCGTGAGGCCCTGCTCGACCTCGCCGCGCAGCGCCTCGTCCTCGGCCGCCGACGACGACTGCTTGGCCCGGAAGCGGCCCTCCCACGGACGGTACGCGATGGCGAGCACGCGCTGGCCCTGCGACGCCAGGCGGTTCATCTGCCCGAGCACCGACTCCTTGAGCTCCTCGGTCACGGGCTGCTGGTCCGCGCCGCAGCCGACGTAGTCGCACAGGTCCAGGATGCGCTCCACGGCGCCCTTGGTGAAGACGATGCTCTTGTCCGACTCGACGATGGACCCTTCCTCGGGCTTGTCGTCGGCGGGCGCGTCGTAGATGACCGACATGCGCTTGATGGAGCTGTCAAAGGGAAACTCGGCGAGCTGCTTCCAGCCGCCCTTTTCGAGCGACCGCTTGCCCAGCTTGAAGCGGTGCGAAAATACCTGCAGCGCAATCTCCGTGGGCTCGCCCGTCGTCTGCCACTTCTCCTCGTCGTCGTCGTACCGGACCGTGGCGAGGTTGCACAGGGCGGCAGACAGGAGGAACGCCTTGAGGGAGGGCGTCATCTCCGTCTCCATCTCGGGCTCGGGCTCCTTGGGTTTGGTGGGGTTGAGCTTCTCGTCGGGGACGTCGAACTTGATGCCCGCGGCGCTGCGCTCCTTGTCGTAGTCGCGCTGCTGCTTGGGCTCCTCGGCGGCGGCGACGGGCTCGTCCTTGTTCTGCGAGTAGGTGACGCGGCCCTTGGTCGGGTCGCTGGGGCTCTGCGACTCGCGCACCGTGTAGAGGTGCGACGAGGGGATCCAGGCCTGGCGCACAATCATGGCGCCCTCGGTCAGGGTGCCCGTCTTGTCGGAGCAGATGTTGGTGACGCCGCCGAGGGCCTCGAGCGCGGAGAGGTCGCGCACGACGACGTTGGCCTTGCGCATGACGGTGACGGCGACGACCATGGTGATGGTGAGGACGCTGAAGATATTTGAGTTAGCCAAAACGCTCTCCGATCTTCACAGAGGAAGAACAAAGGGGTAAGGGGGGTGAAGACATACGCAACGAGCGACTCGGGGATAATGGCAATGCCGAGCGAGGTGGCGTAGATGATGACCTCGTTGCGCAGGTCAAAGTGGTTGACGCCAAACACCACCATGGCGAGGATGATGGCGCAGCCAAAGAGCACGTACGCCAGGGCCGACAGCTTGCGCTGCAGCGGCGTGCCCTCGGTCAGGCCCAGGAACTTGCCAATGACATCGTAGGTGCGCTTGGCGAGGCCGACGACGGGCTGGCGCTTGCCGTACTTGTGCCAGTTCATGGAGCGGCCGGGCTTGCGCTGCTTCTTGTGCGTCGAGGCGGCGATCTTGCCCACCTCGGTGGTCATGCCCGTGGCCGTGACGATGCCGCGCCCGCGGCCCTTGCGCACCACCGTCGTCGCGTACACCATGTTGACGCGGTCGCCGATGCCAATCTCCTCCTCCGACGTGGCGTGCTTCTCCGTGCCGGGCACCACGATGGTGTTTTCCGTGATCTTCTCCACGGGGATGGACTCGCCCGTCAGCTGGCCCTCCTCGCAGGCCAGGTTCATGGCTTCGAAGAGGCGCATGTCGGCGGGGACCGTGTCGCCCATCTTGAGGAGGATGATGTCGCCGGGGACGACTTCGGGGCTGTTGGGCGCACACACAAGTTAGTTATTTTGTTTACGAATTCATAAAGGGACTGGGCGGGAGAAGAAAACATACTTGGATATGACTTGGGTCTTGCCGTCGCGCAGCACCATGGCGCTGGGCGAGGACAGGGCGCGCAGGGCGTCCATGCGCTTCTCGGCGCGGTATTCCTGCCAGAAGCCAATGGTGACGTTGAGGACGATGACGAAGGCGAGCACGCCGCCCTCGATGTAGTCCTTGATGCCAAAGCTCAGGGCCATGGCGAATGCCAGAACCTGCAGATTTGCGTGTTAGTCTATTGGCCGTTTCGCGCCCCTATGTTATCCAGAGACACGGGGCAAGGGGGGGTTCGCAGGGGGCTGTCACGCACAATAATCATGGCATTGAGAATCTGCTTGGTCAGGATGCTGTACCAGGGAATGCCCTCGCCAACGTCCAGCTCATTCTTGGGGTATTTCTGCTGCAGGTCGGCGACCTGAGCCGAGGTGAGGCCCTTGTCGACATCGGTGCGGAGCGCCTGCGCCGTCTCCTCGGCGGAGAGGAGGAACGGGTGCTTGGGGAACTCAGCCATTGTCGCACGACGGGGGCAGGTGGCAGGCGGTCTGGGGGCTGCGCTGCTCGACGGCGGACGAGGGGCGCAGGCTGCTGGGAGACAACAAGGCCTGGAGTTGCTTCATAGACGACGCAACGGCGCGGATGGCCGGTTTTGCTTCCGACGAGGCGGCGGCGCGTACGGCCTTTTTCGTTGTGAGCCGTGAGGCGGCGGTGGTGGCGTAAGTGATGGGAGGGGACTCGCTGGCGGTGGCAGCAGCAGCGTCAGTCAACTCCTCCTCGGCTCTTTTGTTGTTTGGTGTAACGTGTAACGAATCCCAATTGACGATGATCCCAGAGTATGATTACAACCCGGGAATCGGTATGAAAGGGAAAGGATATCTAATAATGACAGAATGGGTTGGAATGAAGGTTCAGGGCTAAGCAGCACCGCATGCGGGGACCAGCTCCGTATAAGTAGTAGCCATCGCCGAATCGAAGCCGCATCCATCTCCGGAGTGTACCTTGCGCGCCTCTCCACTCCGAAGGCTGGGCATGAAATCGCACGGCGAACAAGGAACACGCCGGTTCGATGATAAACCCCGGGGCGACCGTCGCGGGCCTCTGCCAAAACGCCCAGACAACGCCGCCGTGCGTGTGTGCTACCTATGCAACAGGGTGGGCGAGTTTAAGGGTCTTGGCGGGCGTTGCCATGCAAGTACCATGGGGGGGCGGCGGCAGCGGCTAGCGAGTCAGAGGTGCCGGGGGGCGGGGGCCTTTTCCTTTCCCCAGGCTGCTGCTGCTGGCTCCGCCGCAGTGCCGCGGGACGACGCTGCAGGTCGAGTGCATCATGCCTCCGCGGGCGTGGACAGCGGGCACACAGAGGGCAGCCAGAGCAGTGCACACAGCGGCTGGCTGCCACTACCTCACAGCGGCGGCGGTGGTGGCGTGACGTCAAGTCCCGCCCCGACGGTCCTCCGGGCGGCGTAAAAAAAAAAGTGGCCAGCCAGGTCCCCATCACGGTCGCCATGCCCCATCCATCCATCCAACGCTGGGGCGCCCGGCGGGCTTGGCGATGCATCGCGCAATCAGCAGAGCAGTGCTTGTCGCGGATCGCCTGCATCGCGAGCGATGAGTCGGGAACCGAGACCACGAACCTGCAGGGATGCGAGAAAAAGCTTGGTGAGAAAACAATGGGAGCTGCAGAAGCCCGTGGGACAGAGAGACATGCAGCCGGGAGCCGCCCATCGCGATCCCCTTCCGGCAGCCGGAGGGTGATTCGCCAGCCCGCCCAGCGCCGCTGCCTGTCAGAAAGACGTGTCACGGCGTCACTGCATCGCGTCCGCTGAAGCTTGTTCGCAAACCGGCCCCGCCTAACAGGGCCTGGCGCCGCCGCCGCTGCCCGGCAGGCGCCCCCATTCGCGGGCACCCGGCAGGTCTCGCTCTGCGTATGCGAAGTAACGCCAGTTTAAAGAAAAAGCTTCCAGAAGACAACCCAAGCGACGTTCCATGCCGCGAGGGAGACGCGACCACCCGTACCATCCAAGCTCACGCGGCAACCACGACGACGATGGCGGCGATGACACACACACACACACACGCCAGCGGGCTCTGGCCATGGCCATGAGCGCTGCTGAAAACGGGGGAGGGGCCGCCACCACCACCGCCGACGGATGGACGGGCACGCAGATGAATGATGAAATGCACAGTTATATCCTCACGCCAAGAAGCGTATTGCCTCTTGGCGGACGCGCGGCCGACGAATCTCGTCGCAGGCGTGGAGGGGGGCAGTCTCGGCGACGATGAACCAGGACCAAGGAACAAGAGCACACAGAGAGAGAGCGAGAGAAGAGCGAGACAGGGAAGAATGAACGACCTGCCAAGACTCAACCATGCCACTCCTCTCTCATCAGCGCGACACAGCAGGGAGCAGCGCAACAGTATGGAGTACATGATGCGCGCCTCTCACGCGCGCCCAGCCCGACGGCACGTCTTGGGACTTCTTGGCCGACCCCGGTTAAGGTTATGCCACCTAAGCTTATATGCCCGCCGCCCAATGGCCTGCCCGCTGGTTATCGACCTGCCCCGCCAGATCCTTGGCCCGGCCGCCTCCTCCTCCCCGGGGCCCACGGGCGTCACCCACGGGCGTCACAGGCCCCCGTTGGCTGCCCGCCTCCAGACGCCTCTTTTTTCTTACTGATCAACAGTGCAGCACCCATCGGGAAGTCGGTGACGATGCGCGGGGCGGCTGAAGGACGGGCGTCCGCGACGGCCTTCTTATTTTTTCTGCAGAAGCAGTGGGAGCTGAGCCCCGGGACAGCTGCACGGCTTATACGTATCCCGGCACGCTGGGCGATTCGCCACATCTGGCGGCTTCCTACTCGCGCATGGCTACGTGCCTACACTACTACCAGCTGCCAAGAAGACGCCGACTCCTCAACACAGTCCATTGGGGAGCGCTGCCTCTTGGCACTCCACCGCCCAACCACTGACCCAGAAACAAAAGACATCGTACAATCAATGTCCGAAGACGGCCGCTCCAAGCCGATAGCCCGCGAGGGCGTGCGTGCGTGCATGCGTGCTGACCGGTTCGGAGCCAAGACCACGCCGACCGACCATAATAAATTGTCTCCGCGGCTCCAATGCACGGTGGAGGAAAAAATAATGCGGCAGTGCCATCGCGGCCCCATGTCCCTGCAGACAATGCAAGCTGCGCGGCCGAGACAAGGCAGGACAGAGTCATCAGGGCAGGCTCCGTGGCGACCTCCGTGGTGCCATGCGCAGTGCAGATGCCCCCGTCGCCGCCGCCGCCTCCGCGTCCGGGGGTCACGTGGCTCTCCGTGTCCGCCCCAGTGGCTCCACCCCCGGCAGGCGGCGTGCGTACCTAGCGGGCTGCGCCACGCTCGGCGCGCCCGGCGCACCGACTTACGCACGCCACCGCAGACACCGACACACACACACACGCACCCCGGGGGACGGGGGACCACCCCCATGCGGCGCCGGCACGCCGGCGGCCTACGACACGATCCATCCGTAGTAGTCTCTGGGCGCGGAACTTCTCTCGGCACGGGAGATGGCCAGGCCAGCGCACGTGGGCGCGCCGCGCATGGAGCACGAGAAAGGTGTCCGCTACGCAGAGCCAAGCCCCGCGGCGATCTACGTACGTACGTATCTTGGCGGGTGGTGGCCACGATGCTTCCCCCGCCACTTCTCTGCTAGTTAACTCCCGGGGTGGCGAAGGGGGCGCAAGGGACCAAACGTGCTGCTGGGCTTGAGATAGGCGAGAGAGGAACGAGGGGCTGGATTTGGAGGGTTGGGCCTGCCGAGCCCTTGGCGCCGTTTTTGGGATCGTGTTCGATTTGCGCGGAGAAGCTTTATGCGGCTCAGGGGTATACCAGTTAGTATAGGTACGCGTCGAGCTTCCTTCGAGAACGGCATGGGGATTGATAAGGGATGGTGTCACATGATGGGCGTGGAAGGCGTATCCTGGCGTTGCCTCTTTGGGCTTGGATATGCCAGTTACTCTTCTTGCCTGCAGCTGCTCTTCTTGCCTGCAGTTACTCTTCTTGCCTGCAGCTGCTCTTCTTGCTTGCATGCCTGCAAAGTATCACAGCCTCTATGTTGCCACGAGCAAGAGGCAGATGGACTACAATGGATCCCTCGAGTCCGTGACGTGTCGTTAAGCATTGGCCAGAGGGGTAATAGTGCACAAGCCAGAGCAATCGTGTGACACCATGTGCGGTCGATTATAAGTAATATCGTTGCGGCCGAGCCTATCCAAAGGGCCGACCTCTCTATAAACGTTATGCAAGCCCTTCATGCCCTCCACAACTCTCGCAATATGTCCAATGAAGCCCATCTCCGTATGTGCCAGTCAATGTGCCGAACTCCGTCATATACCGTTCCCAAAATCCCATATCCCAAAAGCCAGCCGTCAGTCCACGAACCCCATGGATATTCTATAGCATGTTGGAGACAAGGCCGGCCAACAGGCCGGCGCCAACGAGCGCCACGCTCGGCACCATCATTGCTCCCTTGCCGCTCTCTGGCTTCACGCCCGTGGCGCTGAAGCCCAGGTACCACGAGCCAATGTCCGTCAGCTTACCCCCGTTGTTGAGGAAGGCGGCGTTGGGCCCGACATTGGCCTTGTTCGCGCGGAACGCACCAAAGTACGAGTACCGACCAATGTAGTCAAGCTTCTCAAAGTAGTCGATGGTCTGGTTGTAAAACTCCTGCGTCGCTGCGAGGTCCTGGTGCGCGTATGCGTACTCGGTCACCCAGATGTCCTTGTCGGGCCACGTCGCGCGCCGCTCGCCAATGTGCGACGCGAGGCCGCCAAAGTTGTCGTACCAGTGCACCGGGACAAAGTCCCACGTGCAGTTCTTCTTCTCCTTGCCCGTGCTGACCAGCTCGGAGCAGTTGCCGAGGAACTGCTTCAGCCACGGGAGGCCGCCCCAGCCGCCCGTGGTGGCCGGCAGGCCCAGCTTGACGCCCATCTTGCCCAGGGGCTCAAAGTTGGCGACCCACGCCTGGGCCGCGAGCTCGGGCTTGACGCCGCTGCCGCCCTGGTCGCCAATGTCGGGCTCGTTGAAGCCCAGGACGTGCTTGATCTTGGTGCCGTCGTCGATGAGCTTCTTGACCGAGTCGAGGAACGCCGTGTCGTTGGGGTTTGAGCCGACGCCCCACATCATAGGGATGAACTCGAACTCATCCTGCGAGAAGGTCGAGTAGGCGGGGGACGGCAGGCTGCCGTAATTGTAGTACCACTTGAGGTCGCTGTTGGACTGTACCCAGACCTTGTTGTCCTCCGGGTGCTGGTCGTTGGGGGTGAAGCAGAGGCCGCGCTTGGAGGTGGCACTGGCAGCGGCTGACAGGGCCAGGAGGCCTGCTATAGATCTTGAATTGACCATTGTGGCGGGTTCGCGCGGAACGATCGGGAAGCGATGGAGTCGCCAGTCGTGTATCGCAAAATTGCAACTCGAGTCGCGAGGAAAGACTGCGAATCGGCCAAGCGCGCGTCGCAGATGCAGGATCCAGACAAAAAGGGGGGTTTATTCGCCGCTTCCAATGCTCTCGCTATCGCATCGATATATCGCAATCTACGGCTGAAGTCGGCCGCAATGAGGCGGAGATTCGTCTCTTCACCGAATTAAGACACCCAAGCAGGCGCTCGGATCAAAACGACGGGAGGCCAAAGGGGGAGATGAACGAGCGACGAGAAGGGTCCGCGACACCACGGGTTGACGACAGCAAGCAAGCAGACGAAACGGGAGAAGAGATGAGGGAAGCGCGCGCGCGCTCAGCTGAAGAAACGAAATCCAATGCGAAAAAGCGCCCGCCCGCCTGCCAAGGCTGGCTGTGGTCGCAGCGACCCGTCACCCGAAGGGGCCGTGTTGCGGTTCCATGTTACGTTGGGACGCTAGCTAGCGAGGCGAGCGAAGAAAAAAAAGGTCGGGTCGCCAGGGGTTCCAACACGAGCTGGAGATTTGGCGCCGGCGTGGCGCAAGGAGCGCTATCAGCGACCACTGCGGCCTCGCGGCGCCTCTTGCCGGACGGTGAGGTCGCTGGTGTTAGCGGTCGACGGGTACCATGGGCCCCAGCGTCCCATCCAGTGGGCCATCCGGTCGGTCGCCCTGCCGGCGGCCGCTAGTTGCAGAAACCCAGGCGCCATCTATTCCGCGATGCCTGAGCCGGTGCACGCGTAGCTCCGTAGCACTGCATTTCGTCCAGTGCGTGTGGGCTGCGCTGCGCTGCGCTGGTTGTCTGGCGCCGCAGCCGGGCAGTGCATGCATTGCGCGGCGGGATTGCGATGGCAGGGCAGTCCCGTCTGCAACACGACACTGACAGCCCGTCTAGGCCCTGTCGCAGGCTGTCGTGGAGCGGTCTTCCGGCGCAGTGGTGATACGTGTGGTGAGGCACGCAGCGTTGATGCCAAACGCCGCGATAAGCAGCCGTGCAGGGGCAATGCCTCCGTTGCGGCTCCGTCATTCATCCCTGTCAATCGGTAGACAGTCTACCGTGGCATCCGTAGCTCCACGATCAGAGACACTGCCGGCCAAGGACCCGGAACGGGGTGCACAAGTGAGACCCGTCGCGAGGGCGGCCGGGACCTAACGAGAATAAAACACTATGGGCGAGACTGCCGCCATATGGAAAACAAGACACACACGCACACGCACACACTGGCCATGAGCCAACGGCGCGCAGATCGATGGCTGGCGCATCTCGTCACAGAGCCGGCACCGCCATCTACAACAGGCTAAAGGATGGTGGCGGCCCTCGGCTCTCGCCCTGACGCCGCAACGGACTTGAGCCACCGGAAGGACCATAACGCTTGCTTCCACCGGCGCCCTTGTCGGGTATTGGCATGTTAGTTACTTCGTACTGACGCGGATGTTGGCTCCGTGCCGCGGCGCAGTCTCGGCAACGTGTGTGACGGACGCGACTTGTCGGTCGGCCTTGATGAGCAATCATGACCCCGAACGCGACCCTACGACGCCCTTGGACAGACCCCTCAATGCGGCGCCGCACGTCGGGCGGGACCTAAGTCACCTACCAACCACGGCAAGCATCGTGGAGGCAACTGCCCGTGGGGGATTGACACCGGGCTCGCTGCCTCAGCGCAGGCCCCCCGGCTGCGATTGGACCTGTCGTCGTCTTTGCTGGTAGGGGACTGGCGTCGAAATCCATAGGCACCACCGCCGCTGCAGACAGACTGCCCTACACCTGGACAGACAGCCGCGGGAACATTCAGTGGGAGCTCGGCACCGAGCGGGGGTTAGTCAGCAGCGATGCTCCGGTTGCCTCGGCTCAACCCCACACTCGCACAGCTCCAGCTGCCCCAGAACCGGCGGTCCCCATAAACGTTGCCGTCCCTCCATTGACACGGCCGTGACATTTCCCTCTGATTGCAACCTGCCCGTACCCACGGTCCCTTGTCTCTCTGCATCAGTCACTCGGCTCGTCGCAAGCTGTCCATCACCAGTCGCAATCATGGCCGTCGAGCGCATCGGATCCATCATCAAGCACCTGGCCCCCGGGTCGGCGCTGAACAACATGTGCGTGCTGCGCCGTCTACCTGGATAACTTACACAGCCGGGTTCGTGACAGGAGACTGACTCCCGGCTCTAGCCAGTCCAAGAATGCCGACGACATCGTCATCACGCTCGCCATTCGCACGCCCCTCTGCAAGGCCAAGAAGGGTGGCTTCAAGGACACCAGCCTCGAGTACATGGTGTATGCCCTGCTGAAGGAGGTCCGCCTCCGCAGCAACCTGGACCCCGCCCTCGTTGAGGACATTGCGCTCGGAAATGTGTGTATACCCCCTTATAAAGCCGTGCCTGAAGAGCTCAGTGCTGATATCTGGCACCCTAGGTCTCGGACGGCAAGGCCGCGTACAAGGCTCGTGCCGCCGCCCTCGCCGCCGGCTTCCCCAACACTGCCGGCGCCTACTCCGTGAACCGCTTCTGCTCCTCGGGCCTGAAGGCGACTGCCGACATTGCCCACTCCATCTCCAACGGCTCCATCGAGGTCGGCATCGCCTGCGGCGCCGAGAGCATGTCCCAGGGCGGCGACCGCCTCGAGAAGCCCTTCGACGAGGCCGTCATTGCCCAGAGCCAGGAGGCCGCCGACTGCATGCAGCCCATGGGCTGGACGAGCGAGAACGTCAGCCGCGACTTCAACATCACGAGGGAGGAGATGGACAAGTACGCCGCCGAGAGCTTCCAGCGTGCCGAGCGCGCGCAAAAGGCCGGCCTGTTCGACGACGAGATTGTGCCCATCACGACCAAGATCCAGGGCCCCGACGGAGAGTGGAAGGAGGTGACCCTGACCAAGGACGAGGGCATCCGTCCCGGCACGACGGCCGAGGGCCTCGGCAAGGTGCGCGCTGCGTTCCCCCAGTGGGGACCCACGACGACGGGCGGCAACGCCAGCCAAGTCACAGACGGCGGTGAGTTCTTTGCTCTCTACACTGATCAGCATGGGGCCTGGCTGACCAGACACAGCTGCTGCGCTGCTCATGATGAAGCGCTCAACGGCCATCAAGCTCGGACAGCCCATCCTGGCCAAGTACGTCGGCTCGACGGTGGCCGGCCTGGCGCCGCGCATCATGGGCATCGGCCCCAGCGTCGCCATCCCCAAGCTGCTGTCTCTTTTGAACGTGTCGCTGGCCGACATGGACGTGATCGAGGTCAACGAGGCGTTCGCCTCCATGGCCGTCTACTGCCGCAACAAGCTGGGTCTGGACTGGGCCAAGATGAACCCGCGCGGCGGCGCCATCGCGCTGGGCCACCCGCTGGGCGCTACGGGCGCGCGGCAGATCGTCACGGGCCTGAGCGAGCTGCGCCGGCAGAAGAAGAAGATGCTGCTCGTCAGCATGTGCATAGGCACGGGCCAGGGCATGGCGGGCCTGATTGTCAACGAGATGTAGGCGGGAGCGGCTTGCACTGTACATTACGCAGAAGCCTCGAGTTGTGTGTGAAAATAAGCCTTGAATTACAGCATACATGTCATGCCGAAGTAGGGTCCATCAGTGTGTCAAGTTTGCATGTGAAGTGGCTGCTCAGCGTACGGCAAGGCGGTCATACGGTAGCGAAAATGCACATTCGGTGGATCAGCGGGCCGCCATGTACGTATGTATGTCTCGCCCGGTGCTGCCTGCAAGCCAGCCGGGTCTAGAACCAGGTGTGGATGGGTTGATGGACATCTGGGGGTAGAGCCTCTCCACCACATTCATGGGCGGCCGCTTGCTCGTTGGCACTGCCCGTTCAGCGTTGAGTAGAGTTGTTGCGGTAGATGGGTATGCTAGTCGTGAGCTGGAGCATCCACGGATGCCACCAACCAACGTCCATCAGAGACAATCGCCAATCACGCCCCAGGCGTACTCGATTACCTCCCGTTAGCATCTCCCAGCGGGCGACGCCCCACGGCGGGGGCGCCAAACGTCACTAAAATAGCCGACCCTCCTCCCCCAGGTCTCAACGCTGCGGGCGTGCGTTGCGCTTGCATCGATCAGCGCCGCATACCGCACCCACGAGACCTGCGGATGATGCCATTGTCCCATACCCTGCATATCAAGCCATGGACCCCAATTGCGTCTTCCTCCGCGCCAGCAGGACACCGTGCGACGGCGGGTGGTGGCCGACGCTTGCCGCAGCGGCTGGCTGCTGTGCGACGTCGCGTCCCCTGCGACTCGAGGTCTTGGGGTCGCGGGTGTGTGACCTCGAATCTCTTGGCCTGCAGCAGGGCAGGCCGTCTGTGACTGTCTATGTAGGCCGCCGCGGCTCGGGGCACGGAAGCAGCGGCACCGAGACCGTCCGCCGGTGAGGCAAAAATTTAATTGTCGCAAGAAGCACCAATTCCCATGTCGAGTTTCGACATTCGGTCAGCACCAGCACCCTGTCCGGTCCTGGAAAATACCGTCACAGTGCCTTATCCCTCTGTTATGGCACTGGCCCAGTGGCGCTAGACGACGAGGGGCTTGCGCCGGGTTCCCGAGGCGGGCCGTGGGGAATAGCAGACTCAAACAATTCCCTTCCATAGAGCACTAATACGGAAGGCGCCCGCGGTGGACTCTGGGGACTGACTGACTGGAGACCGCCCTGGATTCGGCTTCCCCGACCCCATCGTCGGCAACCTTCACCTCCTCATACTCCATATCTCGTCCTCCCTTTGCTTCGCCGCAGCCGCCGCCGCCGCCGCAGCACGATACCAACGCAGCCCGATGCCTCGCGCGGTCGCGACGTGACCGACAAGATGGCCTCCCGGCCCTCGCACAGCCGCGAAAACTCGGCCTCCAACGGCAACAATGACCACCGCCCTCTGCAGCCGAGCACCCTCCGCCAGAGCCACACGCCCGCGAGCCGACGCGGCAGCAGTCAGGGCAGCGACTCCGCCGCAGCCCGACAGCCCGACACGTCGCCCGCGTCGTCGTCGGCCAGCTCGCAGCGCAAGCAGCCCGCCGCTGCCACCGAGTCGACACCCTTGATCCCGGCCGACGGGCAGCAGCATGAACAGCATCAGCGCAGGGACCCCGCACATCCGGGAATATGCACCCACGGCACCTTCAGTCCGCGGCCCTCGAGCCCGGCCGACGGCATCTTTGGCGGCCGTCTCCTCGATGACATGACCGCGAGCGAGACGACAGCCAGCGAGCCGCCCTCGGGCGTCCTCGACAACGCCATGTCCAACATCCTCGGCACCGACGACTGGAAGGTCTGGATCAAGCGGAGGATACGCACCAAGAAGGTGACCCAGAGCACGGAGCTGGCCCAGCAGGCCGGGTTCCGCTTTACCCCCATGATGTGAGTTATAAGCCGTGCATTGCAGCTGACCCTGCGCGGCGGCTGACTGGATCGACAGGTACCTGGCCTACTACATTCCGTTTTTCAACTGGATTGGCCAATATCAGCTCTCCTTCCTCAAGGGAGACCTCGTCGCTGCCCTCACGATAGCCTCGTTCTACCTCCCAATGGCCCTCTCCCTGGCCTCCAACCTCGCCCACGTGCCCCCGATCCACGGCCTCTACGCCTTCGTCTTCAATCCCCTGATCTACGCCATTCTCGGCTCTTGCCCGCAAATGATCGTTGGGCCCGAAGCCGCGGGCTCCCTCCTTGTCGGTACCGTCGTGCAGCAGAGCGTCGACACGGGTGGTAGCGATGAGGATAACGACCTCCTCCACGCCCAGATTTGCGGCGTCGTCGCTGGCATGGCCGGTGCCATTGTCCTCATTGCTGGGCTTGCGCGCCTGGGCTTCCTCGACAGCGTCTTGAGCAGGCCGTTTCTCAGGGGCTTCATCAGTGCCATTGGTTTCGTCATTGCCGTGGATCAGTTGATCCCCGAATTGGGCCTCGCCGACTTGGCCAGCGAGCAGGGTGTCAGCCACGGCAGCAGCATCGACAAGATCGCCTTCATCGTCGAAAATGTCGGCGAGGTACACCACTTGACGTTTGCCGTCGCGGGCATAAGCTTCCTCGTCATTATGATTTGTAGGGAGCTGAAGAAGCGCCTGGAGCCCAAGTTCCCGTCGGTCGTCTTCGTCCCGGACCGGTTCCTCATCGTCGTCGCATCGGCCATTCTGTGTGCCCATTTCCGGTGGGACAAGAAGGGCGTCGAGGTCCTCGGCTCCGTCAAGTCTGCCACGGGCGGGCTCTTTGCCTTTCGTTGGCCCTTCCAGCTCTCTCATATGCGCCACATCCGCGCCGCAATGTCGACGTCATTTTTGATAGCGCTTCTCGGCTTCTTCGAGTCGTCTGTGGCGGCCAAGAGCCTGGGTGGCAGTGACACGATCCAGGGCATGGAACTCAGCGCCAACCGCGAGATGATTGCCCTTGGGGTCGCCAACCTCGTCGGGGCAAGCTTCATGTCCTTGCCAGCGTTTGGAGGATACGGGCGAAGCAAAGTGAACAAGACCACTGGTGGCAAGAGCCCCATGAGCTCCGTGTTTCTGAGCTTGATCTCGCTTCTGTCCATCATATTTTTGCTCCCGCAATTCTACTTTCTTCCAGTAAGCTTTTCTCTCAATATTCACTGGATTTCGTTCACGTCTAACACATACAGAAACCTGTACTATGTTCGATGATCTCCGTCGTTGCGTGGTCGCTGATTGAGGAGGCGCCCCACGACATTGCCTTCTTCGTGCATATACGTGGCTGGAAAGAGTTGTCGCTGATGGCAATCATCTTTCTGTCAACCATCTTTTACTCGCTGACGCTGGGCATGGCGCTCGGCGTGGGCATCTCCCTCTTGCTTGTCATTAAGCACAGCACCCGCCCGAGGATTCAGATTCTCGGCCGAATTCCCGGGACGAACCGCTTTGAAAACGCAGAGGCCGACAATCCCAACCTGGAGTTCATCGAGGGCTGCCTAATCGTCAAAATTCCCGAGCCCTTGCACTTTGCCAACACGGGCGAACTCAAGTCCCGGCTGCGGAGGTTGGAACTCTACGGGACGTCCCAGGCGCACCCGGCCCTCCCCCGGATACGCAGCCAAGAGTCAAACCGAAACATCATCTTTGACATCCACGGCGTGACGTCGATGGATGGCTCCGGGACCCAGGTGCTCGAGGAGATTGTGCGCAGCTACCGACAGCGCGGCGTACGGGTCTTCTTCTCGAGGGGACCGAGCAAGCGGAGCCACCCGGTCTGGCAGCTCATGGAGCGCAGCGGCATCGTGGCGCTCTGCGGCGGCGAGTCTCACTTTGTCATGGACGTGGAGGAGGCGTTGCGGTGGACGGAATACGAGGAAAGCATCAGCATGGGCAGCGGGAGCAGCGTGCGTGAGTCGCAGTCATGACGGAGACGGCAGCCATGATTGAAACGTGTTTGGAAAGCGGTTGCTTAGCGAAAAAGCACAGGGTGGCATTTGCATGTACAAACAAGGGCGTTTGGCGGCAGCGACTGGTTCAGCGCTATGAGGGTCTGATGCCTTTGCGCGGACATCCATGCAGTTGGCTAGAGTCTATGATCAGGATTATGAATATATGGCTTGCTGTATAGAGGCACCCGCGTGCTGTTGCGGCCGGAGGGCTTATCTCATTCGGCGATGGTTTCCCTACATGACAATGGTTGTGGCGTGAACCGGGAGAGGACCGATGCTGAACGCAACTCTGTTGATCGGCCGGAACATGGCACTTAGTCGCGGCTTGAATACCTCCGTGTCTTACTCGCTACCGGTACCCGCGCCATCCATGGTGCTGGCTAGGCGTTTCCGAGGTTCCCAGCTCAGCCTCCCAAGTCCCAAAGAGGCAGGCCCAACTCAGCCGGATGAATAGGCCCACGATAAGTGATTTTGTGAGTCAACTCGCGAGCCCATCCCATCCAGGCCCTGCCTCTTTTCTCTTACCACTATTTTTATACAAGTCCGCGCTGGACGCCACGCATGCAAATCGCACGCCAACCCCCCCAACACCATCCTCACCGCACTACTACCGTTAATTACTTGCCGAAGCAAATAATCGTACGAGGCACACGCAAGGCCACAACAATGCCAGTCAAGGACAGGACACTCACGTCGCCTAACCCCCCGGGGGCCGAACCCGGCGCCGTGCTCCTCGAGACGGAGCGGCTGCTCATACGCCGCTACGTGGCTGCCGACGCGCCGCTGCTTGCTGCGGCGGCGAACCACCCGTCCATCGGGGATGGGCTGCGGGACCGGTTTCCCTCGCCGTATGCCCTCGCTGACGCGGAGGAGTTCCTGGCGCGGCATAGTGGGCCAGTGGAGAATCGGTATCCTATCCATGCGGGGATCTTTGTCAAGCAGGGGGCAGCTGCCAGTGCGCGAGGGGATGCGAAGGAGGAGGATGGCAAGGAGGATGATGCTGGTGCTGGCGTGAGAGACGACAATGTCAACGGCAACAACAGCAGCAACAACAGCAGCGAAGGCCTAAAGCAGCAACTACAATACATCGGCGCGCTGGGCGTCATGCCGGGCGACGACGTCGAGTACCGCACGTGGGAGCTCGGGTACTGGCTCACGCCGACGGCCTGGGGCAGGGGCTACATGACGGAGGCGGTGCGCGGGTTCACGCGCTGGGCGTTTGCGACGTGGCCGGCGCTGCACCGCATCGAGGCGACGCCCTTTGCGGGCAACGCGCCGAGCTGCCGCCTGCTGGGCAAGTGCGGGTTCGTGGAGGAGGGGCGCCGGCGCGGCGCGGCGGAGAAGGGGGGCGTGGTGGTGGATGTGGTTGTGTTTGGGCTGCTGAGGGGGGATGTCGAGGCGGACATGGGGCAATGATGTATGATGGAAGGGAGGAGAGAAGAGAGAGGGAGGGAGAGAGACGGATGTGGTGTATGCTATAGATTCGAGGGGGCATAAGACTCATGCTGAAGCTACGTTGTGTTGGCCAACTATCTCGTCGAGACGCTTCAGGGCTTGTCGCACGGCGTCCATCTCCGGCGCCGGGTCCTCGATGAACCTCGTCAGGTCGTACAGATGGTCCTGCCCCGGCGCCACAAACAGCGACACCTTGTCCTCCCCGAGACAGTCCCTCATCTGCTCACTCACGGCAATCGGCACCGCCACGTCCGCATCACCATGAAAGATGACCGTCGGCGGCCACCGCGCGACCCTCTCCCGCGCCTCATCCGTCCGCTCCCTCGCCCACTCATACCCGTTGTCCACATCGCCCACCATGCCACCCCACGCGTTGCGATGCGTATAGTACTCATACAGTCCACTGCGCGGATTCTTCGGCGGCGGTGAGGGCACGGGCTCCGCCTCGTAGTCCGGGTTGCGGGATGCGTCGGCCGGTTGGAGCATGGCCACGCGGAAGGCGTTTTCCGCGCCGGGCATGGTGACGCCGACGGCGATGGGGCCGGCGATGGCCGGAGCCATGTCCTCGTCACGGATGGGCGCGGGGGTGAGCAGCGTGGAGGAGGTGAAGTGCGGGTGGCGGAAGGTGTTGATGCCCTGGATGGAGAAGAAGGCGATGGGCGGGGGGGAGCAGTTGTTGACGACGAGTGTCGCTGGGAAGACGCCTGTTGTGCTCCATCGCTGTTACTCTTCCCCGGCTCACAGTGCTACGAGTAAAGGGATAGGGTTGAGAAGAGACTGACCTCCGCTGCCGCCGCCGACGATCACACGCCTGCTCTGTCCCTCTGCAGCCTCGTACCTCCGCGCGAAAGCGTACGCGGCCGTCGCGTCCTCGAGGAGACCTTTTGCGCCCGTCTGTGGGAGGAGGCGGTAGCTGAAGCTAATGAGGGGCCACTTCCGCTTGAAGCATGTCTTTGGCCGAGGGCATCGCCATGACGATTAGCGAAGGGCGGGGAGGATGAAGGCAATGAATGGTCGTTCGCTCACTTGGACGAGCCACGGCGGGATGCAGTCGCGGCCCCAATTTACGAGCCCTCCGGGGTGAAAGTACAGGAAGACGGGGGCGTCGCTGGGGGAGGAAGAGGACGAGTCGTCGTCCGTGTAGATGTCGCACTCGAGCGGCATGCCGTGGTGGGCGTATACTTGGGTCGTTTTCGTTAGCATTGCTGCAGTTGTCGTCGTCGTCGTCGTCATGAGCGAGTGTAAGATTCTGGGCGATTTTGGAGGTTTAGAAGGAGTTACAACATGAGGGTTCGTCGGCAATTGTCATCTGATGAACCCTTTTATATGTTTTCAGAAATAGTGGTTTACATTGCGGGCCGCGACGAGTCAGGCTCGGGGGTAAGCATGGGTAAATAGAATAGGACTTTGATAGCATCGCGCAGTCCTCGACTCCTCGCATGTCAAGCATCACCCCCGCACGCAGGCAGCTAGGGCGCAGGACAGGATTACGCGGCCATGGGCAACTTGTTTTAGTACGATGTCCAATATATTTGAGGCTTCACTTATGTGCACAAATAAAATATTGCAGAGTTGTCTGGATGTATACTGCGCGAGAGCGTCTACGTGTGCGTGCTCGTACTGTGCAGAGCGAGTAGATGTGCGTATAGCGGCTTCAGTTGGTACGGTTGGACCTATGTGTACGGCACAGCGCGACAGTGCAAATTACGTGATGAAAGCGATCAAGACCTATCTATGAGGCCCATCAATCATCAAAACAGTATTGAATGCATATCCAGTTCCAGACCGCGCACTTTGACTGTGCCGACACGCCATTGAGTCTGGCTGCTGCCAGAATGGTCGACTGACTCTTGTTCACATCACACCCTTCCAAAAAAACAACGTCATATCAAAATACATACCTCATGCCGCTTCCGGTGACAAGCGCTCCTTGCCAGGATTCTAGGTCTTGACTTGGATGCCTGCATTGACCAGCATGTCGGCAGCCTCCCTCCAGCCATTCTCAGATGCGCTGAGGAGTAGCCGCTGACCCCATATGTCAAAGAACGCGGGTTCAGCCCTTTCAATGAACACGCGCAAAACACCCACGTTTCTCCGGGTGACTGTGTTGAGGAGGGCCGACATGCCAGCGCGGTTCGTAGATGTCCAATCTGCACCCTTCTCGACCAACACGCGAGCGACCGATGCGTCCCCCTGGAGCGCAGCCAGATTCAGCGCTGTGTTTCCCACGGTGCACTTTGCGTCGACTTCTGCTCCACTGTCTATCAGGAGCCTGATGACCTTTGCATGTTCTCCTCCTCGTCCGGGGATGACCTGTGGATCGGCTTGGTTACTCGCAGCCCACGCCAACGGCTCCCGTCCGAGCCTGCATGCCGTGTCTACTTTTGCATGGTGCTGGAGTAGAAGCTCAACAGCGAGAAAGAAACCGTTCTTTGATGCCCATGATAGTGCCGTAAGGCCCGCCTCGCTCTTTGTATCAACGTCGACGCCCATTTCGAGGAGTCTTTTGAGAGTCCCCATGCTGCCTCGAGCAGCGGCCAAAGTGAGTGGCGTGTGGCCGTCTGCAGTTGTAGCTTCAGTCTGGGCTCCGATGTCGATGAGGGCCTGGAAGATATCATCCATGTGATAGTCTCTGCTGGCCGCGAGCAGAAACAACTTTTGGACCCGCTCGTCCCCTGTTTTCATTGACGCGACTTCTCGCCTCAGCAGTTTGACTTGGAGCGACTGTACTGCATCGTTCCCGAGTGAGGTTCTCCAGATGTGTCGCGCCCAGAATGTCTTGGCGTAATCGTAGAAACTGAACGGGTTCTCATGAGCAACTTCTCCTTTGAGGTCGTGCAGCATTTTACCCATGTCATAGCTCGGCTTCGGTCGATTCTTGTTCCTGAGGAGCCGCAGTGCAACGTTTCGAACCATCACTGCGGAATCTATGGACCGGATGATCTTGGATGGCATCTCTGCAGATTCTACGGTCGGGACCACAGCTGTAGATATCTGAGATTCGAAAACGCCGTAGTTGAGGTAGGTGATGACGATGTCCGCCATTGTTGTTTCCGCATCCGGGCCCAGCTTAACGTATCGGTCGTCCCATTTAGCGAAGTCGCCGTTGAGGAACTGTTTGACGCTACCATGTATCAGCTCCACCGTTGACGTCTCCTCGTCGACAGATACTAGACTCCCACAGCAGGCAAGGACCGAGTTCACATCGTTGATGACATGCTCCAGATGCCACGTCGCGTCGCCCGGCTTGACACTCAATGCTTCGCGAAATTCATCGCCTGTCATTGGTCTTCGAGCGGCCAAAATGAGTTCAAGAATCAGCTTCTGGTACTCGGGGGCGGCGGATGCAGACTTGTTGAGGATTCGCAAGTAAGTTTCGGGCAAGTCGCCGGGCAAGTCGGCCAGGGCTTGGCGGATCGCTTCATCTGTTCTGGCGGCGCACAGAGAGTCGATTTGAAGGGCCACCCAAAGGAACATTCCTTTGGCTTTGGTAGAGAGCACACTCTGTATTTCGAGAATCAATTCGGGCCTCCCGATGGTCAGCAATCTACACTCTAGGCGCCTCGCGAGTTCTGACTCAATAAAGGAGCAGATGTCCGGGTTCGTCTCGGGAATCACGAAAACGCTGCTGTTGTTGAAAATGTTGGAGCCTTTCAAAGAGAGGTTTTCTGACCCTTCCCGTAATGAAACGCAAACGAGCAGTGTGAACTTGCTTTGAAGAAAGGATAGCAGATCCAGTATGTCGCGCCTCTTGGGCTCGTCGCATTCGTCCAGGCCGTCCAAGACGAAGCGTGCCACGAAGTCGCGCGGTTTAGCATGCAGGAGCATTTTCATGATGTCGGACAACTCCAAGCCCTGGGCCGTACTGTCGACGATTTCCAGGCAGCTGCTCAGGTCGGAGAATCCGCGCAATAGCTGATACGCCAGCGATGCAATGACTGTGTGCATTTGCAAGCTCTCGTTGATGTCGTGACGGCAGAAAAAAAAGGCCACTGGGATTCCGTCGTCACGCTGAACAAGGTTAAGATCATCAACTATGCTGGCGAGACAAACGGATTTGCCAGACCCAAGGCGTCCCCTGCAAAGGAGCGTGGGAGGGCCTTTCTGTTGCAGCCAGTCAAAGTACTGCGGCGACTGTCGAAACAATGTGCTCGCGCCAACCTTCCGCAGTTTCTTCCATGAGGCTTTGTAATCGTAACTCGAGCACATACTGAGGACGCGGAGGTTCGTCTTCAGCTTCCGGCGATGTGATTCCGAATCTGACGATCTCATAAGCTGCCTGAGGTGGGATGTCTGCTCTTCCGTCTTTAACGTTTCGATCTCTTCCTTTATTGAAGCAGCCCAGGTGTCCAGGTCCTTTCGAATGGCTTTGAGGCTGAGGTCGTCCGTGAACGATACAAGCTGCTGTATGGCCGACTTTTTCTGCATCATTGCTAGCTGGTGACAAAACCGGACTACTACGATGTAGTACTCCGACATACAGGATACTAGCCGTTTCGACTGTGGGAAGAGCAGAGCAAGGCGGTCATAGCGCGGCGCAGACAAACCGACTTGCATAAAGAAGGCTGTCACTTCACCGATCCGAGACGACGTAGCCACAACGGACTACGCGAGCATTAGCATGGCTAATATGATGCGGGTAGGAGGAGCCTTTACAATAAGTGTCAATCGCACTAGTGACCATACACCGCAAGCGATGATGTTCTGAGATCCTCCGACTATAACATCTCCGACCGCGGCATATTGCTGAACCGCCTCGAGGAAGTTGGTCAACCGAGTTCCCCAACATCGAGAGCCAGGTTTCTGGGAATTCGATATCTGGTTGAACTCGGCCGTGATTTGCATGACATCCTGAATGCTCGGGAGCGACTCGCAGTACTTCGACCGGTGGTTGCGGAGCGCGGCTTTTCGCTCGGGATCCAAGCTCGCCTCGAATTCGGAAATCGCGGCAGCCAGGCGGACCTCGGAGGCCAGCTGCTCCGTCTTCGCCACGAAAAAGCTCATGGCGAGGCTTGGGCCGCAAGGCTCGAGCGATCCAACATTGTGAGAGCACAGTGCCCAGGAACGAGCAAGAGGGGCATGGCAACGGTTTTGACTGTTGTTAGCCGCCGTGCCATCGGTTGGTTCATGCAGCTTCTGCGCCTGGGAAACAATGTGTGTCGCCCAAAGGAGCCGCCGACATGTCAAGGAGCGGCCCGCAAGCCCCGCCAGGACAGGGTTCCGGCAAGTGTCCCTGGTGAGACCACAGATGCATTGGCGAGGGGCTCTCGCGGACCGGCTTGGGATCCTGGTCCGGATGACAGGGGGCTGCTTCAGCCCAAGACCTGGGCTTGTCAACACTGAACAGTACTCTCTCGAAGGGATTACAGCCTCTCACGCGACCTGCACTCGGCACGAAGTGCGAAGTGCGTGTTCGCCAATCTTTCGTGCCCATCATGCTTGTAGCTGCATAGCCTGAAACGTCGCCGTGTGTTGTGATATAACATAGTAAGAACGCTCACAACTCTCAGCCGTGGCGGGTAAAGACACAATCAGCCATCAGCTCTTGACCCAATTCATGGCCTGTTCCTCTTGGCACCTGGAAAGCCGTGTCACCGTCGCAACATGGGGTCACGCGAACCTCACAACTATCAAGGCCAGTACATAAGTACCATGACGCTACCATGGATAGAAGTTCATGGGTATCTACTGTGCAGATGAAGGGTCCCCAAGGGAGCCGGCTGTGCCGACCTCAGCCTTCGTCAGATCGAGAATTGCTCGTCGAAAACCCCCAACACCATTGCTAAGCCAGCATTCTTCGCCATGAACTAACGATTGAAGGGGCACAGTCTGTTCTACAGCCAGGCCTCTGTATTGCATAATTGTTAGTAAGTCCACAAAGATGCGACTTTGAGCCGGCTCACCTTTCAAGAGCCCAGCGCCTCGAGGTTCCATCTTGGCCGCCGCTTCCGTCTTCCCAACTGAACTTGGCGGCCACAGGAGGGGTGATCCAACGCCCGTCCCGCCAAAAGTATGGCGTGGTCGTGCTGCCTTCCATGACAGAACGGTCATCTTGGTTGATGACCAGAACTTCCTTCAACTCTCCAGGTCGGATATTCGCCCTTTGACGGGCCGCGTCGTACATGCCCCGGCTCGTCGTCTTGTAATGTGTGAACTCTGATCTTGACAATGGACAGTCATCGACTACCAAGGTCAACTGCGGTTCAGGCTTGGGGTCCTTGGGTCCTGAACCTGATCCAGGGGCCGGTAGCCGCTCTGGAAACAAGTTTTTCAGAGCAATTGGCGGAGTCTCGAATTTGACAACCTGGATGGTGCCGTCCCTGTTCACCACGATCCTTACTCTCATGGGTCGCGTCTCCGACTCTTTGATGGCTTGCAGGGTCGTGGCCTCAAGCAGTGCAAGACCCTCATCGCCTGTGAGCTTTCCGATGACGTTCTCCCATTGCCAGTGAGTCGCGGCCCTCAGGATGCGGTCTCTGTGAAAGTCGAGCATGTACAATGGGGATTCGCGGTCATAATTCCATCCCGCATACGTCAAGCCGCTAGATGCAACTTGCCTCAGCTCAACATCATAGCGCAAAGAGGTGAAGAGGGAAAAGGCTGTGTCGGACATGGCCGTAGTCGGGCGTCGGCTCGGGCCCTCGGGGCTGATTCTCAATGGATGTATGAGTTTGGAGTGCGAGCACGAGTAGGGCGAAACGCATGTAGGCGGTCTCAAGATGAACCACGCACCGTTTATGCAGATGCTACAATATGGGACTTGCCCGCAAGGTGAGTCATGCGTGTTGTCAAGCTTGCGGTAAACACGACCGGTTCATCGCTCGGGTCGAGGTGCAGCGCAGGCGCATGGAGGAGGTTAAGGTGGATAATTCACACATTTGCTGGCGAATTGACTCTCGCCCAACTAGACTGGAGGCGCGGGCTCAGAGGACGGCAGTAAGAAGGGTAACCGTTATGAGTGGGGTTTAGCTATTCCGAGCGCAGGGGGATGCACTGCCCGGATGCAAGCCTTGTGCGCACTGGCCGACCTGCATTGGGGCATGTCCTCGCCGGCGAAGGCATTCCAGGGTAGGCAAAGGCTGGTGGTGAGGGATGCCATGAACCGCTGGCGAAGCCATTGACGACGGGGGACCTTTCGTTACGGGGGAAGCTGCACTCTAGCTGTCTTCCAGGTTCTCTTCCAGCAGGCGTATGGCGTGTTAGCGGCCCGCCTGCCAATGACGGCTCTCCCAATGCCTCGCGGCTTGTGATGATTAATTGAACTGCCTCAGGCATTCCAGCCAAGCCAGAGCCCCGGGCGGCTGCCCAAGTGGCTGCCAGTCCCGCCCCTACAGTGGAGGCTACGAGGACCTGCAGCGGAGCAGCGCGCTGCAGTTCGATGACTGAGCCGAGCTTTTTGCGGGTCCAAACGTCCGCTGGAAATTTCGGGAGCTCCAGTGAGGTGCGCGCTCGTGCTGCTGTGCCCGGCCAGCCGGCCCATCCATTGACGCAGCGCTCGCAGCTTTTTTTGCGCGGACCTTCGTTGCCTCATCACCACCTTTGCTTTCTCCCGCGACTCGGACTCCCTCTCTTACGCCTCCGTCGCCGGCCCGCAATCTCTTGCGGCCGATTCTCTTCAATCACTCCCGCATTTTCAAACCCGTCGCAGCCCCTCAGCACCTATAATGTCGAATCCGCTCCCGTCGATGCCTCCGGGCCGGCCAACGGCTATTCCTGTCGACGCCCCCTCGTCCACATGGGATCGCATCACCTCCTGGGTCTCGGAAAACAAGGCCGTTGTGTACACTATCGCCGGTGTTGCTGTCGTCGTCACGGGCGCCGGCGTTGTCTACTACCTGAACTCCGACTCGGTAGGTTGCCTGCTCGATGCACTCTACGCGTGCCCCGTCGGCCCCAAGCGCGGCTCCCTGGTGCCCGTCGCGTACGTGCCAATACTGACCGATCGTCGTTGCCGTGCAGAAGTCCAAGGCCGACTCAGCTCCCAAGCTCAGCAAGAAGGAGAGGCGAAAGCGAAAAGAGGCCGAGCGCAAGGCCGCCGAGTCCAAGGAAGCTCCCACCACCACATCCGAGTCCAAAGCCGCTACGGTCCAGAGCGAATCCGAACTGCCCGACGTCGACGAGCAGTCTGTCTTGAGCTTGACCCAGGAGCAGCGCGAAGAGTATGCGGCCAAGCTTAAGCAGGCAGGCAACAAGGCCTATGGCGATAAGGCGTACAACAAGGCCATTGACCTGTACTCCAAGGCCATTCTCTGCAAGCCCGATCCCGTCTTCTACTCCAACAGGGCCGCCTGCTACAGCGCCATGAGCGAATGGGACAAGGTCGTCGAAGACACCACCGCCGCCATCAACATGGACCCGGAGTACGTCAAGGCCATTAACCGCCGAGCGACTGCCTACGAGCACCAGAAGATGTACTCCGAGGCTCTCCTCGACTTCACGGCCTCGTGCATCATCGACAACTTCAAGAGCGACTCCACTGCCCAGGCCGTCGAGAGACTGCTCAAGACCTTTGCTGAGCATAGGGCAAAGGAGATGATGGCTTCCCGACCGCCCAAGCTGCCCAGCCCCATCTTCGTTGGCAACTACCTGCAGAGCTTCCGGCAAAAGCCTCGGCCCGCAGACCTCGACGACTCGATCGAACTCGACCTCGAGACGGGCAACGGCCAGCTGCAGCACGGCCTTCAGGGCCTCGAGAAGAAGACGGCGGACGGATATGAGGAGGCCAGACTGGCGTTCGAGAAGGCTCTGGAGCTCGGAGACCTCGGCGAGCACGAGGCTCTCGCCTACAACCTGCGTGGCACCATGCGAACCCTCTTGGGCAACCACGCCGAGGCGACCAAGGATTTTGACAAGAGCATCGAGCTTGACCCGACCATGGTCCAAAGCTACATCAAGCGCGCCAGCATCAGCCTGGAGCTCGGTGAGCCGGACAAGGCAGAGGCCGAGTTCGCCAAGGCCCTGGAGCAGAACAAGGACGACCCGGACGTTTACTACCACCGCGCCCAGGCCAACTTCATCAAGGGCGACCTCGCCGAGGCCCAGAAGGACTACCAGAAGTCGATTGACCTGGACAAGGACTTCATCTTCTCTCACATCCAGCTTGGCGTGACCCAGTACAAGATGGGCTCCATCGCCTCCTCCATGGCCACCTTCCGCCGGTGCATCAAGAACTTCCCCAAGGTGCCGGATGTCTACAACTACTACGGCGAACTGCTGCTTGACCAGGGCAACTTTGCCGAGGCCGTTGAGAAGTTCGACACCGCCATGGAGATGGAGAAGCAGTCCAAGCCCATGTCCATGAACGTGCTTCCCCTCATCAACAAGGCGCTGGCCCTCTTCCAGTGGAAGCAGGACTTTAAGGAGGCGGAGAAGCTTTGCCAGAAGGCACTGATTAGTGAGTGCCCTCGATGGCCATCCTATGTGAGCATACGCTAACCTCATCGTGACAGTCGATCCGGAGTGCGACATTGCCGTGGCCACCATGGCTCAGCTCCTGCTTCAGCAGAACAACGTGACCGAGGCGCTGAAGTACTTTGAGCGCGCGGCTGAGCTGGCCCGCACCGAGGGCGAGATCGTCAACGCTCTTTCTTACGCCGAGGCGACCAGGACGCAGGTTCAGGTGACGGAGAAGTACCCCAAGCTGGCAGCCAAGCTGGCTGGAGGCGGCGGCCCCCCGGGATTCCGCATGGGCGCTTAAACGACCAATCATTCCATCTTGTACGACCAAAAACGGCGAACGGGGAAGCGTGAAGGCGGATCGCGGCGTGTAAGTGTATAGGCCAGGGATGTCGCCTAGCAAACCGCCGGCTGTTGGCCTATCCGGCATATATGAGGCCACCACTTTTTTTGTCTCGCTCTTGGGAACTGGGCAGGGGGGGCATTCGTTGGGTGCTGGCGGCTATCGGTCGGTTGGTGAGCTGTCTTGACTGTGTAATGCACAAGGTATCACACAAACAACGGAGTCAGCATTGTATATGTATTAGTTTAATGGCACCTCCCTCCATTGGAGATTCCTGGTCTCTGGCCCTGAATCACTTTCGTGCGTGCTCTCTTGTGTGTGCATCACGTACGAAACTGGCTCTGGGCGGCAGCAGAGGGTTTGTTAAAGTAGTTTTGAAGCGTCAAAGAGAAGGTGACAGCAGCAACGAATCGTTCCAGCGTAATCCAGAGGTCGTCACCTCGCCATTGCATTGCCAACGTCGTCAACTTTCTACATACAAGTGCATCATCAATTAAGTCCGCCTGTCGGACACTGGGATAGCGCACGGTTCTGTCCGCCAGGCGGGCCTCCGCCGCGAAGCCGAGGCCAAGAACCAACCACACAGAAAACTCCCCCCTCCCACCTCCCACCTCTTCATCGGACATCATGTAATAATCCAAGTCCGCGTCCCTCGTTCGACTTTCGCAAAGGGTTAACAAAAATAAAGATACGTCCTCCATGGCAGCTACTTCAACATCATCCGGAGACCCCCTGCCGTGTATGTGTGGTGGTCGCAGACAGCCACCACGTTTCGCAGCTTTTGTACAGAAGGGGTGCTTGTCGGCAGAGTCTCCTCATATAAGTCGTCACATCGCAAAGAAGGATAGCCATTCATCGTCCTTGGGTGAGTGGCCCTATTTGAATTAAGATGGTTCGTTTTTTTTTTGTCGGTTGCGTCAGTGCCGTCGACGCGGCGGCTACTTGCCGCCGCACTTGTTGCCCGTGAGGCAGATACCCAGGCCCACGCCGAGGGCAACGGCAAGGATGATGAGACAGACGATGAAGAAGCACCACCACTTGAGCTTGCGGGCGCGCCGGGCGTGGTCGCTGGCCCGCTTGACCTGTTCGTTGCCCTGCTCGATGTTTTCGACGGTCTTCTGGGCGTTGTCCTCGGCGGTCTGGATGGGCGCCTCCTGCGTCTCCACCGTCTCGGCCAACCTGACGTAGAGCTCGGAGAGCTGGGCGAGCGTGTTCTCAATCTGCGTGAGCTCATTGTGGCGGGCCCGGACGTTGCCAAGAAGGGAGCTCGCGTGGGCGGTGCGGTTCGTGCGCAGCTTTCGAGAACGTTAGTGCATTGTTCTGCAGATGATCTGTGTAGGTTGGGACGAATAAGGCCGTTGGGGGGAGGGGGAGGGGGGAAGGAAGGCGAGGGCAAAAACCTACCGCCGTCTGGAAAACGCCCTCGTTGCCCCAGTCTGCCTGGGACGCCTCCTGTACCTCCTGTTCCGTCGCATCCGGGTTGACGATGCGGTATTGCCTGGCGATCTGCTCGCGGTACTTTTGCTCATAGTCGCGCTCAATGCTGTGGTACTTGTCGAGCTCGGACTTGAAGAAGGTCTTGAGGGAGTCAAACTGGGGCTTCTTGGTGTTGCGCTCCGGACCCTCGGTGCTGTTCACGTCGCGTTCGAGGCGCTTGATCTCATCGGTAATGACCGTGTTGCGGGACTGCGTCTCCGCGACGAAGCGGTCGAGCTGCTGCCGGGAGTTCGGGTCGGTGCTACTCAGTGTCCGCTGGTGAAGCTGCCCAATGGTGTCAATGTCGCTAGTGAGGCCCCTGATATCGTCGCGCAAGCTCTTCACGCGGTCAAGGAACTCGCTCTGCGACATGACGGGCCGCCGTGACTGCTGGGACTGTTGGGGCTGCTGAGCCGACTGAGTGCCGCCATATGGGTGGCCATACTGGTTGCCGTACTGATCTTGGTTGCCGTAATCTTGCATCTCATATTGATCCTGCGCGTACGGATTGGCCTAGAGCAGCAGGGAAAACCTCGTGTTAGATCATTGCACGACTTCCGCAAGGCGATACCATGGCGCGCAATTGCTCGCGCGACGGCGGAGGGCGCGGCCTACCTGGCCATAGCCGTGGGCCGGCTGGTACCCCGACTCCTGCTGCGGCGCGGGGGCCTGGTAATACGGGTTCTGGCTCTGCTGGCCGTACGACATGGTGGGCGTGCGGATGCTTCGGTCTCGGCGGGCGACGGACAAGGGACGAGAGAAAGGGACGAGGGAGGGAGGAAGGGTCGAGGGATCGGATGGATGGAGCAATCTGGTGTTGACCAGTTGAGGAATCCAGCCGAGCAGAGGTCGTGGAAGGTTGTGGTTGTGGTGGTGGTAGTGGTGCGATGCGACGTACGGACGAAAGATGGAGATCGCGGGAGCACACAGGTAATGAAAAGCTTGGCCAGATTCGGGGACGGCGGCGCTAACGCGGAAAGGCTGGACGGGCGGGCACCAGTTTCGTTTCTCGACACGCTGACGGCATGTGTCTCCAGTCTGGTCTGGTGTGTTGCGTTTTGCAGACGCAGGCAGGTGCGGGTGCTGCTACTGCCCCAAGAGTTCGCGCGCCGCAGGGCCCCCCCGTCTGTTCCTCCACTTGCCCTGCCTCTGGCTCTCTCGCTCTCAGCCATGGAGGTACTTCGTGCCCTGCCCGCCCACCTCAGCCCGCTGTCGGGCTGTCTCAATGGCGGAGGATGGCTTGGGGGGCGAAGGTGCTGCTGCCGCCGCCTGGCAGAGCAACCTAGGCGCCCAGTGGCGGCGGGTCCGCCGGAAGCTCGCAAATCTACGTCACCCGCCTGGGCGCAGCGCTGCCGCCCCGTCCTAGGTACCTTACCTATAGTACCTAAGTAGCGGGCAGAGAGCTCCAGCAGCAGCAGCAGCAGCAGCAGCTGGAGCCGATGGACATTCCAGGCAGCCTTGCGGCGTATTGTGGTGTGGGATGGCATGGATGGATGGATGGGTTGGATGCTACCTGCCATCCCAGCAGTGTCTTTATCCATGGCCCTCTGCTGACGGGGCGAGAAAAGGCCCGCGACGGAGCGGGTGTCTGCCCGTCGGGCGCCCATTCGAACGTCTATTCCATCCATCCATCGAAAAGGCACCGAAGTCGCATAACTCACAGTGCCAACAGCAAAGCTTCGGGGAGCGAGAAAAAGGTACCTGCTGCATTTGGCCCGCCCACCTGGCCCGTCCACACGTCCAACGTTGTCGTCATACAATTGAACTCGCCCGGGCGCGGGAACCGCCAGCCAGCGCACGACCCGAAAAAAGTCTGTGCTGCTGCTGCACCGGGCCCCAAAAGCCAGGGTCCCAGAACTTCCACAGGCATGGCTCCCAACCAACCCACCACGCCCGCCTGTCCCCTCTGCGCGCCAATGGGCATCCGGCGCAGGCCCCCACCGACGCTCCGTGAGACCCGCTGCGTGCGTGGCGCTGCCGCCGCCGCCTGGCTCTGGCTCTGACGGGAGGTGCCCATGGTGGTTCTGACCTGCCCAGGCTGGCCAGCCAGGCAAGACCCAGGATCCTCCACTGCGCGCATGCATGATTCCCGTATGTGTGTGCCAGGACAGGACCGCCGTGTTTCGTTTCCCGCATCCGCCCGCCCGCACCTGTGCAACCTCGTGCAACGGTCGGCCGTGCCCAAAATAGACGGCCGTTGGATGCGTGCGCAGCCTCAAAAGTCGCCATCGCCTTTCTCGTTCGAGCTCGAGCCACGGCGACACAGTCAGCGACGCGCAGGCGTCGTACCGTGTCCAGCCCCGTTTTGCCTCGTCCGCCTGTCGTCACCGGCTGGGGCTGAGGCGTGCCAGTGACCTGCCATCGGAGCTTCCCACATGTGGCTTTGCTCCAGAGGCTTCCCAATGGCAATGGTTTGTCCTGCTGTGGCCGCGGGTAAAATTCCGTAATCGTTCAGTCGCGTTCAGCCTTGTTGTCGCCATTGCCAGTACGTTGCCGACTTGCCGCGTGGTGGACATGTCGCATGCAGCCTATTCGAGATCGCCGTTGCGCACAGCCACTACCGCCTCTGTTCAAGTTGCTGCCTACTTCGTATCTTATAGTTCCGCGCCTGATGGCCCCAAACGCCCCCATCTAGTGCAAATACAAGAGATCGCTCGAAATCAGCATGCAATGCCCACCGTGCAACATCGGTCGTCTTGAGCCAATGGCCTGCAACTCCCATCGCCTTGCCCGTGTCGGTCGCCGTCATAAAGTCTTTGCCTCGAGTCGGTAGTTGCCATTGAAGGACAAGAATCGCTCAAAGGCAAGCTTATCGTGTCCGGACCACCACCAATGGTAGCCTGTTCCCCGTTTCTCCCTCATTCCACTGTCGATCACGTCGAGTTCAGCCCTCAAGGCGACTTTGGACCGCCGCCCGCTCACAGATAGTTCTTCTTCTTGGCCGTCCGGGTATACTGCGTCAAATGCCACTCCACATCGCCCTCCTTATTTTCGAGCGTGCCGCCGCGAATCTCAAACGGTCGCATCGTCATCCGCGGACCGACCTCGGCGAGCTCGACGCTGTCGTAACCCGTCCGCACAAAGACGTGGTGCCGAACCTCGATGCTGTCCTCGAAGTTCTTGAACGTAACAACCCTGTTTCCGACCTTGTTCTTGCTCGTGATCGCTTCTCTCGGCGGGAAGATGTGCTTCAGGATCTTGACTATCCGGTTGCCCAGAGGAGTCGTAAATCCGTCGAAAATCAGGTGCGGGTACGACTCGCTCACTGTTCCTCGAACGCTCCCGGGAATGTCGTGCCGTAGCACCACGTTGTGTAGAGAAAAGGACACCGTAGGACCGTGTGGGAAGTGGGTAAGCGTCAACGCCGTGGGCGTACCACGATGCTCGTGCAGCAGGACAATATCCGACAAGCCTGCCGACGATGCAGACCGGACCAGGTCTGGCAGAATCAAGTTGCCACGGTTCATCCGTATTGAGGTGGGAAGCAGTAGTCTGATCTCTTTGGCAAAGGCCGACAGCCTCGCAGATGGGTCGCGTGATGTCGTGACGAGGACGCGGGGGTCGACGATGCCAGAGAGCTGGGCGTATTCATCGTCCAGATCGAGGGCTTCGTTTGTGCTCAGGTCCGCCGCAGACTCGTCATACTGATAGTCCTTCCTCAACGCCTTGTCGTTCGCAATGGTGGGATCGAGGCTTCTTCCAGACGCGAGTGACTCGCGCAGCTTGGCCCTCTTCTGGCTGATCTCGGCATCGCGAAGGAGAAGCGCCCTCCGGTAGAGGTAATCGCGCCTTTGGCGTGCTTGTTTGCGCTGGAAGCACACACAGTCAGTTTGGTTTTCCGACTCTCTAGGGCGTCGGCGAAAAACTCACTATCATCTTGGCTGATGGACGTTGTCGCAAAGACGTCTTGCCCAGGCAGAGTGCAGCCGTCGTGCATTTTTTGGGACAGCCCACCAAGAAAAAGTTCCTTATCGGCGAGCACCGCCATTTTGCCGCTATCGATAGGCGGTTCGCGCGCTTATCACGTGGGCGCAAAATGTCCCACCACCAACTCCGCCGCCAGAGGGTCTGGCTGTTCACCTTTGCAGATAACCCCAAACTCGCTGGGCAGACAATTTCTGACGCCTGACCAGCTGCGCGAGACCCTTTCCTTTCGTTTCTTCTCCAAGACCGCCGGCCGACAAGCTCTCACGCGGCCCGTCAACTGCTGTTTACCGGCGCATTTCTTTGCCGCGATGATGTGAGGAACGCCGCGACCTGCTACCCAAATCTCTCTCTCGATCCCGTCCGAGCCGCTTTCTGCCGACACGCCGGACGCTCTACACATTCTCTAGGCAGAGGTGGGTTTGCAAACCAGCTTGTTTTCTCGCGCGGCCGCCCCTCAAGCAGCTGTCGTGACTTCTGCGTTTTGCCCGCCTGGATTTCCTGCGTCTTCTCTCCCCCTCGCATAACGCTGACACTGTGCAGACAAAGAAAACATCGCTAGCGCATATCGACGCGCAGACGCAAACCATGGAGGGCGCCTTCACGCACGTGGGCAACCACCTCATCTCCGACTCGGCTGCTGCCATCAACGCCGGAGCCGACGATCTTTCCGCCCTCGACCCCGACGAAAGCCTGCTCTATGCGCAGTACGGCCCAGGCCCCAGCGGCCGCCGCCGAGCCGATGACGACGACAACCAGACCGAAGCGTTCGAGGACGACGACAATGATAGTCTCAACAGCGTCCCCGTGGACGGCATGATGGGCCTGAAACTGAAGAATGCCGAAGAGGAGAAGCAGCTCCCCCCGCACGCTTGCGCGTAAGCGACACCCTCGGAGTGCCCTTTCGTCTCCCTTTCTAACATGTCGCTACAGCTACTGTGGCATTCACTCCCCAGCCTGCGTCGTCAAGTGCTTGACTTGCAACAAGTGGTTCTGCAGCGCCCGAGGCAACGGCACGTCCACCCACATCGTCAATCACCTCGTCCGAGCGAGACACAAGGAGGTGCAGCTGCATCCTGAATCAGCCCTTGGAGACACGGTGCTGGAATGCTACAATTGCGGAACGAAGAATGCCTTTCTGCTTGGCTTTATCCCAGCCAAGTCCGATACCGTCGTCGTTCTGCTCTGCCGCCAACCATGCGCCGCCAACTCCTCGAACAAGGATATGAACTGGGACGTTTCGCGCTGGGAACCACTCATCGAGGAACGAGCGTTCCTTCCCTGGCTCGTCGCTGCCCCCTCCGACGCGGAACAGCTCCGAGCCCGCCATCTGTCCCCGAACACGATTGCGAAGATGGAGGAGATGTGGAAGATCAACGCCAACGCTACCCTGATGGACCTTGAGAAGGCTTCCAACATGGACGAAGATCCCGACCCGGTTCTTCTTCGCTACGAAGATCCGTACCACTACCAAAACGTCTTTGGCCCCCTCGTCAAGATGGAGTCCGACTACGACAAGAAGCTCAAGGAGGCGCAGTCAGAGGACGGCCTCATCGTACGCTGGGACTATGGTCTCAACAACAAGCATCTTGTCAGCTTCAACCTGCAGAAGATTGAATCGGGCGATGTCAAGCTTGCGGTTGGCGACGAAATGCGGCTTCGATACAACGGCGAGCTGCGTGATCCTTGGGAGGGCGTCGGCTATGTCATCAAGATCCCCAACAGCCAATCTGACGAGGTCTGTCTAGAGTTGCGCAAGGCTGGAAACGACAAGCTGGTCCCCACCGATCTCTCCCATAACTTCTCGGCCGACTACGTTTGGAAGGCGACTTCTTACGACCGGATGCAGCTTGCGATGAAGAACTTTGCCATCGACGACATGACCGTCTCGGGCTACCTCTTCCACGTTCTGCTCGGCCGTGACGTTCAGCTGCAGCCGATGAAGGCGACCCAACCTAAGAAGTGGTCTGCTCCTGGGCTCCCTGATCTCAACCAGAGCCAGGTGGATGCTATCAAGTCGGTGCTGCAGAAGCCCATCAGCCTCATCCAAGGCCCGCCAGGAACGGGCAAGACAGTTACGTCGGCGACTATCATTTATCACTTGGCCATGACGACCAAGAACCAGGTCCTCGTCTGCGCCCCGTCCAACGTCGCTGTCGATCAGCTTTGCGAGCGTATCCATCGCACCGGCCTCAAGGTTGTCCGCTTGACGGCAAAGTCTCGTGAGGATGTCGAGTCGTCCGTCAGCTTCCTGGCGTTGCACGAGCAGGTGCGCATGGCGGAGCACAATACAGAGCTGGTCAAGCTGTCGCAGCTCAAGAACGACGTCGGCGAACTGTCGAGCCAGGATGAGAAGAAGTTCAAGCAGCTCACAAAGCTTGCAGAACGCGAGATTCTCCAGAACGCTGACGTCGTGTGCTGCACGTGTGTCGGCGCGGGTGACCCACGCCTTTCCAAGATGAAGTTCCGTAACGTTCTCATCGACGAGTCCACGCAATCTGCCGAGCCCGAGTGCTTGATTCCCCTCGTTTTGGGCTGCAAGCAGGTCGTCCTCGTTGGCGACCACAAACAGTTGGGCCCTGTCATCATGAACAAGAAGGCCGCCAAGGCGGGCCTGAACCAGTCCCTGTTCGAGCGACTCATCAACCTCCAGCTTTCGCCGATCCGACTCACGACGCAGTACCGAATGCATCCCTGCCTGTCCGAGTTCCCATCCAACATGTTCTACGACGGAGCCCTGCAGAACGGCGTTACGCACGAGCAGCGTATCCGCAAGGACGTCGACTTCCCCTGGCCCGTTGCGGAGATGCCCATGATGTTCTGGTCCAACCTGGGACACGAGGAAATCTCCACCTCGGGAACCTCGTACCTGAACCGCACCGAGGCCTCCAACGTTGAGAAGACGGTCACCCGGTTCTTCAAGGCGGGCGTGAAGCCCAGCGAGATCGGTGTCATTACGCCGTACGAGGGTCAACGAAGCTACATTGTGACGACGATGCAGAACTCCGGGCAGTACAAGAAGGAGCTGTACAAGGAGGTTGAAGTCGCGTCCGTCGACGCCTTCCAGGGCCGAGAGAAGGATTTCATTGTTCTCTCTTGTGTCCGATCGAACGAGAACCAAGGCATTGGCTTCTTGTCCGATCCTCGCCGCCTCAACGTGGCTCTTACGCGTGCCAAGTACGGTCTGGTCATCTTGGGTAATCCCAAGGTTCTGTCCAAGCACGAATTGTGGCACAACCTGCTGGTCCATTTTAAAGATCGCAAGTGCTTTGTCGAAGGGCCCCTGACCAACCTGCAAGCTTGTTTGCTGCAGTTCAGCCGGCCCAAGGTCAGCTACCGCCAGAAGAACAACTACCAGTCCCAGTTTGGAGCGGGGGCTTATGCCAACGGACGACACAACGGAGCGCCGCCAGGCCGCGACTTCAACGATGCCGGCTCCATGATGTCCTACATTCCCGACGACGTGTCGTCGATTCAGGGCTCCGCATTCGGCGGTGCCAACCTGAACTCGGCATTCCCGCCCATGTTCTCCAGCTTCACTCCGGAGCACTGGCCGGGACTTCCGGGAGTACCCGCTCCAGGACGTGGCGGCAAGAGCCGTGGACGGGCGACGGAGAGCATTGCCGGGGAGAGCGTCGCCAACTCGGAGCTGACAGACGCGACGTCGAGCATCCTGGGCGGCAAGGGTGTCGGACAGGGCGGCGTTAGTCTCGGCGCCGGGCTCCATGATGCCGTGACAGGAATGCGACCAGTGTCGTACACGCAGAGCGACCGCTTGAAGCAGTACGTTGAGAGCAACGGGCGCATGGCACCTGGAAGCGGGTACGGCCGCCGGTACGACGACGACGAGAAGAGCGTCAGCACCGCGTTTCACAGCCAGATTGGCGGCGGCTACGACTGAGGGACACGACGACAAGGCGACGAACGAGAACTTGCCGAATAACTTTGCTACGTGACGAGCTCAGCTGGAGCATCGCCGTGGGTGGACGCTGAAAGCAGCTGTTGCAGCGGCCGCGAGCCTGGACGGCGCGCCTCCTACGACCGCGACGGGACCAAGCCTCGCGGCTTGTCGCCATCAGGCCGCCGCTTTCGTACAGACAGACGGCTCCCGATGGAGGATTGGTCTGCCCAAGACCAACGTCTCGCAACGCTCCGACGCCAGCCGACGGACGGATAAAGTCGGCGGGTCATGCATCCCGTCAGGGACGCGCTGCCTCACTCACATCTGGTGATGAATTTTGGAAGTCGCTGAGGGAGCTGGCATAGCTCGCTATGCAGGACCGGGAGGCAGTGGAGGTAGACGAGCGGCACGGCCGGCGAGCACTCTGACGAGCACGCGTTGGCCCTGCGAATCATCAGGGCTGCTCGATGGCGAAGGAGGAAAGCCTGATGGCATCGAACAGGTGCGGCGATGGCAGGAAGCTGCCGTATTGCCGTTGCCTCTACCATCTGGCTGAAGAGCCGACGTCGTTGAAGACTTGATTTACGCCTGACCCCAATACACTCATTTGCAGTAGATAGATGCGAATTGACCACAGTCATTCCTTACTGCTCTGTAGCCATGAAGCTTTTCACGGCGGTGACTTGCACTTGACTTGGGCGTGCAAGATACCCGCAGGAGCGCGGCTTTTGAGGCGTGGCTTGCGGGTAGGATGGTGTTCAAGATGCACGGCCTAGCGGGTCACACACAGATACGAGATGCCCCTGTACCCCTGAACTTTGGGGGCACCATACCTACTTAGTAGCAGGCGAATAGGCGATCGGTAGTAGACGGGCGTCACCTGAGACGGGCCGCCTGCGCCGTGCCGCCGGTGTATCTACATACGTAAGGTACTATGGAAGGTAAGGTAAGGTAAATACACACGTATACGTAGGCACTGGAGCAGAGCCGCCTGTACAGGAATAGAAAGCCACGGATCATGTCTCAATTGCTGGGCCAGAACAATGTCTTGGGGGAGAAGGGTTTTGAAGATGCCGATCGTTGTCAGCGCCATGTGACGGTGCCTGACAGGGAGGTGGGCAGGCAGGCACATCGACCATGGAGGATGTGTGCGGCATTGGTTGCGTGCTGTCCGTGGGACGCTCGCACAGGGGGGGCGCAGGTTGTGGCTCCAGGCACCGCCCGTGGAACAGCTTCAGGTGGCACGGGCACGCAGCGGGAGGGTTTCCAATCCAAGTTGCGCATGACGGGAGCGCACCAGCCCGGCGGGAAGGTGCCCGAACGGGTTCGCCGTATTCAACGACGGGAGCGCTGGACCACAGGCGCTCAAATCGCACAACAGGGGGCACCTCAGGCAGTGGAGACTGCCCGGCCTACCAAGCCCCCGGGCCAGCCCAATGGAACACTCTTCCGTCCCCCGCTGCTGCTTGCTAGGTGCTGTTGCCAGCTGCGCCGCCCCTCACGGGCGCTCCATGGGTCCCAAGCGGTAAGGTAACCTCGCCTTTGCCTCGTGCCGCCCGCCCGCCCCACTGCCGTCGAATTCTAGGCTTTCGCTGGCCCGCCACAGCCGGAAGAGGCATCCAGGAGTCCGGGGAAGTCAAGCCAGGCCCCAAGCCCTTTTTACCTCGTTTCTGCTGCCAACCCATTTTAGACTTTCCTTTCGGGACATTGAATTGTTGGTTGTTGGTGTCTGCTTTCAGCGCTTTCATCCCGTCGTCACGACCCCCGTTATCCCCCTCTCTCCTCCCCCGTCTCTCTCTCTGTCTCTGCGTCCTGCTCGCTGCTCGCACGCACGTCCGCCCGCACGCACGCTCCTCTTGGCGCCGTCGAAGTTCGAGCCAACACACATTTCTTCGATCAATCCGCCGCCCGCCGCCGGCCTTCGATAGATAGACCTCGCGAGACAGAAACGATCATCCTTCTCCTCCTCCTCTCCCCCCGCTGCGAGCAGCGCCGTCTCGGACCCCCGGTCATGTGCGCCCGTCCGTCCTCGCCATGTTGAACAACCAGCTCCAGGGACGTCTCGGGCGCCGCTATGTCGTCCTTGTCGTCTTCGCCGTCCTCGCCCTCTTGCTATGGCACGGCTTCGGCGGCGGCTACGGCTCCCGGGCGGCCGGCTCCAGGACCGTGGGCAGCGTGCGCCTCGTGCCCAGCAGCTACGACTGGAGCAAGGCCCAGCAGTTCCACCCCGTCGCCGACATCAAGCCCCTGCCCGCAGGCTCGCCCGCCCGGCTGCCCAAGGTCCAGGCCCGACCGTCGGCGGAGCGCCAGGACGACATCGCCAAGTCTAGGAAGGAGGCGGTCCGCAGGGCCTTTGTCAAGAGCTGGGAGGCGTACAAGACGCATGCCTGGACAAAGGACGAGTTGATGCCCCTGTCCGGCAAGGGCAAGCAGACCTTTTCCGGTTGGTCTGCCCAGCTGGTGGATGCCCTCGACTCGCTCTGGATCATGGGCCTCAAGGACGACTTTGTCCTCGCCGTCAAGGAAGTCGCCGTCATCGATTGGGCCAAGGTCAACGACGGCAAGACGGTCAACCTCTTCGAGGTCACCATCCGCTACCTCGGCGGCCTGCTCGCCGCCTACGACCTGTCGCGCGAGCCCGTCCTGCTGGCCAAGGCCGTCGAGCTGGGCGATGCCCTGTACGCCGGCTTCGACACCCCCAACCGGCTCCCCTCGCACTGGCTCGACTACAACAAGGCCAAGACCGGCGAGCAGACGGCCGACTTGAGCATGTCGGGCGCCGCGGGCGGCTCCCTGTCCCTCGAGTTCACGCGCCTGAGCCAGATCACGGGTGAAGCCAAGTACTACGACGCCACGGAGCGCATCAAGCAGTTCTTCTACCGCTTCCAGAACCAGACCAAGATCCCCGGTCTCTGGCCCATGATGCTCAACTACCGCGACGAGACCATGGACGGCGAGATCTTCACGCTCGGCGCCGGCGCCGACTCGCTGTACGAGTACCTGCCCAAGATGCACGCCCTGCTCGGCGGCCGCGACCCCGAGTACGAGCAGATGACGACCAAGGCGCTCGACGCCGCGCGGGACACGCTCCTGTTCCGGCCGATGACGCCCAAGGACGACAACATCCTCATGGCGGGCAACGTGGACTGGGACGACGGCAACAAGACGCTGACGCCCGAGATGCAGCACCTCACGTGCTTCATCGGCGGCACGTACGGGCTGGCGGGCCAGCTCCTGGGCCGCAAGGAGTTCGTGGACCTGGCGTCGCGGCTCGCCGCGGGCTGCGTGTGGGCGTACGACTCGTTCGCGACCAACATCATGCCCGAGATCAGCGAGCTCGTGGCATGCCCGTCGCTCGACGGGCCGTGCCCCTACTCGGAGGCGGCCTTCCCCACGGCGATGCGCGGGCGGCCCAGCGGCGTCGACCTGCCGGGCGGGTTCACGCGCGTGCGCGACCCGCGCTACCTGCTGCGGCCCGAGGCCATCGAGAGCGTCTTCTACATGTGGCGCATCACGGGCGATCAGGTATGGCGCGACGCGGCGTGGAGGATGTGGCAGGGCATCGTGCGCGAGACGGAGACGGAGTTGGCCTTTGCGTCGGTCGAGGACGTCAAGGTGCACTCGAGCGAAAAGGTCGATTCCATGGAGGTAAGTTTGGTTATCTCTTTGCTCTAGATGTGTATAAGAGACAGCCCCCCCCCCATCGCGTCAGCTCGCCGTGCGATGGCGGTGGCCGTATCTTATGATGAGCAACTGCTGACGAACACAAACAGACGTTCTGGCTCTCCGAGACGACCAAGTATTTCTACCTCATCTTTGACGACGAGGGCACCATCAACCTGGACGAGTGGGTGCTCAACACGGAGGCGCATCCGCTCCGCCGGCCGGCGCAGAGGTAGGGGGGATTATTGCATGTGGGCATTGTAGAAAGGGCTGAGCACATAGGGAGCCTGTATATGGACGGCAGTGAGCTGCACAAACACACACACACACACACAAATCGCATACGACAGGGCATCGTCACGGTGGCTTGTATCGTTGTATAGAGGCGGGTTTCAGACTGGGCATTGGACATTGGACATGGGGGGGTTGGGGTGCATACTGCATTCGAATATTGGTACATGATCACAAATAGAAGAACAAGTCCTCTTGAGTCACGATTCTTGTATCTGGTTTCCGGAGATGAATTGGCCCGGCATTAATCTCTTGCTGTGAGGAGCTGCTGTAAGTAGGTTGTCACTGAAGGGCCATGATAGACGGACAGAGCAAGAAGTTCCATGCAGCTCAAAAGTCTCAGGCACCCTTAGGTTGAGTGACCGCCTAAACCCCACAGCGCCCGGGCGCGAAACTCCCCAGCTCCGGCAGTCGGTCTCCGACGGCGCTTCGCAATTACTTCACCACCTACCTCCCTCTCGCCTGGCCTTCCCTTCCTTTCCCTCCTCCCCACGACATACATACCCAAACCTCACCTCTGTCTCTTATACACATCTAGATGTGTATAAGAGACAGCCCCCCCCCCGGGCAATTGACCGCCCCATTCCCCCCTTCTCTTCTCCTCTCCTCTCCTCCCGCTCCCCCCTTCTCCGAACTCGACCCCTCGTCGTCAGCAGCGATCCGCGGTAGGGGGAGGAGGCGCACACGACGCACTCCCCGCGCGTGATTGCTTGATGCGGCAGCACCACGACGAGGCATGCCGCCCCATCACCGCCCGCTGCTGCTCCTCTTGCGCTCCTCTCTCGCCGCCGGTCCCGGTTCCGGCCCCGCCGCCGTCTGCTCCGCGCCTCGACACCAGTGCCCTCTACCGCCGCAGCTTCCGCTGCCGCTGCAGTTGACCCGGCTGCTTCCGTCGCGACCGGCACACCGACTGCCGGCCGTCTCGATACATGCGCGCGCATTCCACGCCTCGTGCGTCTGCCGCAGCGATGCCATCGCGGGGAAGAACCACTACGAGAGGCTGAACGTGCGGCATGATGCCTCTCCCAGCGAGATAAAGAAGTGAGCCCCCTGCCCCCTTCGTGGACCCCTCAAGGCGCGTTCGTCCGGCCCGGCTGCTTCGCCCAGTCCTCCTCGAAGACCCGAGTGAAAACCGAAGAATCAGAGTGCTGACCGGTGAGCGACAAAACACCGCAGGTCCTTCTACGCCCTCTCCAAGACGCATCACCCCGACGCAAACCCCTCCGACCCCTCCGCCGCCGCCACCTTCTCCCTTCTCTCCGAGTCATACACGCTCCTCTCGGACCCCTCCCGCCGCGCCGCCTACGACCGCGACGTCCTCCGCCTCCAGTACCCGCACCATCGCGCCGACCACCACCACCGCCCCGGCGCCTCCTACTCGAGCACCAGCCAGGCCGGCGGCCGCGCCCCCTCCGGCCTCAGCCGCCGCAGGACCACCTTCCGCGGCCCCCCGCCCAGCTTCTACCGCAGCGGCGGATGGGGCACGCAGGCGGACAAGCGTCGTCGCGCGCACGAGGAGTCCACGGGCGGCGCTGAGTCTGCGGCCGGGGCGCAACAGCAGCAGCAACAGCATGCCTCCGAGTCATCGTCCTCGTCGACCGCGAACCCCTGGGCGCACGCCCACCAGCAGCACCACCATCACCATCATCATCACCATCACCACCACCAGCAACAACACGCCGGCATGGGCCCCGGCTCCTCGCCCTTCCGCGACGCCGACGCCGCCCCGCACTTTGACCGCGAGGGCCACACGCGCACGCACCAGCGAGAGGACCGCCGCCGCTGGCAGCGCGCCCGCCGCGCCGTCGGCGACGACGGCGTCGAGTTCGAGCCCCAGACCAGCCTCGCCGGCCACTTCCTCATCGTCGCGAGTATCCTCGGCGCCACGTTCCTCGCCCCCTTTATATACCTGCAGTTCATGCGCCTGGGGAGGCGCAAGAAGGAGCACGAGTATTGATGGCCGGACTGGCGGCGCATGATGTCGTTACTCGCAAGACGGAGCAAGAGGGGCGGACGGCGTCATGTCATATAGCATAGTTGATTGATAGATATCCGGCCCCTTTTACGGGTGCCACCACATGGCTGTATATAAGCATGCCTTCATAGCTACAGGCATTTTGACCACTTTGCATGTTTACACATACGTCACAAAACACGCAAGGCTTCACATCCACCGGAACTCGACATTTGGTATTGACTTCTCACATAATCTTCATACATCTACATACGGAGTGAGCCACCCGAATGCAAAAGCTCTAGTACGGTACAGCAGTTGCGCGCGAGAGCAACCGTTTTTTGGAGATGGGGTCCTAGCATGGCGAGAAGGGGGTTGCTAGATTGGCAATCGAGCTGCTTAACCCTCGAAGGTGAAGCTGGCACCGAGCTGGATATGGATGTTAGCAAGAGCGCGCGGCAGGAAAGGTAAAGGTTCAGAGAACGCAGACGCACCTTGTGGGTAGCCTGGTCGAGCTTCTGGGTGTCGAAGGAGCCACCGAGACCCAGGGTGACGCCCTCGCGGAGGAGGACGTTGTAGGCGAGGGCAGCAATGCCGCGGTCGTTGATCTTGACCTGTACAGGGCTCACATTAACATCTTCATGGCGCGGCGCTCAGGGGTGCGGCCATACCTTGGCGAAGGAGACGGGGTCGATGCGGTACTTGCTGGCAACCTCGAGGCCGACAGTGTTGCCGGTCTTGGAGTTCCAGGTGGCCTTGGCACCGGCCTCGACCTGGCTGTTGACCTTGTGGTAGTACGAGGCGGCGAAGACGCTCAGGTTGTCGGTGGCGGTGATGGCGGCGCTGTACTGGGGAGCAGCGTAGCCGACGGCGGCGCTGTAGGCGGTGACGGCGGCCTTGTTGACGTCGTAGCCGGCGCTGGCACCGGCGAGGAAACCCTCGTGGCCGACGACGGCGTCGACGTTGGCGGTGGGGCCCTTGAGCAGGTCAAAGAAGGCGCGGCCGTGGAAGCCGGGCTGCTTGAACATGAGGTTGAACTTGGCACCCTTGGCGGCGGTGGCGGGCAGGAAGTTGAAGAGACCCTCAAGCTTCAGGCCCTTGGCGAGCGAGTCGCTGACCTCGAGCTTGGTGTCGAGGGCGTTGGCCGTGTTCCAGGTCTGGGTCAGGGTGACGCCTGTACGCGGGTAGTAACACATTAGCACTTGTGCGAAACCGGGCGTGAAGTGCGTCGCGAACTCGACCGGCGAGCCTGAGGCCCGACCGAGAATCCGCGTGACGCCGAAACACAGTAGACGCGAGGGTTTGCGACGGCCTCGCGGCGCGCCGCCGCTGGGCGGGCGTCGTCGAGGCCGCGCAACAAGATGGGATGCTGTACCGGTAGGCTTGTCGGTGTATTTTCCCTCGATCTATGCGCGGGCGCCAGTCAGCGTTGGAGGTTCATCAAGGACTCCGCGCACGGTGCGCACAAATGCGACGACGCGCTGCGTCACACAGCGACGCGCGGGTGGACGAAGGGGTGGTACTCACGGCAGCAGAGGTGGCCTTCTCGTGGCTGGACTTGCCAGTGACCTTGAAGGCGACGCCATTGGGGGCGGTGTCCTTGAACTCAAAGGTGGTGGCGGACAGGTGGTAGAAGTCCTTGTTGAGAAGCTGCAGTCACGGCGAGGAGTCCTCGCGTCAGCAAATCGCCCACGATCAAGGCCGCTCCCGTCACGCAATGCCGAGCTCCGAAGCTCCTTGGGGCCGTGGAGCTCGGCAACGCGCAAGCAGAGCGAGGGGCAGCAGGATAGTCGGGCCACGTACGTCGTTCGCCGGCTTGGCGATGTCGGAGAAGGCGGGGACAGACATGATGGGCGGTTGTGGAGGGAGAAACACGGAAGCTCGAGGGTGAATGTGAGGGTTCGTGGTGAGGGAGAATGGGGATGGGTGGGATCAGGAGGTTTGGCGGAGGTGGAAGCTTTCGGGGGGGAGCGGGCGAGGGAAAATGTTTTGGGCGACGGCAGTCGATTGGCCTGCCGCCGCAGCAACAGCAACGTTCAAGGTTCCAATTGTTGGGGGGGTCTGCCGCCCACCGCTGGTACCACCGCTGGCGCTGGCTGGCTGCCCGGTGCGAACGTGCGCTGCGCTGTGCTACGGCAGCCCACTCCAAAGCCCAGGGCTCCAGTGGTGCGGCTTCGGCTGATGTCGGGCCGGCGCACCCTTCGGGGCCACTCCAGTGTGCTACCGACAGTGATGCCTCGCCTCATGCCTGAGGCCGAAGCCCTCCGCAAACACCAGACACCAGACCCTCCCTCCGCTGCAGCGCCAGCGAGGGTCCACGTGGGCCATTGCTAGGGCTGTTGGCGTCTTGTCACGATGGACACCCAAGACAGCCGGGAGATGAGGTGATGATGTTCCCTCTCTTTGCCATGAGTGGCCGCCCGAGCGCTCGCGGGTTGGTGGCGCCCCTCGCTGCCCTCGTGACATCGTGACATCCCTCACAGCGGCCGACGTGGGCGCAACAGTCAGTCTTCTCCCCAACCGTATGAAGTAGCGCCTGTTGGCGACCAGGCTCCCCGAGCACCAATCCCCACAGCGCATGACACATATTTCCGAACGCGCTTCCGCGGCTTCTTTGCATTGACGCCCAATTACTGAGAGGACCGCGCTTGACCCGAAAGCACCGTGTCCGTCCCCATGCACCCGCTGTGCCCAGTCTGTCCGCCAGCCTCGGCGCAATCATCACTCCATGCGTGAACCTGTATATGAAAGACTTGATTGCCTTGCATCGTGCTTGTATGGTATCTGATGAATTGGATCCCTCGACTACATCGGCCAGCTCACTTAGACGACCAAAGACGCCATCTCAAGTACCCAAACAGTCACTCCTCTAAACAATGCGAACCGTAGCAGAGACGACATGGCAACCAACTTTTCTATAACCTTTCGAGGCTCCCGCTCGATGCTTGCTCGGCTCGGCCCTTAAGCAGCGTTGTCGTACTTGGCCTGATGCGTGGAAATGGCTCTGTTTCATCAAGTCAGCTACACGTCTCGTCCGTCGCAGTTGTTGCTGGTGAAACCCACCTGCCGCTGGGGTCGCTCTGTTTGGACCATGTGGGCGTCCAGCGCATCACAGTCGACGCGCATGATGGAGGGAAGTGCTCGTCAAACATCAGACGGTACCAGTACGCCTCCTTGGTGTCAGGGATGTCGGTGCCCCATTCCGGCTTGGGGTTGGCCATCATGTCGTCCGTGACGTGCAGCTCGGCGTTGTCCTTGAGCGCGTCGATCCAGCCGTAGCCGACGCCGTCCGAGAACTGCTCCTTCTGTCTCCACAGGATCTCGTCGGGCAGGTACGCCTCGGTCTCCGGCTCGTCGGTCGTGTCAAAGGCCTTGCGCAGAATGTACTTTTCGATTCTGTCCTTGGTGATCATCTTCTCCTGCGGGTCAATCGACATGCAAGTCTCGAGGAACTAGAGTCTCGTTAGCAATCGAATTACGCAGCCAGATGCCCTCATCGGCGCACTCACCTCCTTGTCCAGGAAAGGCACACGGGCCTCGAGGCCCCACGCCGACGTCGACTTGTTGGCACGCAGGCAGTCAGCCAGGTGCAGGTTCTTGACGCGGCGGACCGTCTCCTCGTGGAAGGCCTTCTTGTCCGGCGCGGCGTGGAAGTACAGGTAACCGCCGAAGATCTCGTCGCTGCCCTCACCGCTCAACACCATCTTGATACCCATGGCCTTGATCTTGCGAGACAGCAGGTACATGGGGGTGGAAGCGCGAATAGTGGTGACGTCGTACGTCTCCAGGTGGTAGATGACGTCCGACAGGGCGTTGAGGCCATCCTCAATAGTGAACGTCATGACGTGGTGCTTGGTGCCCAGGAACTTGGCGACCTTGACCGCCGCTTCGTTGTCGGGCGAGCCGGGCAGGCCGATGGAGAAGGAGTTGAGCTGCGGCAAATACGTCACAGTCTCGATGTTGTCGTCATCGTCAATGCCGACAAGGCCCTCGCCGCGGTCGGCGTCGCCCTCGGGGAGAACACCTCCGTTGGCGTCCACGGCCTTTTGCTTCAGTCGCATGGTCTCGCGCTGAGCAATTGAGGCGACGAGGCTCGAGTCGAGACCGCCGGACAGCAGAACGCCGTACGGGACCTCGGCCATGAGCCTCTTCCTCACAGCCTTCTCCAGCGCATGTCGGATCTCCTTGTAGTTGATCGGGGTCGAGGGGACGTTGGCAGGGTCCCACCAGGTAGGCTGGAAGTAGCGAGTCGTCTTGCCAGTCTTGGAGTCGAAGATGTGGCCGGGGGGGAAGGCCACGATCTTGTCGCACACGGTGGACAGGCACTTGAGCTCGGAGGCAAAGTAGATGGTGCCGGGCTCCTTCCACGACCAGCCCTGGTAGAAGGTGGTGATGCCGATCGGGTCGCGGGCGGCGATGATGCGGTCCTGGTTCTTGTCGTACAGGACAAACGAGAACATGCCATCGAGGTGCTTGGGGGCGTCGATGTCATACTCGGTGTACTTGGCCAAGGTCAGCATCGCGGCCCGTGCGTCTGCTTTGTTCCATGGGTCCACCTACCAGAGGGATGATGACCTCGCAGTCAGAGTGCGTCTTGAAGTGGTACGCCTCCTTGAGGTGCTTGCGGATCAGGCGGTGGTTGTAGATCTCGCCGTTGACGGCGAGGACGAGGGTCTCATCGGCGTTGGTCAGGGGCTGGGCACCCGAGTCTGGCTTCAGGTCAGCTACCAGGAGAACCGGTGGAGGGCGCAGAGCGTAGACCCACCGACACCGACAATGCTCAATCGCTCATGGCAAAGGACTAGACTTGATGTCAGAGACGTTGCGACAGCCGGACCACGAATCCTGGAACCTACTTGTGTTCTTGGAGATGATGCTGCCGCCTGTTCACCGAAGGGGTCAGTATGGGCCATGGCCGGGAGATGGCGCGAAGCTCGACTCACTCCAATCGGGGCCACGATGGCGAACTCTGAAGCCGACGGGTCAATTCTCGCTCAAGTAAACGTAGACGATGGCACGTACTGCTTGGACAGCTTCAGGGCCGTCGGCTTGAATTTTTGAACGTCGGGATGACTGGCGACCTGGAGTCAGTCTTGATGTCTGGCAGCAGCAAAATGGCGGGGTGCTCGCGGTTCGCCGATCGGATGCTGCCCCTCCAAACTTTTTGGGGGGGAGAAGCAGTCCAGCCCGTCGTTCCGTCAGCGCGCCAGAAGCGGCAGGTCGTAAACTCACCGGTAGCAGGCGAATATTCCACACATGGTTGCTTCTGCGTGACAGCTCTGAGGAAGCTGTGCGAAGACTGGACGAGGCGTTATATGGCAGATGGAGGAGAGAAGAAGAGAAGAGGTCGGTCTGGTCTCCAGCAAAAATACAAAACCGCCGCGCCGAGCATGAGCATGAGTCAAGCAAATCGCAGCGGTAGCCGACGGGTGAAAATTGGGCCCCGGCGCTGATAAGGTGCAGTGCGCTCGCAGAAGCTTGGGTGGCTGCACGCCCGCTGAACCGTCGACCGATGGCCCGCCGTCCGCGCTCCCGCCGCTGGAGTCAGGGCGGCCACCCCCCCAGAAGCCGCCCTCTGCGAGCGGCCGACTTCGGCGGGGACAGCAATTCGCGCACGGCCATTGGCCCGCGGCACTCAGATAGACTCGAGTAGACTCATCGCTGGGCCCGGCCGGTTCGCCATCGCTCCCCGGCTCCGAGTGCGCCGCCGCTTGCTGGTGCGTCTGCTGGTGCGTGGGTGTTCTGGAACGTTGTATGCGTTCCCCCATTTAGGCCCCTGGGAGTCTGGGGGCGACGTAGTGGCAGCTGTCTGGGACCTTCTAGAGCCGTCGTGACGCCTACCCGTGTTGGAGGATCCCAGACGAGTGTAGATTCCAGACGAACGTGTACGAGTACGCTCACGCCAGGGCCCGAGTCGTGCCCAGTACACTCTCGCGGGAATACCAGTGGCAAGGGTTGCAGACACATGTCCGCCTCTTGGCTACGCAGGAGAATATCAATTTGCTGTCAAAGAGCCGTCGCGAAAGCAGCGCCATGCCGCCGGCCGAAACCTAGCCCAGTTTTGCGCCTTCGCCATTCTCAAATCATCGTCGCAGTTCATGCCAGATTGCCTGCTTGCCCTTGGGCAGATGCCATGCTCGCCTCTGCTGTGAGGCCTTCTTCATCTTGGTATTCCTCCAAACGCCGTTGCCTGGTCTTTGTCGTCTAGTAATCATTATTGCCACCCTCCTGTGGCCTGCTGACCCAGGGCTATCAGGGAGCCGGGTTCTCGCGCACGACACGCTTGACTCTCTTCTCGTACTCGACTCGGTCTCGCTTGAAGAGGTTGTAGGCCTCAGCCTGAGCCGGCGACTCAGGGTTCGGGTCGTTGAGGAGGTCCTGGATGCCGAGGAGAATCTGCTTCACCGTGATGGCGGGCTTCCACGCCTCTTCTTCGTTGAGGATAGACAAGCACACGGTGCCCGAGGGGTAGACGTTCGGGTGGAACAGCGGGGGAACGAACTTGCCTGTGGCGGGTCAGTAACCGTCATTCATCGCCTGAAGACGGGCTCGCGCGGTGGGAACTTACACTTTGGCGGCTTCGTGGGGTATTCTGAAGGTCGATGTCAGCCCATCAAGAGTCAGTGATGCGAGCACAAACGCGCAAACTTACCATCAGGAAATGCGATCGTCAGCTTGAACAAGCCGCCCTCCCAGATCGTCTTCTCCTTGCCTGGAACACCACACTCCCAGTTCTTCAGATCAAGAACACCCTCCTTCGTCCGCAAAGGCCGCGCGTAGAATCCGAACGGGTGGTCTCGCCGCCACTGTTTGCTACGGAACTGCATCAGCACCCACGCCTCGAAAGGTGTCTCAGGCGGGTAGGCTCGGGCAACTCACCGCTCCTCCTGTAGTCTGTTTTGGCACAGCGCCATGTCGACGGTCGCGATGCGTTCGCGTCGGTGGGTTCGGTCGAGGTGTCAGGTCGTCGAGGCCGTCGTGCCAGGGTACGCGCAATCGCAGCTTCGCGACAAGGCGGGATCAAAAGACACTCGAGGGGTAGATTTTGCGCCGCGTGCGGTCGTGGCGGAGCAAAGGCGTGCTTATGACTGTGATCGGAGACGCAGAATGCGCGTGCTCGTCCGTCTTGACTGGGGGTTGGCGAGCGTGAAGTCGGCCGATGTTGGGACAAAGAGAAAGAGAGATGAAGGTTTCACGCTGGCGGTTCGAGATGGCTCGCGTTGGCACAAACCACGGCAGAACGTCGCAGAAGCCTTCGCGGCACCAGGCGACCTGGGCGACGGAAGGCGCCCGTAGTGGGGTAATAAGGCAGCCCGCTGTGAGGCTCTGCCTGTAGCCCTGGCCGCAGACCCTGGGGAGCCCGCCGCACGGTGGGCGGCACATGCAGCGCACCTGACCAATTCTCCGGCGCCTCTGGACCCCCGGGGCCACTATTTTGATGCCCTGGAAGGGGAGCCCTTGGCTGCAGGTGCCCTGTAACCTCGCTGAATCGCCACCGCGGCCAGTCGGGTGGCACCCAGAGCAGGGAACCTGGAACCTGGAGGAAGTCGCCGGTCACAATGGGCCCGGCCAGGGTTACCCAAATGGGTCAACGGCCCTGCCCTCTGCCTTGTCCCTCGGCCCAGCAAACAACCCCCCAGAGGCCGACATTGACAGCCGTCTGCAGTTCATCAAACCCTGTGCGTCTCAACACCCGGGCCTCAGTCAAAGCGCAGCTTGAATCCTGTTTTTGGGAGTCATCGCTCGCATTACTTGATCTCGTCGTAAGAAGGCCGCGCCCCCCTTACATACAACAGTCCTGTCGCCCCTCCATTCGCCGCTGTTCGGCAACACCTGCATGTGGGGTTGAGATCCGACACGGAGCGAGATATCATGGACACGCACGCCGGCGTCCCAGCCGACACCAAGAAAGATGAGGCGGAGGTAAAGACAACCGACGTCAAGGACGCGCTGCCGGTGGTGGCGAGCGAGCCGGCCAAGACCGAAGACGTGGTCGAGGACGTCCCTGACCCAGATGAGGATGACCTCGACGATCTGGATGGTGAGGCAGTTTCAGTACCTCGGCCCTGATATCGTCATACTCACTGACTCCTCATGATAGACATGTTGGATGAGTTCTCGTCGGTCAAGCTCAACGCTGGCGAGACGGCCAAGCCTGCGGATGCCGCGCCGTCCTCATCCGCTCCCAAGTCACCTGCCCCAGGACCAGTCCCTGGCGCTACAGACAGCCAGACTGTGGCAGACGACGGGTTCTCAGAAGAGGACTTTGCTAAGCAGCTCCAGGCCGGCATGGCTGACCTACTCGGAGAGCTGGAAAAATCTGTAAGGTGACCCCGCGTCGTACACCGGCGTTCGCCGCTGACCTTGCCACAGCCCGAGATGCAGGATCAGTTTGAGGAAATGTTCAAGCAGATGACCGCGGCCGCGGCCGCAGAGGACTCGGCACCTGGACCGGCCACAGATGGCGCCTCTGGCTCCAACAAAGCCCCTTCGGACGCCGGTGCTACCGACGCTTCCTTCCAGGAAACCATCCGCCAGACCATGGAGCGCATGCGAAACTCTGGCGACCAGGCTACCGCAGCGGCCGCCTCCGGTGGCGGCGACGACTTCATGTCCGAGATGCTCAAGCAGATGGCCTCTGGCGACTTCAACGCCGAGGGCGGCGAGGAGGAGTTCTCCAAGATGCTCATGGGCATGATGGAGCAGCTCACCAACAAGGAGATCCTCTACGAGCCCATGAAGGAGCTCGACGACAAGTTCCCCGACTGGCTGAAGAAGAACAAGGACAAGACCCCGGCAGAGGATCTCAAGAGATACGAGGAGCAGAAGTCCCTCGTCAGGGAAATCGTCGCCAAGTTTGAGGAGAGCACCTACTCGGACAACAATGCTGCCGACCGCGAGTACATCGTGGATCGGATGCAAAAGGTAGGTCACAGACCCTGCATGGTCACAAGCGGCAGCAGACTGACAGTGTACAGATGCAAGCGGCTGGCTCGCCGCCCTCGGATCTGGTAGGAGACATGGCATCGGCGCAGGAAGCGTTCGCGGGGCCCGACGACCAGTGCAACCCGCAGTAGATTTCCTTGTATGGATATCTCGTGCTCTATATACCCTTATGCGCCACCTTGAGTACACGGATGCCGTGCGATATCCACCAAAAGGTACGAAATACAAGTAATCGCTCAATTCGCAGATCAAGAAACGCCCGTGATCCCTAAGCCCTGTCCTAAAACGCCATTGTCCTGTGGTCCTGTGATGTCTCCCCAATGTGGAAACCGATGCGCTCAACTCATATCCATGTGGTCCGTGGAGTTTTGTGAAAACTCCGGCTGTGACTGTTCTTGCGATAGCAGCTCGGCGAAAATGTCGTCATATTCTTCGTCCGAGAGCGTTGGGGACGGCGGCCGTTGGGAAGGCGCGTGCTGCTGCTCCTCGTAGGACTCCAGCATGGCCTCGAGCTCCTCATCCTCCGGATTTGTCTCCATTACCATGTCATCCTCGTGTGGTTGCTCGACTTCCTCGTGAAAGGCCATGGCGTCGTCGATGTCCGCCTCTGTAAAGTCGGGTGCGTCCCGCGCCAGGCGACCGCGGTCGTCCAGCCAGCTTGTTTTCAGAAACTGCGGTTCATTAGCAACGGCGCGCGCAAGAAGCTGAGCCGTGCAGGATATAAGTACCTGGCCCTCGATATCCCGTCTTTGCCACGCCCTATCATCCGATTTCTGGCGCACGCTCTGCAAGAAGGTGCGTCGTCTTGACTCTTGTGCCACTTCGCGTCTCCGAACAACAGGGTTCGGACGCGTCGGACGCGCCGCATACTTGAATTTGGGAGGCTGTATGGGCGACGACTGTGTCTGGCGCTGCGAGAGCGTGTTTTCGTGGATCGGAGAGAGGGGAGACGACGCGCGAATGGGCGAGGATGAAAGAGGCGACGGGATTGATGGGCGATGGTGGTCCCATGCGCCGGAAAAGATGGGCGTCGGGGCAAAGGAGAGCATGTTTCCGGCGGCTTTGTCGTTGCCTTTGCGCTGTTGCATGAGGGACGAGGGCCGAGGACGCGACGCAGCGACCCGTATAAGATGGACGGGGGCGGGTGGCTGGCGGTCAGAGGGTTGGATTGATGGTGTCTCGGAGAGGCACGCCTGGGTTTGGCACTTTACGGCGTGATGGGCGACGCGGTAGTGACACGGCGCGAGATCACGTGCCGCTGTCACCTGTAAATAGCGCTTCTCGGCGCAGCGCGGGACGCCGGGGCAAGCAGAGCCACCGGCCGCCCCCCCAAAGAGCCCCAAGGGCCCCAACAACCGACTCAAATCGGAGGTGCCTCGGCGAATCACGGCGGCGCAAAGAAAAGTTGATGATGTCGATACCCGCTGCCATCCGCCGCCCGGGGTCGAAAAGTGTCAGCTGCTTCTCACCACCAGTCTGTCTGCCTGCCTATCCCTTTTTTTTGCCTCTACGACTTTTTTTTTGTCTTGTGCCAGCGCATTCAATTCGATCTGCTTTCCCACCATGGTCGTCTGTTAGCTGCGACGTCTCGCTTTCGTGCTGGGAAACGCAAATTCGCGACGACGAGAGAGCCCTCGTGGGGCGCGCGCGCGGAAATGAATCCCTTGGTCGCCTCCCGCTTCGCGACCCGCGTCGGGGCGCCGAGATCGTGGACATGCTCGACTTGTCGCGGCCAATTGGCCTTTACGCCGGCGGCGACACGTCTCGGTATCGCTGCGAGAAGATTTGCGTCGGGCGGTAGCAGCTCCTCTGGTGGGAGCGGCAGTAAAGATCGCAAGGGCCGGTCCCGGAGAGTCCTCCTGCTCGCCTCAACGGGCGCCACTGGTGTCGCGAGCACCGCCCTCGCCTTTACCGACGATATCAAAACGAGCTACGAGGCCGCCGAGAGGACGGGCCGGGTCATTGCCGCTTTGGCAATTTGCATCAATGAGTATGTTGCGCATGGCAATTCGGGGGAGTCGAGCGACCGACTAATTCGCTGCGTACTTTTAGCTATCGGACGACCTTGAACGCCAAAGCGACCATGACCAACGAGGAGGAGCAGAACAACGTGCTCACTGCCTGCCATAAGCGATGCGCCGAGCGAACACTCAAGGTGCTGGAGAAGAATGGTGGCATTTTCATCAAACTCGGACAGCACTTGGTACATGCGGCTCCCCCCGAGGATTGCAAGCCAGCACTTTCGTCGCTAACCTTGTCCAACACAGAGCGCTATGAACTACCTCTTGCCACCCGAATGGACAACGACATTCATACCACTCCAAGATAAATGCCCCGTGTCGTCGTTCGAGTCAATTGAAGACATGTTCCGCAAGGACACCAACGAGGACCTGTGGCATTACTTTTCCGACTTCTCCCCCGAGCCCATTGGCGCCGCCTCGCTCGCGCAGGTGCATCTGGCGACGGTCAAGGACACCGGCCGCAGGGTCGCCGTCAAGGTGCAGCACCCGGAGCTGCAGGCCTGGGCACCGCTCGACCTGGCGCTGACCAGGTACACCTTCTCCACGTTGAAGCGCTTCTTCCCCGAGTACGACCTCGAATGGTTGGCGTCGGAAATGGAGGTCTCGTTGCCAAAGGAACTCGACTTTCAGGAGGAGGCAGAAAACGCCAAGCGCATGAAGGCGCATTTCGAAAAGGTCCCCGAGCTGCCCCTGGTCGTCCCGGAAGTCATTTGGGCCAAGAAGCGCATCATCGTCATGGCGTGCGAGTCGGGCAGTCGTCCCGATGACCTGGAGTACCTTGATCGCAACGGCATAGACCGCGACGAGGTCTCTGCCGTGCTCGCCCGCATATTCAACGAAATGATCTTTGGCGACGGCGCCCCGTTGCACTGCGACCCGCACGGAGGAAACATTGCGATCCGCAAGAACAACTCCAGGCGTGGGCTGGGGCGCGGTCCCAACTTTGACGTCATCTTGTACGACCACGGCCTGTATCGCGACATCCCCCTGCCCCTGAGGCGGTCGTACGCCAAGATGTGGCTGGCCGTCATCGACGGCGACATGGACCGCATGAAAAAGTACTCCAAGGAGGTCGCCAACATCAGCGACCAGGACTTCCCGCTCTTCGCGTCCGCCATCACGGGCCGCGACTACAGCGTCGTCAGCCGCGAGGGGTCCATCCTCAAGACGCGCTCCTCGGACGAGGAGCAAAACATGTCGGGCGCGCTGCAGGAGGGCCTCATCGTGGACCTCGTGCAGATGCTCAGCCGCGTGCCGCGCATCATCCTGCTCATCCTCAAGACCAACGACCTGACGCGCAGCCTCGACGAGAACCTGCAGACGCGGCAGGGCCCGATCCGCAGCTTCATGATCCTCGCGCGGTACTGCACGCGGACCGTCTTCCACGAGCAGCTCGAGGAGATCCGCGCCAAGGGCTCCCTCCTGTGGCCGCCCAACGCGGTGAGGGTGTTTGCCGCCTGGTTGGGGTACCTGCGCGTCGAGGTCAAGCTCGAGGCGTTTGAGCTGTGGCTCGGCGTGAAGCGGGTGCTTGGGCTGAGGGGCGCGCGAGTTGGCGCCACGAGTCCGCTGCAACAATGAATACGAATGGCATAGAGTGATAGAATGTACATACGCGGGACATGACATAAAAAGGTTAGATAGACTAGAGTCCATATAGTAGGCTGATGCCGCAACACGGGGACGTGTACCATAGTGGACTGATACCCTACACCGAGATGCTCCGCCGCTGCTATGCTGCGCTTTGCTCTATCGCCCTGGATTGGGCAAGCCAGCCCATGCATACTGACGGTAAATATGGCACCGCGGACATACTACGGTACCCGGTAGGGTTGGGGGTGATAAGTTCAAGTTGAAAAAGCTCAAATATGCATCTTCGTCTTCCGCTGAATTTACATGAAGACGCATAGTATGGTCCGGACCTCGGCGACCACTAAACCACACCCGTGCCATGGATTGAGATCCTCTGCTATGAGAAGGCACAGGAATGCAGAACCGCGGATCCAAAAAGAATTATCAGGCGAACCAAAAAATATGTCATTTGGCAAGACGATGGCCTGCAAAAATCATCTAGCCAAATTGTGAAAAGGGCAAAAAAATGGTGGTTTCGCCCGGGCTCGAACCGGGGACCTTCTCGGTGTTAGCGAGAAATCATGACCAACTAGACCACGAAACCAACTCAGGGGGTCTGATTGTTGAAGAGTGGTGCCTAAATTTGGCTTATGATCCGAGGGACCCAGTCGCGTATCGTGTGGATCTTGGCCTGGCTGGTAATCCCGACCTTCTCATGGTTTGTGCGTGATGATTTGGACGGCTAGGTAGATAAAATTAGGTGCTTGAAGCTTCAGGAAACTCTGCACTTTGAATTATACATTTTACTGTCGTGCATGCTTTGGAGGCATCAGAGCCGAGTATGTGGTGTTATTGATTCGGAGCGCATGTCGGTTCCTCCAGTGGGGGTCCACGGTAACTAACTTAGTACCTCAGGTACTTTACGCGCCGCCCCAAAGCCGCCGCGACACCAACTCTGCAACTGAACGGCAGGCCCTCGGACTCGGTAAGGAGCCAACCTATTTCCTGAACAGGGCGCAGTCGTCCCGTCATGCCACATAGGACCGTTGCCCGTGAACGGTCCGGCGCCCCACCTGGCGCACCTGTTCAGACCGACGCGGGCACCTGTTCACGCAGCCCTTGGGGCGCGTCCCTCGCCGTGCCATCTCGACCCTGCACCCTCACTCTCTCATCCCCCAACCACCACAACCAGACCAACTTTTGACGAATTTACGCGTCTGAAGCACGACTTTCTCATCCCCTCTCACGCGTGAGACCTTTGGTATTTCATTTCGACAGCATGTTGGGGTCCCTTTCTAACTTGATATCAGGACTTTGGCGCGTCTGCTTGCCCTGCGTGTTGTGTTATAGCACCATCGCCAAGTTTGCAACACGCCCCCGGATCAGTCCGACGTGTGTTTCGTGTATCAAAACACTTGGGATCCAAGCTTGACGCTGCAAGTTGTCATCATTCCGTGCTTGCTGCAGATTAGGCCTTGCCGAAATCCCAGTCAGGGACCGCGTTGAGGAACACCAGCGTCAGCATCTATCTCACCACTCCTGCACTGTGGTGACCAACTTTTGGCATCTCATGGCAGGAGAACAGTGCGCGCAGATGGCATCGGAAGCCATGGAGGCGCGTCTGCGCGGCGGCGCCGAGTCCTACGCCGCCAAAGACTACACTGAAGCACTCAAGCAGTTCACCCGAGTATGCGCGCCCGTGATCCTCACAGCTGAACCCATGTTGACGTGTTACCCTTCAGGCCATGATTCTCTGCCCTTGCACTCATGGCGTCAAGCGACCCAGATGTATTTGCAAGGACTTCGAGGCCGTCGCGGCAAAGAACGGCTCTATCCTCCGAGAGGCCCTGTATCGCTGTGCCTGTGATGTGGGAAAGGCGTTCAAGAAATGCAGAAACCCTCTCCATATCAAAGCTCTCGACTACCGCGCCGGGACTTTCGAGGCCCTCAAGGCGCTGGACCGGGCCAGGAAGGACGCGGAATGGATACTGGAGCTTGCCCCTCGGTTGCCCGACGTACTTACCCTCATGGGCCCCCTTCTGTTGACACTCACTGACCTGTGCCGTCAGGGCTACCTCCGACTGGGTAAAATTGCCCGCCTTCAGAAGAAGTCAGACTTTGCTAGGAAGATCTACGCAAGTGGCATCGAGGCCAGCGATCGTGAGGCGCCTGGCGCCGTCAAGAAGCTACAAGTAAGCAGCCGTGACAAGCGGTCGCGCAAGCACCAAAACTAAACATCGTGTTAGCAACTTCGTGACGCACTGAAGCCACTAGAGGCACGACTTAACAAGCGTGACCCCCTGTGGCTTCCCCTAGAGATGGCCGTCATGGTCTTCGCCAACCTCAGCGTGCCTCAACTGACGTCGGTGCTCACCCCCACCCCATCCATCCTATATGCCCGCTAACGGTTGCACACAGTAAATGCCTGCAAGTGTCCAAATCTTGGAATCAAACCCTGCAAGGCGTATACTTCAAGAACCTTTGGAGCAGTGTCATCTTTCCACGGAGCAACTCCCGCCCGCCTGCCAACTGGGCGCTGCACAAGATCGTCGCGAGGACCCACGGCAGCATCCGCGAGATTGAAGTCGTCGACACGCTCTGGTTCCAGCTTACGCCGCAGAAGCTGGACACCTTGCTGCGCAACGCGACTTCGAACCTGGAGCGCCTCGTCGTGGGCCCGCTGCTCAACTATGACTACTCGTCCGTGGGCTCGCACCGGTTCAAAAAGCTGCGGCATCTCGCCGCCGTGACTGACAACACAGATGGTCGGCCCCGCCACGGCATGGCCCCGAACGTAGGTGTTCTCCCTACTGGGCTCATCACGGGGATCGCGCAGACATTGGTGCACCTCCACCTGCTCGGTATTCCACAGGACTGGCACAACCTGAAGATGCCCATGTTTCCAAAACTAAAGTATCTACGCCTGGAGCACAAGGAGAAGCTCGCCCAGAACGCGTTCCCAATCGTGAGTCATTATGTGAGATAGACGCTGCCCAAGGACGGCATTCTAACGTTGCGCAGTTCGACATTGCCCTCATGACCCCGCATATGGAGCAGCTGTCATTGAAGGGCATTCACTTGACCATCGGCCACTTTTGGCAGATGGAGCCGGCTTGGGAACAGCTCTGGAACAAGCTCAAAGTGTTTGTGTTTGCCTTCCCCCTGGCGGGTCGGCCGTGGCAGCCTCAGGAGACCACCGCGGCCCTGAGCATGATGATGTCCGTCAACCACGGCACCACGTTCGAGCACTTTGACCACGACATCGCATTCACCGAAGGAGACCCGTGGTCTCCCGCGAAAGTCATCACCACTACGTACGACTGGAGCAACTATACTAATGGTAACATCATCTCTCTCCCCGTCGTGGGACATGCCAAGTTCCCCAAGATGCGCGAGTTTCGCGTCCAGTCGCTCGCCCACATCCCGGACAAGCTCGAGGCGGCCCTGCAGGACGCCATGGCCAACAGGCACCTGCACACCTTGGACATTGTCTTCGACCTCGAGGACATGAACTCCGCGACGGGCACAGAGCACGTCGAGCACCTCAAAAAGTACAACTGGCTGCGCGGGCTCGACTCCATCCACACGCTGGGCGTGTTCGGGTTCCGCTTCAAGCAGTACCCGCGCAAGGACGAGGACCTGCCCCTGCCGGGCTTCCTCGCGACGTTCCCCAACCTCGAGACGCTGAGTCTCGGCTCCGAGTCGTACGACGACGCAGAATTCTGCTTCGTCGTCGAGGCCATCATGAAGGTGACGCACCTCAAGACGATTTACCAGCAGAACGTTGGCGGCGCGGCCTGGGACAGGCTCGTCAAGATTGGGAAGCAGTACGGCGTGCAGATTATTCCTGGTCCGCGGCCCAAGGAGTGGCCCGTGAAGCTGGACGAAGACGATGAAGACGACGAGGAGTAAAGTTGCGAGTCTTTCTTCTTTTTGGCATCGCGATGAATGGCGGTGCCGCATGGCAGAGGTTGCGACCGGTATGGCATGCAGCGAATAATGATGCTGGATGAACGACGTTGCGACTGGCACGGCATTACGACGAACCATGATGCAGGCTGAATGAGTTTGCGACTGGATCGGCATCACAACAAACGGTGATGCTGCATGATTGAGGTTGCGACTGGATCGGCGTCACAACAAACGATGATGCTGAATGATTGAGGTTACGACTGGTATTGGCATTGCGATGGACGAGATTTGAGCGGATGGAGATACCCAGGGCGCGGATTTGGGCAAAGGCGCCAATTTGCTTTCGGTTTGGCATCAACACGCCTGTCACGGCGTGTTCTACGGCGAAGTGTGGACTGTTTAGAACAATGGTATAATTGATGTGTATCTGTGTGAGGCTTATTGATGTGCGTGTGTGATTCTGGCGATTTGCGACGTCCAGAAGCGCAGGGACGAGGTTTGTCATGATTGAGGTTATGATGTGCGTAGTGTGTGAGATGTGATTCCAGATCAAGCCCGCCCAACTTTGAACGACAACACCTGAGAAGATGGTCAGCATTAATTCGCCAATGGCATCCGTGCGGGACGGCCTGCAACTCACGTCGTTCTTCCCCACCGCGACAACGTCGTCCTCGGCCACTCTCAGGTTGCCCGCGCCCTCGACGAACGCGATGGGCGCGTCGCCCATGACCTTCTTGGCCACGTCGCCGACCGTCGACCCCTTCTTCACCAGCACGCAGTCCCGAAAGACAAACTTGGACTCGCTGGCTCCGGAGCTAAACGTCGTCGTGTTCCTGACGGGGAAGACGGGCACCAGGCCGAGCAGGTTGGCCGCCCGTGAGAGGACCTGGACGACGCCCGTGGAACCGAACCGGTACAGGACCATGTCCTTGAGGTTCTCTATCCGGTTGCGGTTCTTCTCGTCCAGCTCCTTGAGCCCGCCGCCCGCGGGGTCGCCCTGCTCCACCAGGTCCTCCCGCGTGTCGACGAACTCGCTGCCCTCGACGTACTTGATGTACCCCTGCTTGGCCATCTTGCGCAGGAAGATCTCGGAGATGGCGGAGCAGAGCACGATGGTGTTGGGGTCCTGCATCTTGGCAATCTTGGAGATGTTCTTGTCGGCGTCCGGGTGGTCGATCTTGTTGAGGGCGATGACGGTGGGGAACTTTTCGTCGACGAAGCTGTTGACGACGTGCTCGACCGTCGCGTCGGACCAGTCCTCGAGGGGCTCCTTGACGCCGGAGCGGTCGAGCGTGCGGTTGATGACGGTCAGCGTGGCGCCGTAGCCCGAGAACTGGCCCTGCAGCGTCTCCACGGCCGACGCCTTGACGGCCATGTGCCTGCGCCGGACGGACCCCCACCGCTGCATCAGGTTGCCGAGGATCCAGGCCACGACCTCGCTCCGCAGCCAGGCGATGTCGACCGAGGGGTCGTAGCCGCGCGTCTCCTTGCCCTCGGCGTCGACGGTGCCCGAGGCGTCAACCACATGGATCAGGGCGTCGGCGTGCCGCAGGTCGTCGAGGAACTTGTTGCCCAGGCCGCGGCCCTGGTGCGCGCCGGGGACCAGCCCCGCGACGTCGAGCAGCTCGATGGGCACCGAGCGCCGCCCGTCGACGCACGCGCCGTAGTTGGGCTTGCACCGCTCCGACACCTTGTACCGCGCGCACGCGCAGTCGATCTGGAGGTAGCCTATCGCCCGCTGCGGGTCGATGGTTGTGAACCTACCGGCCGTGGCCGCGTCAGTCTCTTCGTCTCGACGATGGCGTCGTTGTCTGCGCCGGAGGTAATGACGGGGTGGGTGGGCTGCGACAGCACATACGGAAAGTTGCCTGCGCCGGGGGAAGAAAGGACAGACGATGTTAGCCGCTTGTCACTGAGGAGGGGGACGTTCTAGACGGCCGCTTTCGAATGGCGCAGCAGAGGGGACCGACCGACTTTGGAGGAAGCGTCGGTCAGGCTGTTGAGCATGGTGCTCTTCCCGGCCGACGGCTTCCCCACGAGCCCGATGAGCGGATCTCGAGGCATGGCGGGGAGGGGCCGGGCGCGCCCAGGCGGTCAGGCGCGGAACGGAGGGCGAGTTCAGATAGGACAGGCGAAAGGGTATCAAGGTTCGCGGGGATCGGTCATCTGAACGTTGGCATCGACTCGACTCGGGCGGCGGACGGAGGGGGTCGTAGATAAGGTATCGCGGGATGGCGTCGCATGTCGTCGCAAAATTTCCAGCACCAACGCACGCACGGCGAGGCGAAAGCGGACAAGGCTGCGGTGAGGGGCAGCATGGAGCCTCAAACTGCCCCGCCGTCAATCAATTAGGCGATGGCTGCCCGCGCTGGAAGCCGCTGCAAGCACTCTACCCGGCCGCTAAATTGTGGATGACGGGGAGTGGGCGCCCGACGACGGTGGGGCGCTACAGGGGACCCCGCTACAGCGGCACGGAAGCTCGACCGCCAGATCGTCCATCCGCAACCCTTGCCGTCCGGATCTGTCCGCCGAGACGCGTCGGATCTGGCTCCGTGTCCCCTTCAACGCCCCCGGCTTGCATCTCGACAGGCCGCCAACCTCCGCCATTACCGGGAACCAAGTCGCCGAACAGTCACCGGCCAGTGACGCCAGTCCAACTCATCTCCTGCGGCATCAATGGTCAGCGCGGGATGACGTCTCCGTCCCAATTGTCCCCCGACGCCTTCCCGGCCTGGGCGCTCCTCAACGATGTGGTCTTTTCAGGTGTCAAGCTGCAGCAAACCGAGGACAGGGGCTTTGGCCTCGTGGCAGACGGTGACCTCGGAGCTTCTGAGAGCAATGCGTCGCCTCTGATGAGAATACCCCAGGACCTCGTCCTCTCCGCCGACGCTGTCGACGAGTATTCCAAAGTGGATCAGAACTTCAAGCAGCTCTTGGAGGCGGCTGGACGTGAGGTGCGAACCGGATATGCCACGCCATATGAGAGCAGCACCCCATCTGACCATATCCTAGTCTACACGCAAAGACATCATGCTGTACCTGCTCTGCCACCTGGTCCACTCCAGGCGAGGTCCCTCGGCATCCAGGGGCGTCCCCTCCACACCCTGGACCGAGTACGTTCGATTCTTACCTCGCCCTGTCCCAGTCCCCTCCATGTGGTCTGAGCCGGAACGCACGCTGTTGAACGGCACGTCATTGGAGGTGAGTGCCTCACCTATCAAGACAGGCAACCAGGGGCCACGGACGATGCATGCAACCTTATTACGGGCACTGACAGCCATAGACGGCCCTGCGAGCCAAGTTTGCGGCCTTGACGCACGAGTTTGATGAGCTGCGCGACAAGACCGAGACCATGCCGTTTTGGAACTCCTTTCTGTGGGAAACAGGCATGACGTCTCTGGATGACTGGGTGTTGGCAGATGCATGGTATCGCTCGCGGTGCCTGGAGCTGCCACAGATCGGAGATGCCATGGTACCTGGCCTCGACATGGTGAACCACTCGGCCAGCCCGACTGCATACTACGAGGTGGACGGAACCAACGGCGTGGCACTGTTGATGCGTCCGGGTTGCACCGCGTCGTCAGGGCAGGAGGTGACAATATCGTACGGTGACGCCAAACCCGCCGCCGAGATGCTCTTCAGCTACGGCTTCATCGACAAGGACAGCACGGCACGAGAGTTGGCGTTGCATCTCGAGCCTTTCCCGGACGACCCGCTGGCCAAGGCAAAGCTACACGTCTTCAAGGGTCCACCAATCGTGAAGCTGTCACTGTCATCTGACGGCCAGACCTTGACCTGGGACAGCCAGTTTGTATACCTCATGTGTCTCAATGAGGAGGATGGCCTCGGCTTCCGCGTCCTGCAGGACACGGCGGGAGGCCGACAGCTGCGGATGTTGTGGCACGAGGACGACGTGACAGAACAAGCCGGTGACTTTGAGGCACTGATACAAGGGCATGACCTTTGTGAGGTGTTCAAGCTCCGCGCGGTAGCCGTGCTGTCCGAGAAGATCGAGGCACAGCTTGCCAGCATCAAAGCGGGGCCCCCGGATGACCAGCTCCAACCGCTGGTCGCGGCCGGCCTGCTGAGGGAGGAGTGCATTGAAGCCGCCAGGGCGCTGAAGAAGCTGGAGACGGAGCTGCTCGAGGCAGCAGCGGCCGCGCTCGAACAACAGGTGCGTACAAGACGCGCCAGCATCCTTGCAAAGCGTGTGCTCCATGCGCGAGGCATGGCCCGGGCTCTCCCACATCCCACCGCTTCCCGCACCATGACCGCACTGCACCGCAATCCGTACATGACGTGAACTAACGGGGGCCCGGCAGAAATCGAGTCTCCTCGCACACGACCACGTGGTGGCATATCTCGGATCGATGGAAGATGCCCAAAACGAGCAAGGGCCGAGGTTATCCTCGTCCAATGAGGACGACGACTTCAGCTGAGATGGGGGGTTCCCGCCCAGGGCGTTGCATCTCATCGCCAATTCGCCCGCGCCAACAACTGCCGCCATGGTCCATGGTCGGTGGCGCGCGATCGGCGGGCCTGCCTGCGTGGTGCAAGGCAAGGTTGGGATGCGATGCTGCGACTTGCTCTGCATTGGCGAGGCGCACAAGGGGGTGGTGCCTTGGGTGCGAGCTTGGGGAGCTTGTGCTGCGTGAACGGCGCCCTGGTGGCGGCGGCGGCAGCAGCGTTGGAAGGATGCATGGGCGAGCCGCTTCCGGGTTGGGACCCGGCGCGCAGTGGCTTGGATTTCGTGGTCGGCAGCTCGAACGATGGGCGCTTCTCGAAGGGAAGTGGTATGACTTTGCGGCGCTCGTCGACCAACGACGCTGCCGCAGCTCAGCGACTAGTCGCAGCCTGGATGCCCCTTCGGCCGGACGGGCGGAAGCCGTGCCAGCAGCGACGCTAATTCGCCAACAGCCTCGGGCCCGCTCGGGAATAAACGAACGAGCCTCTGACCAAAAAGGCACAAGTGTCTCGCCTTTCCTCCTCCACTGCTGCGCGTCTGCTTTCTTCAACGAGCATTGTGTTGTGTGTGCCAGCCGTGAGGCTGAACTAGGGGACGCCCTCGATGGCGTTTACCACAGTTCGCTTCGAGAACACTGCCCGGCAGCTTCTGGATGGAAGCCACCAACTCTCCTGCTCCAGGCAGGAATATGCTTGAGCTCTGCGTCTTTCTTGCTCTCACAATCGGATCGCATCTGTCGAACTGGGCTTCCGCCGAGCAGGCCCAGACTGTGGTGCGCCGCGCTACCATACGGTCGGACGGAGGCTGGCTGGCAGCAAGATCTTCCGACTTGATCTCTGTGCAGGAGCTCCGAAGCAAAATTAGCAGCCCTTAGCTAGTGTGGGATCTGCTGCGACCGTGGCAATAGTCTATCGCCGACGTGGCATCCCTTTTGCATGAATAGTGCCCTGACCGAGCGCACTCGTAACAAACTCTGTAGCCCTGGCTTTGTCCGTTATCGTCGCACTGAACGGGACAAGCCGATCAGCCAAACGCCTCGCACCCAAATCCCGGGTTCACGATTTGAGTTGCCATCCATCCGGCTCGCGAGATCGTTTCAGTGTCGCTCCGATGCGAACGATATATCGAATGTGACCCCACGGTAACGAGACCGAGCGTCGAATCGATGCACGGGACGAGACCGTCGACCCCTTTGAAAATCCGGGGTACCTAGCCGGGATCTGACCGAGGGGACCCAGGGCAACGGGCAAGATCGCGGGGGAGGTTCCATCGACGCAGGCGAGTTCCCTAACGGTGGGCGTCGGGTTCAGCATCGCAGCCTCATGCTCTGAACGCCATCTTGAGGCGCAACCAAGCAAGGCCAAGCCAGCCACGAGGCTGCAGATCGCCGGGACGACCGGGAAACCAAGGTGAACGGACTGCCGGAAAGGGGCTTCGCAATATGGTGTGAATACCAAGGTGGGTAGCGGTAGTAAGTGTGTCGGGCTTGAGAGGCTGTCCCCGATGGGCCCCGCAGGTTGGCGCCGGTGACAGAAATCCGGGGTAAACTTATCAGCGGCGAGTGGGCTTGGCGGTTTGACACTGTGCGACCAAGACGCGACTAGGGCCTTGGAAGCCCAGGAAGCTTGCGATTTCACCCGGGCACGATATCTCGGTGAGATGTTTGCGCCGATGAGCGGCGGTTGGACTTGCTGACTGTGTCTGGCTCGTGGAGTCGTGGATGCCGATTCGCACCTCGTCGAGGTCAGCATGCGCCACCCACGATGCACCCTCACAAGGTGTGAGCAGGTCCCCACTGATCGAACGACGCAGGGCTCATTCCACCAATGCTGCAAGCGACAACGTGCTCGTCTCCGAGGCCGCATCGATGATGTTCAGACCGCATCCGCGATGCCGTTTCCCCGTGGCCCGGCCGGCACCCTACCTCTGCGCGCACGGCTGCGATGGTCCAAGGTCCGACATCAGCCGATTTCCCTTTTCGAGCACCCCTAGAGCAGTCATCCTGGCAGGTGTCTCGCAAGGCCTCGGGGATAGAGTTTGTCTGTGCAGAGCGCAACAGGGGTCGAGACGGCGGAGCACCGTTGCCTGGCCCATGCAGGGCCAGCTATGCACATGCGCGCGCCGACCGAGCAGACAGCTGGCCCATCGCCGGGGCCTTGTGTGATGTCAATCGTCGTCAGGGCTCGAGTCTGAGATGCTCGGCAGACGAGTGGTGCTTGACTCGTGCTAGCTGTGCGATTCCGCCCGGAATCTGCGTGGCGTGCTGTGGCGGGCTTGGGAGGAGCACGGATGGGTGGTGGGAAACAGGTCGTCAGCGAGCAGGCTGGGTGGCGGCCAGGTACACTTATTACCTGAACTTTAGGGGGGCACGGGCTTGAAGAAATATCGCGGCACAGCAGGGCGCTCCGTACAGGACGGCACCTTGAGGTGCAGCACCCGTCGGTACCGCTGAGAGCGAGCCCGACAGGTTGATGAGCATCATGCGCCACCACCACCACCATCATCATCATCATTCACCTGTGCACCACCACCACCACCACCGGCCAAGCCAGCATCAGCATCCATCCTCAGGTCAGTCCGACGTCGCAGCCAACAAAGTGCCCTGAACCCAACCTTGCCGACGGGCAGCCCCATGGGGCCGTGCCCCCGTTTGATGCGTGCCATTTGATGCGTCGCCCGCAAAGGGAAGACTCTGCAGCGAGCGAAGAGCCCTGAACCATGCCCACAGGCGCTCTGCACGCCCCTTTTTGCCTTGCACAACGCCCTGCCCCATGCCCTGTAACGGGCAACCCTCCGCTACCCACGCCCCTTCCAGGTAGGTTCCCTGGGTTCCCACCTCCCCACGGCGTCTGCAGCGCCAGGCGTCCAATTCTTCAACTCGTCTCGCCCCCCCTCCCCACCACCTCTCTGGCCCAACCAAACCAACCACAGGCGTCCCCGGGTTTGCGCCTCCCCCGGGATTCTCCATTCCCTCACATTTCCCTCGCCCGCCGACTCCACAAAAGTCTCGCACCCCGTTCTGCGATCCAACGCTTTAGCTTTGTCCCTCCTCTCCTTGTCCTACCGTCCTCCATCTGCATTTATCCCACCTCGCCGTCGTCTCGCGTAATCACCTCGACCTGGCTTCCTCTTCATCCGGGCCCCCCTCCGCCTCCGTCCTGTCCTCGCTCGCCTTGCCTGCCGACGACCACAGGAAACAAGACGAAAACCCAGAGGAGAGAGACGCTCACTGCTGCCGCCGCCACCGTTTCCCGCTGGCTGACCTGAGGTGCCGGACCCGGCGCCCACTTTGCGCGCTTGCGTGATCCCGCCAGTGCCGCCTCAACCACCGATCGCGGCGCCCCGGAGGGCACGGCACTCAACCGCGTCGCGTAAAGCCTCTCCTCCACGCCCTCTGCCTCTACTCTCAGATCGCAGCCGTCGCTGAACCCGCGACGACCAACCCGCCAGGATGCCGGGCATCCTCCCCATGAAGGTCATCAAGGTGGGCACCAGCGCCCAGAGCCGCATCGCCCAGGCCTGCGATCGGTGCCGCAGCAAGAAGATTCGCTGCGATGGCGTGCGCCCAACCTGCTCGCAGTGCGCCAACGTCGGCTTCGAGTGCCGCACGAGCGACAAGCTGAGCAGGAGAGCGTTCCCACGTGGCTACACCGAGTCTCTCGAGGAGCGCGTGCGCCAGCTAGAGTGCGAGGTCCGCGAGCTCAAGGACCTACTCGACGAAAAGGACGAGAAGATCGATATGCTCTCCGCCATGCACGGCAGCCACCACCGCCGCCCATCCATCACCTCCGCCTCCAACTCTGTCTCATCACCAGAGTCGTCCAAAGAGTCACATCCCGCCAAGGAGGACACATTTCGCGTGCACGAGACTCCTCTCCTCTTGGGAGTCGAGAACTCCGACTCTTACTTTATGGGCGCGTCGAGTGGCCGGGCCCTCATCAGTACGTACTCCCGCACAGACGGTTATTCCACGTGCAGACGGCTGACTGGTTTGCAGCATCCTTCAAGCGAAAGCTTCAGGAGACGGGCAGGCCATGCAACGACTTTAACCCAGAGGCATTCCTGCATGTCCAGGGATGCCCGCCATTGACCACAGAGGAAGTAGACCAAGCGGCCAAGGTGCCGCCCCGCCTCTTCTCTGACCGTTGTGTCAACGTCTTCTTCCAAGAGTGGGCGCCACTCTTCCCAGTCCTCCATAAGCCGACTTTCCTTCGCATTTACGAAGAGTTCGTGGCGGATCCCGAAAAGGTCAGGTGTAACAACAAGGTAGCGCAGCTCTATCTCGTCTTCAGCATCGCCGGCCTCTCGTCCGAATCTCCAGACTACCAGCAGCTTGCTGCCTGTGAGAAGCAATGGACAAAGGCTCTCGATTCGTTGCAGTACGAGAGCACCATGAGCACGTTGCAGTGCTTCATCCTGGCCCTGCTGTACTGCACCATGAGAGCGGACAACAAGCGACTGCAGCATTACAAGTCTGTTGCCGTCGGTCTGTCTCACCGTCTTGGGTTACACCAGAGCCAGAAGCGCTTCTCCTTTGGAGCACTCACTCTGGAGACCAGGAAGAAGGTGTTTTGGACACTGTACACGCTTGACTGGTAAGTTGACATGTAATTGTTCATTTCTAGCGCCGTCTGACAGCCTCAGTTTTACTTCTGCCACCTTGGGACTGCCCAAGCTCTTCAAGGAGGACGACATTCAAGTCGAGTATCCGTCAGACACAGATGACGAGTACATCACTGAAAAGGGGTTTCAGCCCACACTTCCCGGAGAATACACTCGTCTTTCCAGTGCTCTCGCTCTGTTCCGCGCTGCACGCATCTTGTCGCGCGTTTTGGAGAAGGTCTACCCCGCCACGACCAACCACGAGCTCTCTTTGCAGCAGCTGGGTGTCTTCGAGGCGGAGCTCGATGCGTGGCACGCCGACCTGCCGACGCATCTGCGACTCAATTTCGTGCAGGACAAGCCCTCCACTGACGTAACCGGAAGCCGTTCGCCGCTGCTTGTGAGTCGCGCTGGACATTGGGGCTGGCGATAAGTAACTGACAAGGCATAGGCTCTTTCTTACTACTTTATTCGCACGCTCATATACCGCCCGGCTGTCGGTTCCAATCTCGGACCCAAGGCTGCGCCAGCCCTGCTTTCAATTGCCGATTCCAGCAAGCACATTGTCCAAATCGTTCAACTCCTGGAGGAGAGGAGCATGAGCTTCTCGTTTTGCTTGAACAAGTTTGATCTCCTGGCGGTTTGCGGGACAACGCTGCTGTATCAGGTAGCGGATCTCAAGCCCGACAGCAAGATGATGCGCGATTCCGAGCGCTTGGTCAACGCCGTCATCAGCATCTTGACCAAGGCCAAGGCGCCGGGAGCCACGGACTTGGCACGGGTTGCACGGTCACTTATCTCGGTGGATGGTAAGGAGAGCGCGTCGCCCGCCGTTTCATCCCGCAAAGGGTCCATGCCTGCGCCTTCACAACGGCCGTCGCCGCTCACAAGAGCTCCGAGCAAAAAGTCGGGCTATGCAATTGGCCAGCTATATCATAGCGCCGCCAGCGAAGACGACTTGATACGGCAGCAAGAAAAGATGCGGCGGATGACGATGGCGCATGTTCCGACCCCGGATTCGGATCTGTATCGCTCCCGGTCTCGTCAGTCTTTCGACAGTCTCTCGCCAGAGAGCGCAACGATGAGCCACAATGACTATGGTATGCCCATGGCGCAGTCGTCCATGAGCGGTCGCAGGGCAACCATGTCAAGGCCCATTCCGAATTTGGACTATCTGTCACTGAACAATACTCCATCCGGAACAGGACCGTCCTCTCCGGGAGGTGGCCTGGTGCGAATGCAGACGCCCGCGTCTGTCTCAGCGGAGCATCTGCTGCTCGGTGGCGACGCTACAGGAAAGGCGTCGGGAGTATCAAACTCGGAATGGGAGGCGCTCCTGGGCTCGATGGATGGCGGACTGAACAACGTCTACGACGCTATCTACGGTGGCTCTAGCCTCATCAACGAGGCGTCGCTTCCTCCGAACATGGGAAACCAGGACTGGTCACCAGATACGTGGGACCTGAGCAGTTTCAACATTGGCGATTTCGGAGGAGCCAACCAGGGGGCGCCGCAGAGCGTACCGAGCATCAGCGACGAGAGCCTCAGTTCTGGAGAGGAAGTGGCGCCGTCCGAGCTCGGTCTGAGTGTAGGGGCGTGGAGTATCACGAGCGCCTGAGCAACCTAGGTGCTGCGTATGAGGACCATGTTTTGTAGCGTTTGAGTTTTTTGTATCGCCTATGAGGTACCTTGGCTGCGTACTGGAACTGTACGTCATGACAATTGGATATTACGAGTTTTATATGCACGTCCTTTAAGATGGCCCCCGTTGCGATGTCTTCATGTGCAGCCGTGCGTGGGCAGAGAAGAAGGCCAGGCTACGATCCTTGCGTTCTGCGCGTGCGTAGTCGCCCAGCGCTGCAGAAGAATTACAATGGCTGCTTTGCCTTACCTAGGAGATGCGCTCGCGACAGGAGATCCACCGATTTGATACCAGCCGTCGATGGGAATTGTCCATGCTTCCACGCCAGACCCCATTATCACGATGGCTGACCTGACGAGGACTTTTGTAGAACGGACTTCGTGTCCACCGCGAATACATCCCGTCGTACTTGCATTTTGTTATAGAATCCACCGCATGTTTGACCCATCTCACGCACGCACGCACGCCTCTGGCTATAGATGTTTGGGGGCCATGTCGGCGAGACCACCGGCTACATAACGCGGGGAGAGACCTCCAACTTGAGCGCGCCGAATCAGGGGCATCGTCATTACTCGCATCTTTGTCGTTGTTGCGTTCTTTCCATGTCACGCTTTATAGCATTGCATACGCAACGGCTATGGCGGCGGGCGCAAGCACTGACCATGCCCACGCCAACGCGGTGGCAAGCGAGAAGGCGGCTATGGAAGAAATAATCGGAGTGAGTGAACCAGCAACACGGTGGAAGTTGACATGTCATTGGCTTTTGTCTTTGTTTTGGAACGCTCGAAGAGGCTTCCTGATGGCTAAGAGCTGAATCATTTCTAGACGTGCAGAAGGACCAATAACAAGTGCAAGTGGGAGCGGGAAACGCGCCCCAACGTCTGGGAGGTGGGCTTTGCAACGTGTCCAGCCCACGAGCCGGTGAGTAGTGTGGTGGCCCTGTCCCCATTCTGAGTTCCGTGATCTTCGTTCTCTCTGCGTGTGGGAAGACTGCGGCAGCGTTGTCTTGTTGTCCCGCGCTGGGCTGCGGAGAGGCGGGCAGACACGTGGATGGGGAGGAGGGGGAGGGGGAGGCAGACAGCTAACAGGCGTGCGTACAGTGCCGGACGGGTACCTGCTGGGATAGCCCTCTGACTGAGGCGGTGCGGTGCGGCTAGTGACGATGTTGGAGGGCATGAGGGAGGTGGTCCGGGGCTGCGACGCGAGCGTCGGAAAGCGCAGATTCGACGAGATAAAGTCATTGGGGATGATGAGGACTACGACGGCGATGAGGACGACGAGGCATACACTATACCTGGCGTAAATACAGGTCCTGTTGCTCGAGGCAAGATGTGGTTTACAGAGTACATAATACATATTGCTCCAATCGATACGAGTTAGTGCCCTCTTCTGTGATGGTCAGTCTGATGGCCCAAGACTTGATCAGGGTTTGACCTGGGCGGCCGTGCTACCTGTGCGACACGACACAAGGAACCATTCAATGGCATCCCAACATGTCGTGGCAGGTATACGGAGCGCGCAGGCCCTTCCTGGCCTGCCCTGCGGCTGGGTCGTGGGGGAACGTGGCTTACACGACATGACGTCGGGCGATACCATGTTCCTGGTCTACCGGCCCGGTTACGAGAAAGACATGGCCCCTTTGCCAGCCCTTCCAAAGCCACTATTGACTAGAAAGTACGAACCAGAAGTTGCGTGAATATCGTCAGACTGCCTGCAGGGAGTCGCTGCGTCGGCTTGGGGGAGGGAGGGGGGAGCCGAGTCCGGCACGGGATGCGCGAGGTACAGCACAGTAGGTCCGTTTTGACTCTGAGTGTCGTATCTCCCTCGACAGCAGCTATTTGGACACCAGACCTGGTGTAAAGCCCGCCGAAACAGGCGAATGCGGGCATGCCGCGATAAGGCTCGAACTGGCCTGTCGCGACAGCTTCAAATGCTGCTGCAGCCGGCAGGTCGCGACGCCTTCAGTTGCGCGATGCATTCAATTGCTGCAGCAGCCTGCGGGCCGCGGTGCCTTGGATTGCCCGTATAGCAGCCCAGCAACCTAGCAGCTTAGCAGCCCGCGATGGCTTCAACTGCTGGAGTAGCCGCGTCGCCAGCGGTAGCCTGATTGCCCACCCGCTACAGACTGGGAGCCGCGATGCCTTAAGTTGCGCGATGCCTTCAACAGTGCAGCCGCGCGGCCGGCTTTGGTTGCTACTACAGCTCGGCGCCGCCGCCGCCGCCACCGCTTCAGGGAATCTTGACTCGAGGTGTCTAAATAGAAAACAGGTGATGTCCAAATAGCACGTCTCTTGAATTTGATTCGCTAGCCACCGAGTCCCTGGTGCGGCTCTCTTTGGACGGCCCCAGCGGATCGGGCAGGGGTGGGTTGCCAAGCTGGGGCGACGCTGCATGGACTGTCCCAGGATCCCTCCCAGCACGACTCGTGGCTACGAGCTCTGACCGGTAGCTACAAGTCAGCAGCTTCTTAGCCACCCACATGGGCCCAGCAGATCGAGAAGGGGCGGGCCGTCATGCTGGGCGGCGCTGCATGGACTGTCCCAGGAACCTCCCAGCACGACTCGTAACTACCAGCTCTAACAGGTAGTTGGACATCAGCAGCTTCTTAACCACCCACATTGGCGCCGGTCCCTGGTACAAGGACAGCTCGGCTGCCTCGTAGACGCCATCTGGTGGCTTTCTGTGGGACTACACATCTCGGTCGCTTATTGCTCGCCGTCCACGACGGTATCATAACCGTGCAAACATGGCCGCGGAATGGAGGGTGATCTGTTTTGATTCGTAGTAGACGTGTGCTGAAGCAATATAAGAACGACATGATTCCCGGAATTCATCGCTGCTTGTTTTCTCAAAGAATTCGCTTACTCTATTACTGCTTGTATTAGCTTTGCCGTCTGCATCTGCACCGTCACAGTGAATAACCCTCCCCCCCTGCCCATTTCGCTCTAAAGCTGTCATTATGTCCTCTACCAAGGCCACCTGCGGCCCTGACACCAGAAGGTCTGCATTGTGCTTGGACTGTCATGTAGCTTCATGCTATGTCCTGGTGGCTGACTTGGCTGTTCAGTAGTGACGCTGCTTCTCATACCCATGATCGCATTCCCGCTACCCCAGACCGCCATGCACCGCAGAGCGTCATGATGGCTCGGTACCTCGCCAACGACCACAATGATCCCATCAATGCAAGAATGCTGCGCGCCTGCCAGGCCACGGTACCGGGCCCTGCAGCCGTTAGCCTTGGCCGTACCCCAGCGACGACCCAGCGTGATGGCACTGTTGTACGAAACGATGCTGGCGTTTGAAGAACACGCGGATAGAATGCCTCGGTGATCTGAAAAGGTACTGCATGGACGGTATGGTGGACAGCAATACGTGGACGAGCGTCTCGAGATATTGGTACAGCAAGGCGTTGGATAAATCGCCAACGTTTGGGCATCTACTCACCACCTGGCAATTCTATGTCGCGCAGTCTAGTGCACTAAAACAGCTTTACTTCCATGCCAAGTTACTCTACGCGCCTCCATCGTTCCCTAGCTCATGCTAAAGGGTAACGGCTACGTGATCGAATATTTATGTCCACAACTTGGGGAGGCTTCTAGGAACAGACAGCCAATACCTGCCGACGTGGTACCAACCGGATTCCTACGCGACGAAGGTCACCCGATTGCATGTCCACGGTAGACAGGCAGAACGCCATACCTAGCTCGTATGAGTAGAAGATGCCTTATATAGAGCACCCCGCCTGGTAAAAAGTCCTAAGGTGACCGACAACTGCATCTAGGTACGAAAGACATCTTGAGATAAGTAGAAGAACAAGGTTAAACATTGAACCGTCCATAGCGAGAGCTTGGCTCAGGCGGGTTGCGCTTTAAACTCATACACAAGGCAGCCAATCTGGATATTTCCTCCAATGCCTCCATTCAGACACTCCTTGTAGTTGTCAATGAATGTCTGCTGGCAGGCCGTGTGGCCGGGGTCCTTGATCGCGAGTGGGTTCGAGGCATAGATTGCGTCCACCCCGCTGTCTAGGCTACAGCCTTGCTTCCACACCACGCTGTACTGGTAGGCCACGTCGTCCTCCGTCGTCTTGAACTTTATAAAGGTGGAATCGTCGCCGCGTCGGACCGGCTTCAGTGCCGTGCCGGTGCAAGGCCAGCCACTATAGGAGCTCACGGAGCCGGGATGGATGTCGCGGTGCTTGCCAAACTCATCCGGCGCGAAGCAATGCCGGTCCTGAGCCTTGAGCGGGACAATATTCTTGTCCTCTGAGATGCTGTAGTCGAAGACCCCGCAGCCCACGTCGAGTTTCCCACCTTTCGACATGGGCACGCTCATTGCTGTGGTAAAAACATGTCAGCTGGAACTTGCCTGCAACGTGAATTGCCTGGCAGTCGCATATTGTCTTACCGCCTGAATTGGAGCACGCCGTTGACATCAGTGCGTATGCTGCCTTGCAGTCCATTGCGCATTCCTTCTTCCCCTCTGCGGGCTTGAAACTTAGGTTGAAGTCGTACTTTGACCAGTTGCTCGGATCCGGCGGCGGCGTCCGCTTAATGACGGACTTGAGGTGAGGTTCGGGCTTCTTGTTGTTGCCTGCGGCGTCAACAGTCATCTCGAGCTTGCTTTCCTTGTACCATTTCTCACAAAAGTGGTGGTACACGTTCTTCTCCGGGGCGTTGGGGTTCCTGAACACGTTGGAGGGAATGACACTAAGATCGTAGGGGTTGCAGTCGGGCTTGTTGTTTCCGGGTTTGGGGTCGCCTTTGCCACCACCGCCGAGCTTCTTGTGCAGTGCGGCAATGGCGAGCATGGCCTTTTGCTGTGCGTCAGAGACGGTCTCTATGTCCCAGATGACGCCCGCAGAGCACTCGCAGTCTTTGTGTTCGCCCTGATTTTCGTCAGCAGGGCATGCATGGTACGTGAAGGAAGACCGGGTTGGTGAGTGTGGCATACCGCATCACAGACCGGGCTGTCCCCAGGCTTCTTGGGCGCTCTCATCTTGCAGTCGTCCTTCTCGCCGGTTCCACACGTGAGCTGCACGAGGTTTTAGCACATTGAACCGACGCCTGACCTAACGATGTGCACGTTGCTTACTGGATTTTTCTCCGGGTCAGGGCAGCCCGTAGCTGTGGACGAAGGGTGGCTTCCGGTGGGCGATGCCGATACCTTGATCAACGACGCCGGGATGCGGTTGTTCTCCCCGAGGGTGGTGCCGTCGACAATGGTACGCAACGCCAGGCCGAACAAGACGTTGGAAAGCTGCGTCGCGAGTTCCGCGCTGATATCCACCAAGGCGGCGTACTCCCGAATGAACTCATTGACAATGTTCGCCGCGCGTGCCACAGCTGCAACAGAGTCCGTGTAGCTAAAGCGTAACTGCGTCGGGTTCATCAAGACGAAGTCATTAAGCGCTCCGCCGCTTTGCGCCATCATGGCCGCAGCTTCGGCAGCGCAGATGGCTTTCCCGTACGACCCAGCAACACGCTTTCTCCGGCGCGTCGAGCCCTTATCGAACTTGTAGCCATCCTCGCAGTTCGTCATGCGATGCATGATCTCGTCAACGCGCCTGGCGAAATCGCTCTGCAGCACGACGGAGATGTCTCCCTTGGCAAAGTTGTCGTGTGGCTCCGTCACTGGCGTGACAGAAGGCGTCTGTGTCCTACATTTGATGAGGAGTGATTAGTGCTGGACTGACATATGCGCCTTCCCCCTTGTACGCACTCACCCCTGAAGGGACGTCGGGGCTGCTGTCTGTGTGACCGTGACAACCGGCGTGCCCTGGGCGGAGATGACAAGTCCGGTGGCCCCCGACAGCTTCGATGCTGAGCTGGCCATATTGTGAGGCACAAACAGGGGAGGCGGTTGCGTGTTATGCCGCAGTTGCCAGTCGGCGATCATGGCCGCTGCAATGAACCCAAAGACAGACCCCAGTTTTCGGAACGTTTTGGTGAGAAGTTGAAGAAACCCACGACGCTCAAGCTGACCGTCGATTTCGACATGAGATGTCTGCAGAAAGTTGCGTACATCATTGTAGCATTTGTTATCGGCTTTGCCACAACCCTCAAGGATGCCGCGGGCCTTGGCTTGCGTGTCAGGTGAGAGCACGACATCGTAGCCCTCGTTGTCCCGGCCAGAAAGCCATATCGTGTTTCCGCTGAGCGTGGGGGCTTTCACGTCCTTTTTCCTGAGTCAGAATTGGGCCGCAACGACGAGCTCAGTGTCTAAAGGTGCGGGGAGGTTTGGTGTTTACCGTCCTAGCATTGTACTGCTTCAAGTCTCCCAAGTCCAGCACGTCTGTTGAGCCAAGCGTTGCAAGGCTGGCCAAGGCCAGAAAAGCTGCAAGACGCATGGCGAGGACCGGAATCCAAGTTGTATTGTCTTTGTCTGTTGGATGAGTTGAACTTGGTAGTGGTTGATGCCTTGACCCTATCAAGTACTTGCAGTGTGTGACGGCTCAACCATGCTCTTAAATCTTTGTGAGTGACAGAAGACGGAGACCCCAATACTCCGGGCCTCAGCTGCATATGCTGCTGTGCTGCCTTGCGGTCTCTGAACCACGTACGATGAGTTATTTGAATTTCGAATGACTGCATGCGTTCATCCGCCGCCCCCAGCGACAAGGTGCAGGAACTTGGTCGAGGCATTGCTCGGCTCTTGCCGTAACAGATGATTGTTCTCGCTCTCCATCGGCTCTCCCACCGTATGCCTGTATAGCCGAAAGCACGAGAGCGATCCCATGGGCCGACATTCTGCGATGACTGCGCTATATTGTCACGGACCTGTAGCTATGTTTTGGGGGCTGTGGCTGCGGGGGCCACGCATGCAATGGTTGTCGGTGGTTCTGAACAATAGAGGGCAGACGAACCACATCACTGGGCATGGCCCAAAGAAGCAACCACCGGCTTCTGTCTCGACGGCTTGGTAGAGCATGCGCCTTTTGTGGCTAAAATTAGAGGCCCGTGGGAGCGAGAACCCTCCCCATCTCCCCCTGCTGAAACCCCCAAAAGCGGTGCTTAAACGTGCTGCACATGCAAGGGCGTTGACGAATGCTGCACGCTGGGGTCGTGCGGGCGAACCCCCAGTGTAACCCTGTCCTGAGTCCTTTGGGAAACCGCCGCCGCGCAGGCCTTCTAGGAACTTAGAAAATAGCACATCAATGTTTACCACAGATGAGAAACCCCCAAGATCTTGTCTTCGGAATCCACCGGTTCAGTACGCTGAGCGCAGGTGTTCATGTTGGGGGCAGAGGTCGGCTGTGTATCAGGCGGCAAGATGTACAATCTCGCCGACTCCGAATAGCATGACCTAGGAACCTTGCACTGGCTAGTAGTTGAAGTAGTATAGTATGTAAAGGCAACGCTTTCCCCACCCACCACAACCTGACGATCATCGCTTCCCACAACTTCGTTCTCTTACCAATTTCCACCTTTGTCTGCTTCATAGCACTCAACAGCTCATGAAATCATGAAGCTCACAAGCGGTCTTTTGCTCGCCTTGGTGGGGGCCTGTCTGGCAAGTCCAGAGTACTCTCTGGATGCGTCCTGTGGTGCGTATTCCGACTTGTAGCACGCGCAGAAAGGGCCTGCGTGTCAACTAACGCTCAGCTAGACAATCGCGACGATATCCCACGGCGCACTGGGATCATTAGTGGCATGAAAGAAGCCATACAGACGGCAAAGAACGCCTACGACATTCTCAACAGTGATCAGGATCGTGAAAGCGAGCACGTCAAGACCATTTGCCAGGCCATATTCGGGCCAAACTTCGGAACCATTCTTGGCGATGTCAAGAGTAAGACTCCATCTACTGCATGACGCCTCGGCCACGGGGTCTCTGACTGACTATTGGGGCACAGCTGTGTTTCAAAACATTGCAGCATTCGGGTCAGAGCCTTCGCAGTATCGGCCAGACGATCCAAACTGGCAAGGCAGAAAGAGTAACAAGGATGTTGTACGTATTATCTCATCTTC